GTTCTACCCAGCTCCCTTTTTCGGGGGAGTAGATCTGGGTGCCCTTAATAATGACAGTATGAGCCGGGAGATTGACACCCCACGCCAACGTTGCCGTACAGACAAGAACTTGGAGCGAACCATCGGCGAAAAGATCTTCGACGGAGCTTCGATCAGAGCGACTCATTCCGGCGTGATGGATACCGAATCCGTAGGGCATCAGCTCTTTCAAGTCTCTATCCATCACCTGACCAGATTCCTCCTCGAGGATCTCTCGACTTGCTGCATCGCTCCGAAGGATTTGCCCTATGGTCTCCATCTCTAGAGCCTTGTCTTTGATGTATCTAGCAGTCTTTGCTGTTTCTTTTCGCGAGTGTACGAAGATTAATAGCTGGTGCTTGTTCTGGCCAACCTGTTCCATGACTTTGGTATAGCAAACGTCATTCATAGTCTTGAGCTGCTTGATCGCCTTTTTGTCTGTGACTCCAATGAACTCCTGACGCAGAGGACATGGTCTGTAGGATCCATCAAAATGGAAAAGACCATTGATGGGATCGACCCGCAAAAAGCTTGCCACGTCTCGGTAATTGGGAAGGGTCGCACTTAGGCCTACCAGCCGGACCGGGTCTCCTGTTTGTTCAATTTTTCTGATGGTCCTGCTGACTATGCTCTCAAGTACTGGACCTCGATCATCATGCAGAAGATGGATCTCGTCGATGATGATGAGTCTGACCAGGTTGGTGTAGCTCATATCCGTTGCCTTTCGGGTAATGACATCCCACTTCTCTGGCGTTGTGACAATGATCTGTGTGTCAGCAATTTGCTGCTTGGTAAGTTGCCGGTCACCGGTAAGCTCAGAGACCTTTACACCGTATGGCTCTAATCGTTTCCCAAAATTGCCTACTTGCTCCTGAACCAAAGCCTTCAATGGAGCAATATAGACAATCTTGAAGTCGTCGAGCATGATCTCTCCAGTCTCGGGATTTCGGTTCTTCCCAATCTCGCGGAGCATGGCTAGCATTGCCACGTTCGTCTTTCCGGAACCAGTCGGGGCACAGATTAACATGTTTTCATCATTCCCAAATGCTGTGGGAAAGCATTTTGTCTGGATACGATTCAATTCTTTCGAGCTACCAAAGCCTTGCCGTGCCCACTCTGGCAGATCAGATGTTGGGATATTGTTGCGCTCGCTGGCATCTTTGCGTGCTTTGGGAGCCGGTACGTGAATTTCTTCGTAACCCTTAAAAGTCCGCTTCGTCGTTCCGTTGGGAAGCTTGACATTTTGATTCGTCATCAGATGATTCCCCTGATCGAAGACTAGGTTCTCAAGGTTGATCAGTTTCTTAGGTTGCAGACCTCCAACCAAAGCTCCATCCTTCTTGGCAAGCGCCCCATCCGTTGCTGCCGATGGTACGTCAATGTCCATGAGGTCAAGCTTGAGCTTCTTGTTTGGTTTCAAACCCCCATCGACATCCTCGTCATTTCGACCTTCGAGCTCATCGAGGATAGCTCGGTGACCTTCTGCGATCATTTCGCGCTCCAGCGCAGCTCTGACAGTCCCATCTTCCGCTGCTCTTCGCCAGCGAGTAACCCATACGATCTTGTCTCGGTTCATGATGAGTTTCTCAACCAGCTCATGATGCTCCCAGTCGAACAGCTCCATAAGCTCATTCTCGATCTCTCTTAAAGGTTTTTCTTCTCCGTCTTCGGAGATGCCGGAAAGAAGCTGCAGGGCTTCTTGAGTCTTCGATTGCTGGACATGGGCATCGGTGTAGATGACACCAATTTGTCGTTGTAGCCAGTATGCATCTATGTCTCTTACGGGTACAACATTCATTTCCGCTTTTCGGTCCATTTTGGTGGTCGACCCGTCAGCATTGCCGTCAATGATCATTTCTCCACCGTCTCCCGTAATTTCGACTGGGTCCCTTGCTTCTGCGCCACCGGCAGCGGCGTCATCTACCTGCGTTTCGGCGTTCTCCGCCTCTTCATCTGAGGAAGGCTCGTCCTCATCTCTGACCTCCAAAGTCTCGGGACCGCCTTCTTCTTCATCGTCCGATTCGTCGAAAACTACAGCTACACCCTGTTTCTCGTCCAGTTCGACATCATCCTCGGCATTTCCGGCGCCGTCGTCTTCCATATTCGCATCCTCATCTTGGCCATCGTAATCCGTAATCTTCTTTCCCAAATTGACCAATTCATTAAACGCCTTTGAATCCATTGTGACACCCAGTAGATCATCAACTTCCTTCTTCTTGTCAAAGTCCTTCATATTCTCATCCTTAAGAAGCTCTAGTATGGCATCTGCGGCGCTTCTCACAACCTCGTGGGGTACATCACCCAGATTATTTGCAGTCGTTGTCAAGATAAGATCATAGGTTTGCCGTGTTGCTGGAGTCCGAGGTCGATACTTCAAGCCTTCTACCAGGGCATCTGCCGCAGAAAGGATGCCAGCCCCTCGCATTTGTTCCGGCTCGCCTCGCTTCCTCTTCTTCTGTTCTCTCTTCAACACCTCCTCTCCTTCTCTGATGCTGCCTCTCTCGACATCCTTGAGATCGGTTGTCTTCTTCTTTGGTTTTGGAGCATTCTCACGAGCATCTCTCGACCCCATGTCACGAATGTTGATGCGACCTGCCAAGGACTCTGGGTCACCTGTGACTTCGTCATTGCGGCGGGTAGAGAAACGCTTATCGTGCTGCAAGACCAAGTTGGACATAGCAGCATATTTGTACTGCGAGATGTTGTTAGGGTCTGCCATCTTGAGTCGCAGAGTCAGTGAACGCGACTACTGCGCAGATTTGTGGTAGGTAAGAGGCTGGAGATCGAAGTACGATCAAGTACAAAAGGGACAAGGAGGCGGTCGAAAATATTGATGCCCTCTTGATCCCCGCTGTGGCAAGGGCGGACACTCGAGGTTCACTGAGTCAAGATTCGGAAGTTCAGATTTATGCCGCTAAGGAAGTAGTATATGGGGCTAGTCCCGCTTGGGTCTCCCGCACCGCAAGTTTTAACTTACTTCAGGTCAGAAATTAGCATCCAAAATCTTTAGTGAGGTAGTTCAGAGCTCACAGGCCACCATACCCACTCTCCCACTATCAAATGAGGGTGCTTCGAGTCTACTCGAGCGCGGTCTCAATGCTGGATTTTGTCCAGATATAGGGTAATTACAACTGCTTTGGGCTGACACCAATCGGAGTAGACATTGTCTGGTGTCTTCATTTGCAACTGTGCAACATACTTGCAAGGTCTCAAAACATGTGCTGGCCCACTCGGTCCGATGGGACGAGGACCATACCTCAGATCTCTCTCACTACTTCTCTAAGCTGGTTCTTAATGTCCTTAAGATTGTTCTATCACTTCATCAGGAACACTGCCAAAATTTCTTGCACAAGCATAGCAAGCGATCTCTTTGTGTTTCCCTTCGCCCTGTTCCTTGCCGCTTTTCGTCGTCCTCCCCATCATCCCAGTCCTTTTCGTTCGCCGAATCTGCTCCTCAAGCGTCTTGACTACACTCCTCAGCACCCACTTAAGATTCTTGCCCGTGGCGCCCTGCTTGCGCGAGGGAACCTTCATGTAACAACAGTCGCAACTCCACCGTTCCCATCGAGAACGTCGGTCCAATCCTTGTCATCCAAGATTTCTTGCCGGTACTCAGCACAACTTTGTGCAACCACTTTTCATATGTTTTCCTTCCTGTTTAGAGTATTATCAAAAATCTCCTTCACGAGTGCTGAAACTCCAACCGGCCAGGATCGGTAAATCAACTCTTTCAAAACCGTTCTTGGCTAAGAGACTTTACATTTTGAAAAGTCACAGCGGCGTTCTAAAGATGTACACGAGGGAGCTGGTTTCCAACCGTGCACTTGCATCTTTGACGAAAGCTCTTCCTATATAACGTAGTATCGAAGATGAACCGGGGGACGAGCTGGACACCTCGCTGAGATCTGGGGTACTGAGGCTGTCGTAATATTGTCCCCGGTATAGAAAATTGATCATTTCGGCAAATGCTGCTGCGCCATGTCCTTGACGATGTAAGTCTTGATGCTTGCGTCGATGAAGGCACCGGCCATTACCGTAGCAAAACTTTGCGAGTGGTGGCGCGTGACTCTCTGATGTACCGCGAATCTCTCGTTTTCGCAGACAGGAGTCAGACCTTTTGCATGATGGCCGCTCTGGCGGACAAGAAGGCATAAAGGCGACCAGTCTAATGGATTAGCAGTGGCGCAGACTGAAGACTGCTTTTCGGTTCGCGTGAGTTTCTAGGAGGGAGTTGGAAACGGCTTTGGGTATGAAAGTATAGAAAATGGCAAAAAGGTCTCGGAGGCAGGGGTCGACAGGCATCACATATTGACGAAGGGGAAAAAGCCGGACATTGTAAAGAGCAATCTTTCATATGAGCAAATTGTCGAACTCCTAGGAGAGATGTGAGAATACTGGAGCTGAGTCGATTCAAACAAAGAACAAGTCATAGAAGCCTGCGGAAGCCACTCGCTGCAAGTGAAAAACAAGGATTGCTTCTCAATAAAAACACAAGCCCCAGGGTTGGGCTGTGATGCCAAACGGTTTGAGGAAACAAAACAAGGAAGAATACAAACATCAAACGCTATTAGACAGCCAATTGCACTCTAGGAAGACTATATGCCAGCAGAAGCAAAAGACTATAGTGCAAAAGCCTCGAGAAATGTCAACTTTGGAGACAAGAACGTTGCATCTCATGTGCCCGATTTCCAAGTATCGCCCGCCATTGCCTTCACGGGGCTCCAAATGTACCCTCGTTGGGTAGCCCGACCAGGGTGATGAGACTGGCTTCAGGATGAGGATCCCAAGGCGATCTACATGACATGCACCTCGTCGGTGCCCAAGTGTGGCAGTCTGGGGGATCTACCCCTAGATCCAAGAGGTGTACGCGGAGCGGTTTCCTAGAACTTGCCCTGAAAGATTGACAATACCGAATCGAAAAGATCCTTTCGGTTGCTTTCCTTGTGAACATGTCACAGCGGTGGTTAAGTATTGCGCAAGACTCATTTGACGTCTTCAGCCAACACATCCTCCTCCTTGACTACCACACTCTCTTCGGTCTGCTTCACTTCAACTGTCTCACTTCCCTCCCCTTTGGCCGCCACCTCCCCCTTTACTTTTTTGATCACTTTCTTCTTATCTACCACGGCCGAGGGACACAAGCCTTTTTTACTGAGCGTACAGTCGCCGCATTTTCTCCCCACAGGCAAGCAAATCGTTTGCCCAAATCCAACCAACAAATGATTGATCTCATGCCATCGCTCTCTGGGCAACCATGCCTCTAAACTCGCCCTTGTCTCCTCAGGAGCCTTGGTCTTGTGCCAGCCCCAGAGATTGCTGATACGATGAACATGCACATCGACTCCTATTCCCTCAGTTCGACCCCACGCAGCGCTTAAGCAGAGGTAGGCCATTTTGGGCCCTACTCCGGGTAAAGACATGAGTCCTTCGATTGAATCAGGTATGTCGCCTGCATAGTCGTCTCGGAGTATCAAGGCGGCCGCTTTGATGTATCGTGTTTTGTTGTTGTGGAAGCCAACGACGTAGATCAGCTCATTGAGCTTGATAGGATCCACCTGGAGAATATTCTCGAGTGTAAGCCCAGGAGACGGAAGCTCTGTTTGTAGACGGCGCATGGCGATCGCGTTGGTAGTGTCTTTTGTTTGAGACGATAACATTAGGGCGATGAGAGTTTGGAAGCGTTTGTCCTTTACTAACGTTAGCACCTCGCCCATTCTCGATATCATTCAAGGCCAGCTTACACGAGGCGTCAGATGCTCTTCGGCAAGCGTCTCGCAGCCCATGGTATCAACAGGCGCCAGCCTCTCTTTCCGCATTTCTCTTACAGCATCGTAGATTTCTTCCCAGTTTGCCGGGGCCTCTATCTTCGCTTCTCCTGCTTCATTAACAATTCGTTTCGCCGGCTGACGTTTTGCTTTTTTGAGTTTCCCCACAGTACCGTCTTCGGATGTCAGGTCTGGCTTGCGAGGCGAATTGCGCGTGCTTGTAGATGTAGATTTCGTGGTGATGGCTGTAGATGGACTGCCGAGACTCCTTTTGCGCTTCCTTGAGGTAGACGGTTCAAATGGAACATCTTCGATTTCGAACACCGAAGCCAAAGTGGAAAGGGAATCATCATCGCTTGTATCTTCGCGCTTCACCCCATTCTTTCCTGGGCTGGGAAGGGGCACCTCTCCATTGGCAGTGAAAGCCTGCAGCGACGCTGCGAAAGCCCTTGTCTGTCGTCTTGGGGCGCAGTCGGCTTGAGAAAAAGAGATGGCGACCTTCGCAGTATCTCGCGCAATGCGAGAAGTCTTCATATGGACTTGACGCCGGCAAGGGGTTCTGGGCTCTGCTGGGCGCTGGACGCGATATGATCCCTGCAGTTTTACCCCAGATTCCAGCCTTATTTGTAGATCCAAATCGGCCAATTACCTTTTAGTATCCCACTTCGCCATTCTCAACATACCTAGAGCAATGCCGGCGGACGACTACACTGCCGCAGTCTCTGGTGGTTTGAAGCTCAAGAGTGTCGCCTCATCCTCCAAAGTCTCCAAATCCCACAAAAAGAAGCGTCCGAAACCCTCCCAACCTGAATCCTCCGCCGATGCCAACGCGGAGAAGTCCAAAGATGGGGCAACAGATCATGGCGACGATGTCAAGGACGAGCACGATGACGCTGCTGTAGACAAGAGTCAACAGGCATCCGAGGAGGCCGAGGCTCTATCGCCGGGGCGAGCAGGAAAGACAGAAGCGGAGCTCAGGCATGAGGAGCGTAGACGGAAAAGGGTGGGCTATTTCCACATATTGCCCTTACCACTTATCTATACGGAGACCTTTGGCTAACACTGGTGCTCTAGCTCGACGAGCGCCTGAAGCGCGAAGGCACCAAGACGCACAAAGAGCGTGTGGAAGAACTGAACCGCTACCTCAGCAATCTGAGTGAGCATCATGATATGTAAGTATATCTTTTCTACCTCTTTACCATGATGGGGATGCGGCAATTACTGCGAATTCCTTGAATAGGGAAGGAAGAGACAACGGTGCTGACCTTTCCTTTTTCTACCTAGGCCTAGAATTGGCCCTGGATAAGACCCGTGGAAGCAGAGGCATATGTACATCTTGGAGGCAAAACTCTTGCCGAACATGTCAAGGCCGTTCCTGGCGAATGATCAGAGGTCATCTGCATGACTCCTTTATATAGAATCGTGATGTACAGGACCGATGTCCAAATTGGGATGGTGGTCAACAAAGAATCATCCATGGGTTGTATTACAATACATGAATCCAAAAGGCCCCGATCCGACCGAAAAGCCTGTTTTTCAGAGTACTGGAAGCTGCCTATTCATACCCATCAATAATTCGTACACTTCGTCCCCCAACAAGCTGGCCGATTGCACATCGGCAAATCTTGCTGGTAAATCAATCATGCCGTCAGAATAAAAGTACACCAACTCCGCATGCTCTCATTGAACCACCCATGCACAATAGGAGAAGAGATCATGAGGTACGTCAAAAGAATCGCTAGCCTCCATTGCGAAATATATAGATCCAGGGGCTCACCCATATTGCGAGTCTGCGTATATAGGAGATGTCCAGCACCTCGCCCTAATCTCCTCCACTTATTGAAGAAGGAATCGCAGGTCTTTGGTTAAGTTGGGCGTTTGAAGTTGCTTTCGCCATCAGCTTCATTTGTTAAAAAGCCATGCCTTCTTCAACGCCGGCTACCCGCTCAAATGCCCCTCGTTCATATTCTCCTCTCTCCACCGGAGTGATATCCGGTGTAACGTAAACATCATGGTATATGTCATCATCCGTGTCTGTCTCATTAGTACTATAACTACTCGACCTCGGGCGCGGCTGCCTGTAGTGACCGCCTCTGTTCCCTACGTCCACAAAGCCTTGTCTCCGTTGTTGGGAGGAGAGTGAACGAGAATGCGAATGCTGCGACATCGAGTGTGCGTGAGAATGCGAAGAGTGGGAAGGAGCGATGCGGTCAAGTTGCTGTTGCAGCATCGAGACCTGTTGCTCTAGCCGGACACGAGACGACTGTTCGTGCCGGATCAGAGTTATCAGGGTAGTATAGTGTTCGATTGTGAGACCTGTCAGGCTAGTGCGAGTGCTACGGTCTATTGAGCCTTTATGTGCTGACGTGTATGGGCCCGAGGCTCCGGCTTTTAGGGTCGTCGCAACGCTTGTTGGGCGCTGTTGTGGGGTGGTTTCGTAACCAAGTTTCGAAGGACTCGCAGGTGGTGTCGCTTGTGGCAAAGCTGGCGACGCTTCAATGGGGGCTTGTCGGTAATCGGACGAGAGATAGCTGTCAACTGAGTTCTGGCGTCCGGCCATCTCAATGCGTTCAGAGTGACGTCTCGAGGGCGACGTGGAGCCTGCTTGCAGCTTTGAGATGGCGTATTCAAAGTCCATGAGCTTGATCTCTAACGTGACGATTCTCTCTTCTAGACCTATTCGCTCTTGAATTTGCATGGCGTCGGCTGGCAAACCGAAATTGAATTCTTCGCTGTGCTGGCCGAGATTGCCATCGTCGTTGTCTGCGGCATCAACGTCGTGTCTCCGTCCCAGCTCTGGTGACTCAAAGCTCCGGATGCCTAGAGAGCCCATATCGGTACTTTGCCTCCAGTACTTAATCTCATCACTTCTCCTACGCCACCGCCTCCACTGTATGGGAGACATGCGATGCTCCGTGTCGCGAAACGCACCCACGGACCGTGATCTTCGCTTTGGGTTACTACCATTTGTGACTGCAAAGCCGATGTTGTGCGCATCAACAGGCTGTTCTTCGTTGGTTTGGAGGCCCAGACCTCTGATTGCAGCTTCTACTTCCTGGACCTCTGGCCTATTTAGGATCACGCTTGGGACACTAGCACGTCGGGGTCGAGCTGGCCGCTCTGGCGGTAGACGCTCTGGTTGCGGAGGAATCGGGTTTCTCGTAGCCTCGTCGCATGTATCGTCGTTGCTTATGATATCATTGCTTGGAACGTCATTACTTGTAGCGCCAACTGGGCTGGAGATGGTTTGGAATGGCGGGTGTGACCCCAGGCCACTGGTACGCAGGACGCCGTTGATCGGTACAGAGGCAGAGCGCTTTGCCTGGACGTCGGTTGCAGAGGTTATAAACTCTTCCGGATCCTTACTTAGAAGTCAATGTTGTTCTTCGAAGTGAATTCTTGAAGCTCTTACATGTCGAGGGTACACTGTAGGGTTGGGCATGCTAATCCTATCCCTTGTAGAACGCCTTGTAAACATCCGACGCAGGGTGTTCCGGAACCCGGCTTTCCTTTCTTTCTTTGGTGGCGTCTGCATCAGAGTGCTCTCCCTTTTCGTGTCGCGATAATTGCCGTTGCGCAGTGGAATCGACGGATCCTTTGCCCGTTGCCATGCTTCCGGGGCTGCATGTGCCGGAGCAGTATGGCGAAGGCGTCGAGGGGATGCTTCCAATTGCTTTTCAGAGTAGGTTCGTCCGAGGAAGCTATCAGGACTGGCATCACGAAGGTCGCCAGGAGGCTGTCTTTTCGAGAGCAATCGATTGTCGAGCGAGCCATTGTCCTGGTTTCGAGGAAGCTCATGCACAGTCTGGAGTCCTTGGGCGTCAATAGCACTGCCAAAGCTACTCGGTCCTGTCAAAGGAGAGGTCTCAGTCTGGCTGTTGGCGCTCACGGACTCGGCCATCATGACAGCAGAGTCGCATTGAGATGTGGTGAAGGTCAAGCATGCGGTACGAAGTCGTCAGGCCTGACGCGCATAGTTTGAGGTAAGGGATCCCCTAAGAATCACCCTCGTGAATGAGTAGAGATGCAAGTGAGAGAGGCTGGAGAAATGGATTAATGAGATGATCGATGGCCGTGCATACATTCGGCCAGCAGCCAAGTAGCATTCCGGAGAAGTTTCAAGCCTTGAGGTCAATTATAGAGCGCGTATCATGATATGCACCTTGGACGCAAGTTGCCGAAGATGGTGTGGTGGCAATTCGAAGCAACGAATGTCTAATGAGAGCCCTGCTCATTCCTCTCAATTTGCTGACTCTGAGCAAGAAAGTTTTGATGGTCAATGCAATGGAGCAGAGAAATGCGTGAATGATGTTCCTATGGTGCTTTGGAGATGAGCACGAATGGGAGTGCAGAAGTCGGGATGTATGAAGTTTTGGATGGAAATAGAATGAATTACACTAAGTAATTGATCGATGCAAGAGTCGATCATCCGCTGTGACTCGAGTGAGTGAAGTACTCTACAGGCCACAGCGCCGCTATCAAGAGGCGAGAGAGGCTTGCCCGTGGCTTTTGCTGCAGGGGTCTTCGGATCATGGGTCTGCCTGCCTGCACCATCATCCTTGCCAATCAAAAGCTCAAAACTTGCTCAGCCCGCTAATCACTTGCCCCACCCGTTCTCACTGCCCCCCGAGCCCCCCTCACCACCCTTAAAAACCTGACACACCAACCCCAAACCACACAATTACTTTATTGCTTCAGAACCCATCTAACTGGCCTACCTTACCCGCCCGCCGTTGAATGCAAGTCAAAGTTTGGAATAGTTTATAGATCTTCTGATATGCGAGGGGCTGACGCTATCGCATTTCCATAATCATTGTGGCGAATGGCGAACGTGTGTGCATGAGGAAAGGCTCGGCTGACCGGTGCTGGTCAGTGCACTTGCATCATCTGTAGCAAAAAGGCCGGATACAGCGTCTTATTCGCCGGATATCATGAGCTAGATCAAGTATGTTGTACTCATCGGGCATCAACGACAAGGCCTCTCTGCTTGATAGTATTGTACTTTGGTGCAGTCAAGATCCGAGTTCCCTGCTTGAAAGCAAGTGTAGGAGTGGACATTGTGGAAGTCGGGGGTGATGTTGCAAAGTTATTATACGCGATGGACATGACTGTCCAATAACTGCGGGCAACGCTGTCACACCACTTTCCACGTGCTCTCAACCAATTGGTTTTTCTTGACCGTGATTGACTGATGCGGGCAATGAGCTAACACCGTTGTACGATGAGTACTTGAACTCACGGAGGAAGATACTCTAGAATACAGTGCTATGCACGGGAAGACCAGAGAAGCAATCCCCCACATGACGATTCCATCGCCTCCGTGGCCTTGTGTGAGCCAATATCCCTTGAGTTTCAAGCATCGAGCCCCTGCACCCCATGCTCAACTTTACTATTGGACCCCAAAGTTACCAGTATCGACCATGCCCTGAGCTTCAAGATCTCTGAGTGCCTGACGCTGACCAATGTTTTGGGGGCTGTGTGCACCAGAACCACTAGCACCTGTATTCTCCGTATTTGTTGGGCTAAGGGGACCGTTGATGGTCCTGCCATCTGGACGCCCGGTACTAGCTGACAGGGAGCTCGGGACCATCTTGTTACCGTAGTGTTGTTCCTTGGATGCTTGGTATCGGCTGTCGAGGGAAGCTGAAGCCCACAGTGATGAAAGGGGTAGAAAGATCGCCACACACGTGAGGGCGTTGGAATACAAAGCTGGATTGTTGACGGCATATTGGAGAGTTGAGAAGAGCGCTAAGATAAAGGTCAGCTTGGGACGTGGGCTTTGGATACTGTTTTGCTGACCTGGAACGACAAGAGTCTGGCATCCCATGATGAAGATGATCTGCATCGGACCAAACTGAACCAAACCTAGCTTCCTCCTCTCGTTTAGAGCGAGAGCAAGTTTGGTGACGAAGACTGCGGAGAACCAGCAGATGCTGATGGATTCTGTAATGTTCGTGGCACTTGCTAACTGTTGAAGAGGCCCATCAACCTTCGCCTGCACGATGGCTATGGAGTTCTCGATGCAAAGAGCCAGTCGAAAGGCGATAGCCAATAATGCGATCACAACGGAGGCTGCGAAGATTATTTTGCGATAGAGCTGGCGCACTGTGACACATACCACGCGTGTTTGGAGACACAGAGAAATCTCGACGCATACCAGAACGAGCAGGGTGAAGACTGTGGCAGTGACGGACGTTGCGTAATCCCCAGTATGGACCCGCGAGTGGTCCCCGCTGAAGACAGCGTATGTTTCCGTAAAAGGGCCAGTAAAGTACAGGCATTGGAGAACATTCCGTACAATGTTCAGAGCTAGCGATGAGACGTTGACGATGAATATGGGAGAGGCACGCTTGTCTGGCTTGGTGAGGAGAAGGAGCACGGCGAGAAGGATGATTGAGGCTCCTGTCTGGGCACCATAGTTGATGCAGATCTGAGTGTTGTAATTGACGAAATAGTCGAGATTAGGGATGGAGACATTGAAGAGTGTCCCGTCGCTCGCCTGTAGAGTGAATGATTGGCTATATGGATCGAATGGCGTAGCTGCCGCCATAACGAATGGAGTGAGGTGTTCAGTGACTCCTTTGACGTATGTGTAGTGGGAGCGCTGTCGAGTATGAAGGAAATCGGAGAGGATGTGTGCGTGTGTGGGAGACAGAGAGAGTTAGAAAGACGAGATCTGTATGATCAAGATGCTGTCTGGCAGTTCTGAGCTTGTCTGGATTGATTGGTATAAAGAGAAGAGTATCTGAGTTGTAAAGAGAAGAGGATATAAGTAACAAAACTAACCTGTGACCTGTACCGTGGAGGAGTGATCGAGCCTTAGTATTGTCATGCTCGAAGATGTTGAATGGGTCATATTCTTGGACTATAATACTAAGATAACGCATGTACTAGCCGGTTGAATATCTCCTCTTTTGAGGAACAATTTGAGCTGCCACGGCTACTCGATATTCATCTTTCTCTGGGAAATAATATTCAAACGAGAGCTGTGAATTGACAGGCAAGGACACGCCCGCCATATCCAATTCGAAATCATCGTCACGACAACATGAACGCAATTGGGAAGGTGATCCATAAGCAGTAGCTACTGAATCATTGCAGCAAACCCAAGTGGACGCAGACTGAGTCGGACGTGTGCCAATAAGATATCCTTAGTATTGTTCCTGGAACACCGAAAACCACAGCCGATGGAAGACTCACACTTTCGAGCACATCAATTCTGCTTCAGGAGAGCTAGAGAGATTCGCCAACGCGGATATACAGTAGCTTGGCCTGATTCTTTCGACTGTACATGGCTAGAGGAGTGCTAGACTCTTAGACATGTCGATGGTTGAAGCAGATTGCAGCGGCAGCGTGGCTCGCGCTAGCTGATTTCAACCACGCACTGGAATATCTATTTCGCGCGCGGCCAATCTGCAAAGGAAACTTTGATTGTATGGATTGTAGATACTGTCAAGCTCTACATCTTTCTAGCCCAGCTTTCTTTATCACAACAAGGTCATCGCCGAAGTATCCAGCCTTAACCGTAAAGTAAAGACCTTGCTAGCGCGGACTGCAATACCCGAATGATGACAATCCTAATCGAAGCTCAACACTTCTAGGGATGCGTAATGACTGACATTTGACCCCTATGACAATTATGTGACGGTCATACGGTGACAGGCCAGAAAATAGGAAGCACCGCAACACCATTGTACCAGCGCCATTAGGAATCGAACCTAATACGAACTAAATACCCCCAACAACAAGGCCGTTTGACCTGATAAATGACAGCGCTAACCGTATACAGTAGGTGTCTAACCGTGAAAGATATAAGGCTAACAAAGACGGGCGTAGTAGATTGAGGCTTGGCGTTATCTATCCTTAGCTCGGTAGGATATCACTAGTAATACTCGGATTTCAGCCCTAAATACATCTGAATTCTAAGGTATCGTTTCCCTCGAATCTTACGCTTCGTATTACTATAAGCCCTTTGCTGTGCGGTCATTTGGCTATATATGACTTTCAAATGACCGAGTATGTCTGACCTGACGTCACGTGTCATATGACAAATCCGCATCCCTAAACACTTGACTTCAGTCCTTGATACAAGTACCCTACTTGAATTGATTTATGTTGCAAGTATGCATCGACGGAATTCCCAGCAGTATGTCTTCGAAGAAATGCTGCCTAAGGCAACACATCCGCGGCGAACCTGCCAATCTCGCATTCATTGACCTGAGCCTTGATGACACTGTCCTCAAATACGTTCTTCACGGCCCAAATCTCTTAGGTAGTCACATCGAAGAAGAGTTCGAGCTTTTCGAAATTGGTGAGACCAGGCCTGGGTCCGGGTCCTTGGCGATACTACGTCAGATATAATCACTCCACATACCTAGGTGCGTTAAAGCTAACAATGCCTTCAGACACCCAGAATGGGTTCGCTTTTCTTGAAGCACTCACCCCAGACATATCCGTAGAGTCACTTGGACGCAACTTTGATGGAGCATTTGCCCATACCGGAATAAATGTTCGGCCTTCTACTTCTGGCAGTATATCAACGCTTCAGCTCCTTCCTGGTCAGTCCTTCAATATCGGAAAGACAACACTAAATCTTGTTCCTGAGGAACACAGCGATCTCCCAATCAACTCGTCGGGCCTGCCTACCACTAATTTCGAGAGTTACAACTATCAAGTCAATCCCACTAGCACACCACAACGTACCGCCAGAGTGGGTCCTGCCGTCATTGAAACTCCTATGCCGCGCAGAGAACATGAGTCTGACAAATTCACGCCTATCCTCGAGCAGATTACCGGACAGGCAGTCTCGGGAAGGAAAGACAGTAAAAAATGGCCGGGGAGTCCTTTGAAGCGCGAGGTCATGCGAACAGTGCGAGACGCTAGTGAAAATGGTCACTCTAGTTCACAGCCTAGCATCAAGAAAGAAGACGAGCACATTGCTGATGCAGCGATCAATGAGCCTGATCCTTCGATTTCGCAGCCCCATGTCAAGACCGAAGACCAGCCTATTTTTGATGCAAACGCTGCAAGGCCGCTGGACCAAGGTGTAGTGGACCTCGAGGACGCGAAAACTGCGAGTGTAGATCTTAAGAGCGAGCATCTTGAAAATTTAGAGCCGCTGTTATCATTCAAGTCACGAGTGCATCCAGAAGGAGGCTCAAGCCGTTCACCCATTCCAGAAGAGTCGAAGCCTATATCTTCACCCGTGGTGCGAGAACGTCCAGCAGGAGAAACTAGAGCCTCAAGCCATTCACCGCTCCTGGCAGGGTCGAAGCCTTTGTCGTCATCCGTTGCGCGAGTGCAGCCAGAAAGAGGACCTGAAGCCCTGGATCGATCGTCCATCCTCCAAGCGGCTCTGGATTCAAGCCCGCAACTGGATGACGATCTTCATGATACACGAGCCCGCAAGAAGACAAAAACAGCGACAGTCTCCCGTCAGGCCCTGGTTGATGAGAGTCAGGACAGTCTGCAAAATGAAGTAATATCCGTCAAAAGAGGAGTCCCCACCTCAACAGATCGTCCAGTCTCTGCCGATCAGGCATCATCAACAGTTTTGACGCCCTCAATCAATACAGGACCCCTCTCTCATTCCGCAAATCAACCCAAACAAAGGTCTCTTACTCCCTCGACAGGATTGAAGCACTTTAGTCCCCCCATTGACTCAGACTCACTGCCTCACCCCGCCAATCAACCGCCGTCAGAATCATCGTTCAATCCAACTGGACCAAATCCTCGGACTACTTTCTCCGACAATAACACAGCCTCAGCATCTCCTTCTAATTCGGTCGAGCCAAGCAGCTCGATGAGGAGTACTAGATCTACGGCTCGAGATGAGCTTAACATCTCGTCATCCACGGACGCGGGAGCACGTATTTGTTTTGCGAGCTCAAGTTCAGTCGGAGATTCGAAGCCGTTTCTGCGATTTCTGTCACAGAAAGGAGTTAAAAAAGTCCAGTCGGTCCACGACTGCACTGTCTTGTGCGTCGGTAAGGAGCTCAAGAAAACCAGCAAGGTAATTTTAGCTGTGCTTTTAGGCAAAGATATTATCACCGACAGCTGGGTTACCGACAGTGTTAAGGGAAACGATCTGCTGAGTGTTGTGCCTTACCTTGCACGAGATCCTGAGAAGGAGGCCGACTGGGGAATCTCTCTTGACGAAGCGATCTATAGGGGAAAGCAAGGTCTCAGGGTTTTGCAGGACCAGACAGTAATTTTCACGCCATCTGCAAGGAAGGAACTTGGCAAAACCGGATTCGATGAGCTCAAGGAGATCGTGAAGTGCGCGGGTGCCAGGAGCGTCTCTTCGGCACTAACCAAGAAGAGTCCAGAGCAGAACACAATTGTCGTTGCAACGCACGACAATACCGAGGTGACGGAGCTTCAGAGGCTAGGCTGGAGAGCCTATGTGAAAGACATCATCAGCCTGAGTGTTCTCCGTGGCAAGCTGGACTTGAAAAGTGATGAATTTCTCATCAAGGAACAGAAGAAAGAAAGTGGGAAGAGGAAGCGTTGATCGTTGAAGACCTTCACGTTCGCATGAAGGCTCATTGTGCATAGCGTCAGGAGTCTACTTTGCTGGTGGCTGATGGGTAGATACCCCATAAGCGCTTCTTACCATCCTGCTAGGTAAGCAATCTCGTTACTGCTGCTGCGGTCAAAGTCGGCCATAGGGTGCAATTATGTATTCACGGAAGTATTAGTCACTGCAACACTTGCTTTCTGTATCTTGAACGCGTTGCCTACACGATATGCACCTTGTACTAGTACCTGCACGTCCGAGACCGAGCATCTCCTGAAGCGCTTTTGCAACCACCTGCCGCATTACACCCCTCCCGCTAAATCATAGGGTGGGGAAGAAGAGTGAAAGCCCGAGTACAGAAGCCACTGATAACGCTGGTCAATTTGCTCACCCCAACTTTTTTTTCAAAAAAAGTCCTCGGGTCGGAATCTTTGCGCTTGTCGGCGTTGGCAGCAAAATCCCACCGAACCGAATGGTAAGCAGCAATAACAGGCCACGAATGGGACACCGACGGTCAACCCCTTATTCACCTTACGCTTACATCGAGCTTCAAGACTTCTACTCGGTCGGCGGTGTGGGCACCGTCGAAGCTGTAGCTGGAGTTGCAGTGCACCATAACAGTTGCGGGGGTGGGCAGGAAGGGGCTTGCTCTGGCTTCAAGCACCTTTACGCCACCCGCCGTTTCGGTGGCATGAGTTAGCGATGATCCATGCCATCCTATTGGCTACTCTCTTGCTTCGGAAGATAGTGAACATGACGGTCGTACAGGATACGCCGACGCTCAAGGCTCTGCTTGTGGATAAGGTGGATGGGGAATTGTCAATATAGATAGTAGACGGCGCTTTGGAGAGGGTAGGGAGCAGGCAAGCGCAGGCGCAAGTTTACCGGAGTTTGATGGATTCGAGAAGATTTCTCGGGTTTTGATGTTTAAGAAGTTTAGGCCCGAGCGAGAAGGGGACGCATGGATGGATTGATCATTATTAAAGTAAAGTAAATTGTACTTTAGGATTGAGTGATTATTGAACAAGCTTTTTACGAGCAATCTTAGCGGCGGCAAGAGCCTAGTACCCTGGCAGATTAAATGTTTCAGATAGCGAACTGGGTAGGAACCTTGTTGACTCTTTGAATATCTTCTTCTTCGCATCTCAAGTATTTTCCCGCACAAATGATTTCAAGCAATAGTGATTGTATGCATCCACGAGGATTGTCACTACCATTGTCCATGTGCGTCAAGAACTTCACAGCCTCCAAGGCAAATGAGAGATGATGCCTGGGAGGATTTGGCAAATGAAACAATGAATGGACCGAAGGCCTCCTGGTGCAATTTGGAGCATTCTATGTCAGACGTCAAAGTTCAACGCTCCAGCCTCCCCAACACGCTGTCAACCCAAGTCTTTTCAAGTGTCCTGCTAACTGCTAACTCCAATCTCCACTCCTTGCCCCCTTCAAATTGTATGTGTTGTTGGCCGATGCCTCCCAGAGCCTCAAGCCCGCTTATATCCAGACTTTGGCTTGCCATTTTCCTTTTTTTTTAAATGTCGCTGTCTGACCATATTCACTCTTTTGCAAGTTGATCTGCCTATCAGTCTTCTTTTCTATCTTACTTCTCCGTTTTTGGGATTCGTTCTATCTTCTCCTGTCGCATTCGCGATCATTTGACCTCTCACTTGTATACCATTTTTGTTTGGAATCTACCAACTATCGCCATTCCTTTTCCAGGAGATCCGAGCACCTCAGTCATTACAATCATTCCAAAACCTGTCAAGGGACTAGAAAAAGTTTTTCAGTATGTTTGCGCCCACCATTCTGGGAGCGCTTCTTTTGCCACTGGTTGGTGCGGTGTCTGTGTCTGTCAATCGTACTACAAGTAGTAGCAGCCTCCATACGTGGTGGCACAGCACCGGTGAGTATAACACTCAGACCCCAGTGCTTGATGGCAACGTCCGCCAGTCCGGCAACTACTCCGTCCAAGTGAGTACCTCAAGCAACACCAGCGATCCAAGCAACTACTATGATTCTTTCGTCTACGAAACTATTCCTCGCAATGGCATGGGAAACATCATCAACCCGCTCGAACCCACAGTCTTGAGCACGAATGGTGATGGCATTACCATTGAAGCTGCTATCGGTATGACCATGGCCTGGACGTCATTCTTGTACAGTGAAGATGTTTCCGTTAAAATCTCTCGCCTGGATGGCGGCAGCACCGCTGCAAGCAACGTCATTATCCATCCTACCACTCTTGATTACGCAAAGACCGAGGTCAACGGCGATCTCTACATCACGGTGCCTTACAACAGTCGGGGAGTACGATTCTCGGTCGAGTTCACGGACAATCTTTACGAATTCCACAGCAATTGCGCAATTTCTTGCACTGTGGGTAAGCAACATTTGAAATCATTCTTTCCTGGTTGGAACAGCACGTCGGGTTGCAAGACATCTTGTGGCCCAATCATCCCAATTAGACTGGTCTTATGACTTAAAATGTTCCTTGTCCTAGGGGAGATGCTAATTCTAGGATCATTCTAGGCGGTCTCGTGCAGAACACCAATCCCTCCGGTGAATCGTATTGGCAAGGACCTTTCGATGGTGGAAACCCTGTCGTTGGCATTGAGCCTCTCAACTCTCTATTGATCTTTGCCAGCCCTTTCCCAGCGCCCGATATGGTTCCCGAACAGACTTCGCCGACCTCTCTCGTGGTAGAACCTGGCCTGGTCACGGATGTGCATACGACGGACAAGACCACGGTGATCTTCAACCCGGGGGTATACTGGCTCTCCAGCGTTGCACATTTGGCGCTGAGCAGTAGCGTCGATTGGGTCTACTTCGCCCCAGGCGCATACGTGAAAGGCGCCGTCTCTTTCAACACTGCCGCCCCAACGATGAAGGCCACCGGCCACGGCGTCCTCTCAGGGGAGCAGTACGTTTATCAGGCCAACATCGAAGCGGGCTACTGCAACGAACAATCCAACCAAAACGGATTGAGAATGTGGAGCGGCGTGAGTTCCGACGACCAGCAGACCTTCATCCTCAACGGCGTCACCATCAACGCCCCGCCCTTCAATTCCATGGACTTCACCGGCAACCTCGCCACGCTCTCGACGCAGGTGTCAGACTACAAGCAAGTCGGCGCGTTCTTCGGGCAGACGGACGGGTTGGAGAACTACGCGGGGTCGACGGTCCAGGACGTGTTCTACCACTCCAACGACGACACGATCAAGACCTATTACTCCGACGTCACCATCGAACGCGTCACCGTGTGGAAGGGCACCACGGCCCCGACGGTGCAGTTCGGCTGGGCGTCCCTCACCCTCGAGAACGTCCGCGTCGCCGACGTCGACATCATCCACTCGCGCTATCCCTCCAACGGCAGCCATCCGTCCCTCGTCGGCCTCAACCAGCTCTACTCCCAGCCCGACGAGACCGACCCCTACACCGCCGACGTGGCCAACCACGTCCGCAACGTGACCTTTGCCAACTTCCGCTCCGAAGGCATCAGCGGCGGTCTCTTCCGCATCTGCCCGCTCGAGACCTTCGACAGCTTCCTGATGGAAAACTTCTGGATCGAGGAGTTCTCGCCCGCCGTCACGGCCATCGCACAGAGCGAGTTGCCGCAGTTCTTCGACGCGGCGCGCAAGGACCCGGTCGGGGTCAGCGGTTTCGTCGTGAAGGATTTCACCGTCTTCGCCAATAAGACGGCCGTGACGCAGGACGCAGGGAATTGGGCTGTTGGGTCCCTTGGGAATATGAACATTGCGCCTATGTATATTTCGAGTGGGGGCGTGACTATTGTGTAGAGGCCGGCAGTGTAAGTCTGGGAGGTTGGGATCTCGTTTCACCCATATGACCTATCCGAGTTGTAAAAATAGCCCGCCTTAAATTCATAGTTTACAGTACTCGTCACAGGCTATCTCATGCCCTCCCTTTCCAAGCCTCCACGACCGCCTTGCGAGTCATGTCCATTTCCAAATGCGTTTTCGTCCCGGCCCTAGCCCATGCATCCAGCCATGTCACACCTGATCATATCGACTCCTGTGCCCCGCCGCCAGCCCTTTGACACTATCACTCTCCGCCCCCGTCCACTTCCTCGCACCTAAGCTCGGCCAGCTACTGAGGCCGATAGAGCTCCTCTTCACCGGCCCATTATTCTTGTTCAGCTTACCGTTGAACAGCAATCGCACGGCGGCCCAGGAGGTTGTGATGTAGATGACGGCATTCCAGAAGCCCATCAAGGGGAGGACGATGCCGGAGGCGTAGGTGAAAGGGAGGGAGACCAGGGAGGGGTGGAGGAGGGAAGAGACTCGGTTGATTGAAGAGGGGACCTGTGGTTTCGTGAGTTGGGTGGGTTACTTGAGCCTGTTTTCAAGGAGCCGGGTGGGAGCTTACCCATGTGACAAGCAATGAGACAAAGAAGAGAAGCGCTACTTTTGTATATCCGAACGCTGCCCTGTTCGCTTCCATAGTCGCCCGGTGATTTCGCTGCGCGATGGTCGAATGCGCCCTCGGTGTATTGGGTGGTGGCGCTTCAGATGACGGGCTCATTGGAGCTGAGCCAATAGTCACAGAGTACTGGTCATAACCCTTACCACTCATGTTGGGATTCTCCTTGTCCGGCATAGAACAGAGATTGGACACGTTGGGTGAATGGAGTGTGGCCAATTCGCTCGTAACCTGGATCTCGGTTGTCTTAAAGCTGGTGAAAGAATTTTCAATTCGCACAGGCACAGGTCGAGTTGACTTGGTGAAAGCGCGGAGCTGTCTGCGTTTGACGAAAATCTCACGTCCCGCGAGGACGTATATGCAGAATGAGATCAAGATACAGCACCTGGAATTCGATTAGTAAGAGAAATTTGGAGAACGGGGAGGGCTGCTTACCATGCTGGGGCATAGCAAAGTGCGATTCTGAGAGCGACCCATTCGATGTCGATCCAACACCAAAGCATGGCTGGGCCATAGATTTTGCCTTTAGATGGAGTCTCGATGAAAATGTAGACCAAGGCAATGATGAATGGTCCTCCATAGCACTGATTGAAATATCGGGGTCAGTGTTGCTGGTTAAAGGGAGTATATCGAGCCTTGGAACACATTCACAGAGTACATCTTTCAAAGACGCGGCTCAAAACTCAGGATTTGATCCAAAAGAAGAGACATAGATACGTACCATACAATGGTATCGCCATTCCAATGCCTTGAGCTGTTGGGCATTGTACCTGCGGAACAACGTCATGTATACATTAATAGCCATAGCCAGATTCCAGAGACTAGCACATTTCGGAGTCAGTGCTCCATATTCCAAGATAGCTTTTCGCGTCACGAGACATGTTGAGATTGCCATAACTCGCGGCAAGATGAGCAGCTTGCTCCAGGAACATGTCCCGTGACTGCGAACGCAGTATCAAGAACAAGAAGATACAACTCCGAAAAAGGCCTTACGCGTCTGCTGGTAGGAACCTTTTCACAAATTCAGTACATACACGTCAAGCCCCAGGTATCGAAGCGCTCACATCTGGATGAGGAAGCCTTGGAACTGGCAAAGGTGTGAGTCCCGCCCCGCACGTATACCCGACTGTGACACGAGTGTTGCGACATTGCACAGAGTGTTTCTACCAAAATTATGGGAGGTTAGTATGCTTTCGTCTTGGAAAAGACTCGAGGGGTGAGAGCATGTTCGAGAGTGGGCGGGGCCACAGCATGTGTTGCAATCCAACGTTTGGAAGGGTGGCAGAAGAGACTGAGGGGTGTACGTACCCCCAAGATGCGTAGAATATCAGTCTATTGACAGGCTTCCGGAAGGCAGGTGAGTAGATAAAGGTGAAGAGAATGACGCTAGTTCCAATGAGGGAAAAGCAGGAGGCGACACGCTCTGTAGTCTCGAGGTCATGAAGCTCTTTGAGACTTAATGCATGGGACATGGTGAAGGTTGTATGCAGTTGCGTTTTTGAGCTAAGACCAATCGTCGTTGAAAGAGGATTGTAGTCAGGCCGTAAAGCTATGAAGTGCAATGACACAGATCACAAACTGTTGCGAATATTGTACATATCCATATGAAGTCATAGAGAGAGAATTGCCAAAGGTTCGAAAGCGTCCAATACGGTGGAAAGAGGGTGGAAACGTGGTGACGGACCAATGGAAAGATTGTATATCAAAATCAAACTAGAAGCAGCGGGGTGGAAGAAAGAAGGAAGGGGCAGGGAAGAAGAAGCAGAAGGAGAAGAAGACGAAAAAGCCAAGAGCAAAAGGGAGAGTAAGGAAGGAGTCATGTTGAATTCTCGCCTCTTGCTGCTTTGAAGAGGGAAGTGGTCTCGTACTGGTAGTGTGTGGGTGAGGTAGTTTTGATTGTTCGAGTCAAGTTCCATCGGTACCATAGCCAGAGCGGCACAGGGCAACCAACATGAGCGAAAGACATCAATTCCGAAAAGCCTGGAATCTGGTCGATTATTATTGTACTCTACCTACCTAGATTACAGCGAGGCAACCCATTGATTACGTTGAATTCACTCAAAGATAATACCTAACCAAAATAACCAATCAAATTGAATCACTCTTCAGCTTCGCATCTCCCGACATCTTGGATTTGGGTGGCTGGCTCAAGCTGGACAGTCGAAACGGACGGCACGGCCGAATGATCAGCTTATGCACCTGTCCCGGTTGGCATAAGATAAGGTACAGTAGGCTGCCGAAACGGGGCGACAACTGCATCCCCCCGTCCCTAGTCGCGTCATCTCAGCGATGATCCGGTGGCATCATGCATGCTACGGTACCTGACGACTCGGGACGGAGGAGAATCTGGTGCTCTGACCTTCTATCTTCGGGAGCAGTCATGCTCATGAAAGATATCAAAGAGCTTGAATATTAATGAAACGTAGTGCGAGTCAAAAGTAAAGGTGCTACTGGCCGGACGTGGGATTGTAAAAAGTTCAAGTAGCAAAATAAGGAAGAGAAAGAGGAAGAGAAAGAGAAAGATCAACCGGTCATATCGTGCTGCTGCTGATCATGTCGCTAAAGTACCTTGAGTACCTTAAGTTTGACCGAGAGACCGAGATACGACCATCTCCGCTAATATCCCGCTTTAATACTTTAAATGTTCCGCTTGGTCTAGGCCACGTGCTACCTTTGACGCTAAAGCGGCAGATGCACCCTCCCCCAGGTGAGGCGGACGGCGGTAAGGTACATAAAGTGGTACTTTAGCTTGCTTTGACAGCTTCAGCCTTACGAACCAGCCTTTGCACGACAACCGAAGAGTCAAGACATCACCAAGACTCGAACCAACCTTGCTCCAGGAAATCTTTCATCAGCCGGACTGATTTGCAGTCGCTACCACGGCCAGGAAATCTTCTTCAGTGGGCAAGTTTCGGCTCGACACATGCGCTGCTACCGCGGGCAATTGCATTCGACCGGTCCGGAAATGCAATTGAATGACCACCAAGAAGATGAGGACCTTGCCCTGGAGTGAGCATTTTCTTCACTGATGGGTTACCAATAGCAACGCTGTGGTGGCTACGACCATCCAGCTGAGATGATGGATCCAAGAACGAATGACGGGAGCTCCGAATGGTTACTCGTCTGCCTCCGGAATTGCCTTTCATGCACCCATTGATACCAAGTGCAGCGCCCTTCCTCTTGTCAAGGGCCGGCTCCGTGTCTTCGCATCCAGAACTTCCCTTCTGCTACATTCTCTAAGGTCCCCAAGCGAGGGACATGAGTTATGATGGAGATAGTGAAGCGTGAAGGAAGAGGTGACAAAAGCAGCTAGGAGACAGAGTTGTCCTTGTCAACAGAGGAAGGATGTAGTTGGCTTGTTCACAACAAATCGCGAATTGATTTGATCAAGTGCAATCGAGCGAGGGAAAGTGGTAGCATGAACTCAGGCCTTCACGGTTTGGGCCTTGAGGTCGTTGACCACTGAATCTATCTACCACCATTCGAAGAGACTTTTCCAGCGGAGAACTTCCCAAGCTCAGCCGGCGTGTCGCACTTAAAGAGAAACGAACGTAACGGCGACGACGACCATTCACCATAGTGTCATCTACCTACGCTTCCCCTCAGTGTCATAGATCCCGAATAAACTAGCTCAAGTAGGAGCACCGGCACCACCGGGCAGAGGCGGAAAGAATTCGGTGTTCCTTTCCGTCCACCCATCTCGCTTCATGGTCTTCCACATCTCGCTAACCTTGAATTTAACCAAATCTCCTGCAGCCCGTGCGTCTTCTTTCGAGTCATGACCCTGATCACCTCCCATTTGAACGTCTCGATCAAGATGCTTTTTCATGAGCGCTTTGAGACCGAACCGAAGGGGGAGACCGCGGGGATGAGGAAACAGGAGGACGGTATCAACGATGGAGGGGTGGATGATACGAGTAGCGTTTAGGTCATTGTCCAGCGCATGCCCAATTAGTGGGGTCTCTGGTGTCAAATGTTCAAACAGCAGGTCGCGGCCAATGGTGGGCGATTCGACAATTCGCAACCGCTGCTCACTACCTTTGGACGGCTTTTCCTCATCGACAGATATGCATTCGTAGGACAAAGCGTTCGCGTAGTCCTTTGGCCAAACTCCAGAAAAGCGCGAGTTTAGATCCAGAACCTCGCCCAGGGGTCTGACAAGCACATCAAGAAGATCCTCGCCATTCGGCCAAGCTGTTGCTGTAAGACGAATCAGTTCCAGCCCCAGGGTCGTGTAACCCATCTCGCAGTCAAGGCAAACAGCCATGTTGGGCCCCGGCGTCAGTACCTTGGGCGGAGTCTCCTTGAAAGGCATTATTAAGGCTAGCCGCTTTGGCTCTGAAATCTTGAACACATGTGTAGTCGCCTGGGTGCATCCGGCAGACTCCGCAACGGTCTCATTGCAACAGGCATAGATTGCTTCCTTGTGGCCTTTGTCTGCTTTATCTTTCGCTTGTGGCCTTCGAGGCTTCGCAGGATGGTACGTGCACGTGCCTCCAGAAGTCAAAGCTCCATCTTCCTCTCTTCTCCCTGGGAAGACTTGGAAACGATTTTTACATCTGTCACACTGCTCCCAGCCTTGGGCTGCTTCGACCCCTAAACGAGCCTGCGCAATCTCTTCATCACTTAGTGCATAAGGAACATATCCATGCCGAGCCAAGTCACCTTGTTTTGCGAGGAGCTTAGACAAAAAGGCGATTTCTTGGGAGGAAGATAGGCCTGTCTCGATGATTTTGGGAGTACTTTCGGTCCTGGCAACCAGCTCAACCGGCGCGCGTTTGGCAATCTGCTTCAGTCTCTCTTCCTTCCACTCAGCGAGTTTCATCTTCTTCAATTTAGTGATTCGCAATTTGATGATGTTCAGATAGACCGCTGGATTTTGCTTGGCTATACTCTCCTCCTCTTCCAGAGCTCCAATGATCAGCTCTTGAGGAGAGAGTCTAAGCACATTTTGTGACGAATCTTGAACCTCCTCGTTAAGCCGGACCATTTGCTCGTGAATCATGGTGATAAGTTGTATACGGACTCCGTGAGCGGCTGGCGGATTTTTTATCATCTTCGGGTTGAGAGACACTTGGACAGTCTTAGCTGGTAGCGATGTAATTTCAGGCTTTGGGCTGGTAGAGGACTCGTTCAGAGACGCCGGGCCGTTTTCAACAGCTTTAGTTTGCACTCCTCGAGCTGGTGGGGGGATTTCCCTCGATGCTGTGACCGGAAGAGTAAGCCGCCGCCTCTTGCGAGGCCCATTCTGGTCAATGTCCGCTTCTCCTAGTCTTCCCTCTGACAGAGATACAGTCGCTGGCGCAACTTCCGAGACACTACGATGCGCAAAGATGCAGTTCGAGAGGGAGCAGTGCGGATGCTCAGGGCAATCAATGTGTTTGAACAGGCCAATCGAAGAGAACATGGTGACGAGGGACGGTTGAAATGCAAACATCAAAAGGATCCTAGCCGAATGGCTTGATCATTCGGCTCTGCTACCGAGTCCAATCGCACAGGCTAGAAAGCCATAGGCCCATGAAGTCATTAAGGTTCCAGGTTGTAACTATCCATAGCTCAATGAACGTTGGCAGATGTCACATTTTTTGCTTGTTCTGGACGGCGAGCAGCATAAATCACGGCAGAAGACGAAGGTGAGGAGCCGAGACAAGGACTGTTGTGGTCGAACTCCGCCGCAATCACTCGACGAATCATATCAAGCTATCGATGATGAAAGGAGTCATGAGGGGATCTTAAGAGTCAAGTTAAAGAATGACTTGAGTGAGAGGTGATTGAAATGTGGACTGACAAGACTGAGTGCACACAATTCATCGGCATTCGGCAATCAAACGGTTCTTCAACATTGAATTTTAAACCCTAGCTAGCGCCGGGCGCGGCCAAACCAAAGCCCGAATGACAGCTGCAGCTGTCATTACTTATTATGCGTGTCAGTGTCATCGAGTTACTCTGGGCCCGCCACACTGAAGTTTTATCAAGGTAAAGTACTCTTTGGAAAATGTGCCCAAATTCAATGCAATCGACAATAAAAACAAGAGATACCTTTGCACCATTCTAATAGATTTATGGAGGAGGCCGAGCGGATAACAAACGATGGACCCCCGACGGCCGACCATCTTTGTGTGCTCATTCATGGGTCAGCTGCTGCCTGCGTCCCCTTCTTTCCTTTTGTCGGCGCGCTGACCAGTCAAAGGCTCTGGGGCAACCCAATTCATCTATCCTACCTCGCATCTTCTCTCCGCGACAAACACTCGGAGGAGAAGCTGCATATACTGGTATCGAAGACAAATTCAAACACCTTCACCTACGATGGAATCGATTTGGGAGCCGAGCGGGTAACACAGGAAATCGAGACTTATATCCAAGGCTTGGAGAAGAACGGCAGCGAAATCAAGAAACTCAGTATTGTTGGCTATTCGCTAGGTGGACTAGTTGCGAGATATACCATCGGACTGCTCTACTCAAAAGGCTGGTTCGATAGAATCAAGCCTGTCAACTTTACTACTTTCGCCACGCCTCATCTCGGGGTGAAAACGCCGCTGCTCGGGGTCCAACACACAGTTTTCAATTTTCTAGGATCCCGGACACTGTCAACATCCGGCCGCCAATTATTCACAATTGACACCTTCCGTGACACAAACCGCCCCATCCTCTCTGTTCTTGCAGACCCTCGGAGCATCTTCATGCTTGCGCTTGCACAATTCAGCCACCGCGTTCTCTACGCGAATATAATCAACGACCGGTCTGCGCCCTATTATACCACGAGTATCTCCGCTACAGACCCTTACACCAACCTTGACGCAGTCTCTATCAATTATCTACCCGACTATGCCCCAAATATCATCGACCCCGTCGATCCCGTTCACTTAAAACCTCCGGAGATTCAGCCACCATTTTTCGCTCGCATTGCAAGCAGCAGCCAGAGTCTCCTCACAAGTGTCCCAGTCTTCGCGCTTCTCTCTGTTATGATACCCGTTGGCTCTGTCGTTTTCCTAATCAATTCAGGTATACAACAAATTCGAAGCCAAAAGCGCATTCGGCTGCATGAGGAAGGCAAAGCTGGTATAGGCCTAGGAAGCTACAGGATCCCCCTTTTGGTTGAAAATGCGAGAAGTGCAATGGAAGGCGCCTTCGAGAACATGAATGCCAGACAGGGCCAGCAATACCTCCCAGGAACAGCATCCGATGAGAACCTTGAAGCCGAACTTTCCGATAAACCGCAGCGAAATGGGCATGCAGAGAAGAATTACCAAGCTGCGTCTCAAACATCATTGGACCTCGAACGCATTTCGTCACGTCGAAGTGAGTTTCCGACCTTAGCCTTGACACCGCAACAGTTTGAAATGGTCCGCGCATTAGACCAGGTGGGCTTTCGAAAATATCGTGTACATATTCACGCAGTCCGGCACACCCATGCAGCGATCATTGTGCGAAACCAGAAGCCTTCGTTGGATGAAGGCAAGATTGTGGTTCGCCATTGGCTCGATGAGGAGTTCGAGATTTGAGTGTTTTACAAGTAGCATTTGCAGTGGGGATTGAGATTTTAGGGCATTTGGCTGGCGTTGTGCATGTTGGGTTGCTTTGCATGCTTGTTAGCGTTATCAAAGGTAGATAATAGATTCGCCGATGAGCTACGAGGCGCCACTCGGCCAAATTTTGGTGTCGAGAGATGCAGCGATGCAATTGTACTTAGATCAAAAATAGAAGTTAGTAAACATGAATCAAAATCTGTGCGAAAAGTGCAGGGCCTTGGATTGAATCAAGCATCAGAGTAATCTCAGCCTTCACCTTGGTACTCAAGCTGACTGAAGGACGCTCTCAAGCATCACACTCGTGACACAACCAATACCTGACCAGCTGCATTCTCCGGTACTTCAAACCGTTCTTATACCCTCCTATACCATATCTTTTTGCAGCAGCTTCAACTAGAGTCACAGCTTTTTCTCATCACTCGTTGCAATTTTTTTGGGATAGGTAAGCCTTGAAATGGCCGTTGGAGTGATACTTCCTTGAATCGAATCAGTCAATGCGGTTCCCCCCAGATTGCGGAGACATGGTGCTGGTTGAATATTTGATGATGTGTGCACCTTCCATCACTTCCCAATGCACCTTCAAACCTATCATACCCTTTTATTTTGGGACTTCAATCCACGTTCTTAAATCAACAAGAAGTCCTCCACCACAGACCCGAGTCCTCTTCCACCAAACGATTCATAAATACCATCATACATTGTTCTCTACATACTTCAGTACACTCATGCTCTGCTCCTCGACTTTCTGCTATTCCTTTCCCCGTCTTATGGTGCCGATGAATCATCAATCAAGCAGCCATATGCTATATCATGGAGTGCTGGGCTCACTACACTCGTAAATGCAGGTCTCGGAGTCAAGCCATTACTAAGGAGAGAGACTTGTGTTTGCACTACAAGGATAGGACCTTGTCACTGTCTATGCACAGCACCACAAACAGCATGATTCGGCGAGTATTTCCAAATGGCCGAATTCCACACGGTACGCACAGTTCAGAAACACTCTTCCCCATTTTGTACCAAATCTTGGGCGGCAAGACATGTCTTTGGAGCAAAGCCCTCTCCTACTCCTGAGATCGATGTCATTAACCCATGTTCCATGCCTTGATTACGCAATGCTGACTCGGATTTGTGGGTAGTCTGCGTTGTCGGCGCTGGAATCTCGGGACTGAGGTGTGCCGAGGTGCTGGCTCAGCAGGGTCTGAAGGTGACGATACTCGAGGGGCGTGACCGCATAGGAGGGCGTGTGAGTTGGTCTCGATGGATCAAGACTGAGCGTAGCTGACAAAGATCAGGTCCACCAGTTCAGTCAACAGGGTCATCTGATTGACTTGTACATCTGCCTCCTCGTGGGATATTTGTACCATTATCACTAACATCAACCAGAGGGCCAAATTGGATTCATGTAAAACATTGAGAATGACAACAAAAATTTACTCTCAATAAGCTGATTGGTTCTATGAAGGGCACTGACCACAACCCGATTTTGGACCTCGCGGAAAGGACTCATGACACAACCTTCTCACCTCCTGAAGATGCCAAACCCTCTCTGTACGACGAATTAGGTCATCTTGTCGAGGGCCAAACGGCAAAGAAGCATTCCGAGCTTGTCTGGGAAATCATTTCCAATGCCTTCAGGTATAGCAGGGAGAACGGCCCTTCGATACCACCGCAAAGCTCCCTTATGGACTTCTTTAGGAGCGAAGTGAAGGGGAAGGGATTGAATGATGTTTCCTCCAAGCTAATCCTCCAAATGGCTCGAATGTGGGGAGACTTCGTGGGCGAGCCCATTGAGAAGCAAAGCCTAAGGTGTAAGTCTAATTTTCGGAGTGTTTTGCCCCCAGCGACTACCGCATTGTGAGTCGTAAGACAACGTTTCGAGAGTACCCGGACATACTTCACCCGCTCAAATCTCAACTTCGAGCAGGCATGCTGACTTCGAAATCTTGAAGTCTTTTGGCTGGAAGAATGCATCGAAGGCGGTAAGTGGCCACCCTTGTGGCAACTCTTATGGCAGACGATTCCAAATGCACCGCTACTCACATTATCCAGAAAATCTCTTCTTGGCAAGCACCTACAAATCAATCCTCGACCTCATCGCCAAAGGCGCATTGGCTAGAGCCGATCTCCAAATCTCCACAAAGGTCACTTCCTTCAAATCGAACATCCAAAGCGGGCAACCGCCCTCGGTCACCATTACCACGGCCTCCAACGACACTATGAATTTTGACGAAGTGATCGTGACCTGCCCCTTAGGCTGGCTGAAACGTAACGTTACCTCTTTCTCGCCTACGCTTCCCTCTCGGATCACCACAGCCATCGAGCACATTTCCTACGGTCGTCTCGAGAAAGTTTACTTCACCTTTCCCACTGCGTTCTGGCTCTCGTCAAATTCCACAGGTACAGTGACCACATTTTTCTCCCAATTTCTTCCTCCCACGTACGCTTCAGACCAAAATCCAGAACGCTGGACCACGGAATGCGTCTCGCTCGCCTCCCTCCCCGGGTCTTGCGCGCATCCAACACTCCTATTCTACTTCCATGGACCCTGTGCTCAGCACGTCACCTCCCTGATTCAAGGCCTCGATCCAGCCTCCAAGGAATACTTCTCTCGCCTGGACGCCTTCTTCCACCCATACTATTCGCTCCTACCCGATTATTCCTCGTCGTCTCCCGATTGCAAACCCTCCGGGATCTTTGTCACGAATTGGCAGAACGACGAATTCGCAGGATTTGGCTCCTATACGACGTTTCAAGCTAGCGATCCAGCAAAGGATGGGGAGGTGCAGCTGGACAAGGATATCGAGGCGCTGAGGGAGGGTTGCCCGGAGAGAGGTATCTGGTTCGCGGGCGAGCATACGGCCCCATTTGTGGCGTTGGGGACGGTGACGGGGGCGTATTGGAGCGGTGAGGGTGTTGCCAAGAGGGTAGCGGAGGTTTATGGGTTAAGCGGTGGGGATGAGAGCAAGCAAGGCTCAACAGGTCAGCCTATGCGTGATGAATTGAACGAAGCATAGTCAGACACCAAGGCATTCAGAACCCTCATGTTCGATGATGGAGCACGGAAGGCGTTCAGCGCGAGGAGCGAATGGATGGAGTCAAACGTAGACTTTTGTGCGAGCTATCTTGGAGACGTGAGATGAGACGATGATTATAGACACGCATCCGCCAGCGCCCAAACAAAGCCATGTGCAAGAACAAGATATCATCGTATGCTTCGCTGGTGAAATAAGCCGGTGCCAAGACATAAAGAGACTGCCAACATGTCATATATACGTTTGCTTAAGCACTCATTCTGCCATCGCCAATCCGGACTGAAGAACTCTCTTCAACCCCTGACCAATTCACCCAGTCTTTTCTCCAAAATCTGCTTACCCTCGTACGTCTTCCACACCTCATGCGGCGCCGCATTGACCACATCCCAGCTGATCAATTTATCCGTGATCAGTGTCAGATCTCTCTGCTTCCTCTCCCACTCATCGTCTTTTCTCACGTTGATACCAGAACTCACCACCACGAGTGGGGTCTTGGGGCTCTGGATGTTTCTTGCCTGGCTCACTTCATTCTTCGTAAGGGAATTGGCAACGAGGTTCTCCTGTAGCTTCGCCTTGATATACTTCCCGCCTTGGTATGCCGAACGACCGTAAACCCGATCTTCTGGCTTGCGACCCTTGGCGATGGCACCAAAGAGGCGATCGTACCCTAGTGGAGAGATGATGCCGCGTGCCCAAAGAACGAAGCCTCGACCCGGCTGACCAATGTTGTGTAGCAGGTCCTCGTGCAGGGCATCAATGAGCATGATGCCAGTAACTTGGCGGACGTGACGGCTAGCGAAGATGCGGCTGTAAATGCCTCCTATGCCTGCCGAGACAAGGATCCACGGTGATTGTTCGCCGGCACGGGCAAGAGCTTCCGAGAGGGCATCCGAGGTCATGCCTGCGGAGTGTGGGGAGGGTGCGTTGTCTGACCAGGCGAGACCTGGGCGGTCGTAGTAGCAGTAGCGGTAGATGGTGCCATTTTTGTAGGCGTCGTAGACCCAGTCGTCGAACGTGTCCTCCACCGGGTTCTCTCCGGCTTCAAGAAGCACGGTGGGATTGCGCTTGCCATCGGCGTTGTATGTCACATTGCCAACACAGGCCAGGTGAAGCTGGTACTTGTCCCCGTCGACGAAGTATCGTTTTCCGGGAGGTGCTAGACCTGCATCGCGGGAGCGTAGGATGAGGGTTGCAGTCAAAAGAATCACAACGACGATCATGACTACCATGATTATAAATTCGGCGAGTACAGCAAGCCATTCACGAACGGTGCGACGGCTCTCCTTGCGTCCCGTGAGGCGCTCTTCCTCTTCCTTCTTTCCCCATGCTACCACTCGATCTGTGAGGACGTTATAGAGTGCAATGATAGTAGCCCACACGACCGACGCAATGCCGACCCAACCTTCCTCCGCACGTATACGAGGAACGGCAACAATGATGATCATGTCGATCAGCAGGAAAGCTGCCACGATAAGACTGCCCACTTGCATGGCTTTGGAAGGCGTAGAGAAGAAGAGTATGGCGACAAGAAGGTTGCCAAGAGTGAGAGTGGTGTATGAGAAATCGAAGAAGCCGGAGCCACGAGAATGCATCATCGGCGGGCTGACGAAGATTGAGACCAGAAGTAGCACCCACCAGAGGAAGCTGATGAGAGCGAAGAGGACGGAAAAGTAGCGGAGAGCTCGGACGCTCCAAAGATTATATGGGGATACCTGATAAGCTGTCAGTACAATGCCTTCCAACCCTTTTCACAAGACATACAGCTGGGTCATCTGGGTCAAGGAATCCATCGTTTCGAGGGGGCAATAAACGAGTCCTCTCATCTGGTTCTCGCCCTCCGGAGCGACGAGTCTGCTGGTTACTATCGTCACCACTCTGTTCAGCATCATCGCCCTCGTCACGCTCCTCTCCATTCTTGGAACCCCACAGTGAAACCATGTTCGTCTACGACAAGCAATCTTCGTTGCCAGTGTCGAACGAGGCTTGGTTGGAAAGTGGGCAGGAAGTTTGCCTCGGTCGTGTAGAAGCGGCCTGTTACGAGTAGGTCGAGTCAATCAAGCAGGAAAGATTAAGCTGTAGAATGAAGGACTAGATAACAACTTACCAGGCTTTTTTTTTGTTTGTTTTGTTTTTTGTTTTCTTGTTTTATGTCTGAGAGGAATGGCTATACAGCAAAATCGGGATATAGACAAGAGATGAGAATGATGGTGGGTTGTGAAAGGGTTAGAGGAGGTACCTAGTGGTAGCAGGCAGAGGAGTTAGGAGTACTTCTGTAGTTACACGTGAAACAGAGGCGGGGGGATTTCCTTCTTTTTCCTGTGTGTCATGACCTTGTCCGCCCGTCATCATGCAGATCTCTCTGGGCTTAGGCTTGGCTTGGCGCTTGGCTTGGCTTGGCTTGGCTTCAGGCTTGGCTTCGATCAATCTACGATAACATAACAGATTAAGTGCAATCTCACATCTACCAGTACTTCAATACTTCAATGATACTTCATGCACAACACCCTTAGGTCAATGCTCTTCTATTCGTCACGTCTGAACGAAACAATAAATGATAAGCTACAATTATCATGAGTGACCTCCAACGTTCTTTTGCCAAAGCAAAGCTTGCCGCTTTACCATTCGAACCGCCCTTCCTCCTTTCTCCTGAAGAAGACGAAGAGAAGGATCAAGATGATGAATATGGCGATTTGAGACCATCACCAGATGCTGCTCAAGACGATGACTCCTCATCTTCCGCATCCTCGGCTTCATCTACGGGTACGATAATACCCTCTCCGAGTAAGAATCTTTTTGCTAGGCCCAAGTAACCCCCCCCCTTTTCTTCCCCATTGGCCATGCAAACTCTGGGCCTGCATCACGCTTCCTCTTATCTCATCTGCCCTTCATTCTCTCCGCATGAGACTGTGTAATTTCAGTATAGACAGGAGCACTTTCAATGTCAAAGTCGTTGTCTAAATACTTTCCTTGATTGCAGGGTTTCCGCTGGTAGAAGGACGCTAGAGCCACTTCCTTGGAATGACTACTTCACTCGAGAGCTCTATTTGAAAGTCTCTCGTCCCACAGAGAATGTCACATATCATGCATATATAATACCACCCACGGCTAATGGCCCTCTCCTGGTAACCCATCACGGAGCCGGCTCCTCGGGTTTATCATTTGCTCTTTTCGCTGTTCAGGTGCGGAAAGTTCTTCCAAACGCTGGGGTACTGTCTCTTGATGCTCGAGGTCATGGGGAGACCGTTATTGAGCAGCTTGATAGGCCAAGCAACAATACCGATCTCGACCTTAGTCTGGAGACCTTAAGTCAAGACCTGCTGGATGTCATACACGTGACCCAAACGCAGATGGCGTGGCCGGAATTACCTGGCCTAGTCTTGATCGGCCACAGTCTCGGTGGGGCTGTGGTGACAAATGTAGCCGTGAACGGAGAGCTTGGTAATGCGGTCTTAGGCTATGCTGTTCTGGACGTTGTTGAAGGTATGGTTTTCAAAGACGTCGCCTCGATCTTGATAATCATGTCTGACGTTCCCATGGTGCAGGGTCTGCGATCGATGCACTGCAAAGTATGCAGTCCTATCTGTCCACCAGACCGAAGACTTTCCCCTCCATCACTTCGGCTATCGAATGGCAGTAAGTAGTCTCTAAATTCCATAGTCGTCTTCTGTCAGCACTGATGTTCTGATCCCAACAAGTACACGCTCTCGCACAATCCGCAACAGTACATCTGCACGCATCTCTGTCCCGTCTCTTCTTCGTCGTGATCCTTCAAACGCATCTCATCAATGGACCTGGCGAACGGACCTCGCAGCCACCCAGCCCTACTGGGAAGGCTGGTTTGCTGGCCTCAGCCGAAAGTTCTTGGATGCAAAGGGTGGAAAGCTGCTTCTACTTGCTGGCACTGATAGATTAGACAAGGAATTAATGATTGGACAAATGCAAGGGAAATACCAATTGCAAGTATTTCCCGAAGCGGGCCATTTCGTTCATGAAGATCAAGCGGAGAAAACCGCAATGATAGTTGCAGATTTCTATCGCAGAAACGATAGAAGTGCGTTGGTGCTGCCGCCGAAAGTGGGAGCAATGTCGAAACCGAAAACTTTAGCTTGATACTCTAATCCAAATGATATTTACAAGACACCACACGCATTGCTTGTTGCTAACCATGTAGACAGAATGTACACTAATGAATTCACTGAGCCTGCTGAAGTCTCTCCCCTAGTCGATAGCCCAGTGTTCTTCCTGCAACAGCGGCAACAGCTGCAGCACCTGAAGCAGTCGATTCACCAGAAGTATCCGCAGTGAGCCACTGCGAGCGGATAGTATCGATGACACGTACATTTGCGATGACTGCCTGGCCGGTGATGAAGGGATCCAAAGGGTGTTGATCTCGCGGCTCAGTGCTTTCGTCAGATTCAAGTAATTCATCTCGCTCTCTGTCCTCATCGCCTCCTGTTCGACCAGACGAAGTATGCCGTATATTTTGGAGCTCAATGCCGTCCTGAACTGTGTCGTCCCGCCTCAGCATTCCTCTTTCCTCCGAATCATGATCCTGTCTCGCTTCTTCAACCTCTTCTACCAAAACGTCTCCGTTTTCAACCGCAAGTTTCTTCCTCTCAAGTGTAACGGCCAGGATTAGGACCTGCAGAGCTAAAACCAATGTATCCAGACCCAATAATTTCCATTTGCTGACCGGACTCTCCTGGCCCACAAAGTCAATCAATAGTCCGCCGAGTAAATAACCCCTCGTGGCTTCCCCGGCAGCTGGCGGTCTCAACAGGAGATGTAAAATGATGCAGACAATGTTGTTGCCAAAGATCATGCCGATGTAGGGACGGTGTGTGGGCGACGGCGGCGGAAATATGGAAGGCTTAGGGGTAAAATAGAACCAGTGCGGTAAAGCACGCAAAAGGAATTTGAAGAGCGAGATACTGTGGATCATGTTAGCGCATCCACGGAGGTCAGATACAGATTGCTCTGAGTATAGGAGGACACACTCCATATAATAGAGGATTGACAGTTGGCAGTAGAAGATGATATCAATGTTCCGGATGAGATGATCTAAGAACGCCGCCTTCTGCTCTCGCTGTCTGCGTCGCTTCCGCTGCACGGAGTCGTCATCATTATTTGCAGCCACGGCGGCGGCGGCGGAGGCTATCCCATGAGCGTTCGAGGCGTCGTCGTTAAGGTCATGAGGGGCGTGGTCTGAGGCTGAAGGGGAGGCATCATTCATGTCTCATAAGTCAGACATTGGTCCCGATCTCGAAGCAAGGCTGTGCAACGAGCTTAATCTGTGTAGGCAGCAAAGGCCAATTTCACATGTATTGTACAATGATTATACACAATAAGTAGAGACCATTGTGACTTCCTAAAGCTTCCATTCAATGCTGATGGATATGACGCCGCACTACTCGTATTTACCCATAAGTACCAATCTCCCCAGCGCTTCAACGTTCTATAATCAGTCTCCGGTCTTCGAGTTCGAAGACAATTTTTTGCGTACGAAGCTGTTAAGGATATGGAACTCAATATCTTAACCAGAAGGGAAGTCTTGCCAGAATCGTTCATTGAGAAGGTGTCCTCAAGGCAGTCTGGTAATATTGAAACAAACTACTGATAGTTGCACCAATGATTAAATACGACTACTTTAGCCTGTGGAAAGAGCATAATCATATGCCATTCACTTGGCGCGCTCGCGTTTATCAAAGCGCGTTTTCTCCGCATAGCAATTTATTAATCCGGCATCTCCTCCGCCTTTGATTACTTCAACAGACAGTCCGCCTTCCTATCTTTAAGGATTTATGGCAAATTTCTTCGACAACAAGGCTCGTGCAGCCGCTGTCGCCGCAACCAATGGAGCCTCTTCATCCAAATCCGCAGCCCCCAAAGAGTCCCAGAATCTGCAACCTTGGGTGGAGAAGTAGTATGTTGAACGTCTTCCTGAGGTGCTCGCAGAATCGTTGCTGATCTCTGACAGCCGTCCAAAGAGTCTGAACGATGTTACAGCCCAGGATCACACAATCACTGTTCTACAACGAACATTACAAGCTTCCAATGTATGGGATCAAGCAACAGATTTTATTCCGACTGACCAGAGCCGGTAGTTACCCCACATGCTGTTTTATGGCCCTCCAGGAACAGGCAAAACGTCCACAATTCTCGCCCTCGCAAAAGAGCTCTACGGCCCCGAAATGTTCAGGACCCGCGTGCTTGAGCTCAATGCCTCCGATGAACGCGGTATCTCAATAGTGCGAGAAAAGGTTAAAGATTTTGCCAGAATGCAGCTCTCAAACCCACCTCCACATTATAAGGATCGTTACCCGTGTCCGCCGTACAAGATTATCATTCTGGACGAGGCAGATAGCATGACGCAAGACGCTCAGAGCGCGCTGAGAAGGACAATGGAGACGTACAGTAAGATCACAAGATTCTGTTTGATTTGCAATTACGTCACAAGAATCATTGATCCGTTGGCAAGTAGATGCAGCAAGTTTCGTTTCAAGATGCTCGATCAAGGAAATGCCAAGAAGAGGCTGGAAGACATTGCTGAAAACGAGAACGTCAAATTGGAGGATGGCGCTGTCGACAAGCTGATCAAATGCAGCGAGGGAGATCTTAGAAAGGCGATCACTTTCCTCCAGAGTGCAGCAAGATTAGTGGGCGCTGTGAAGACGTCGCATTCGAGATCGAATGGAAACTCGAAGAAGAGAGTTCTTGAAGATGAAGATGACGAGGATGAGGACGCCATGGAGGTGGACGGAGTTGATGAGTCAATGGTCACCATCAAGAATATCGAAGAAATAGCTGGCGTCATTCCGAACGACGTCATTGACGGATTGATTCAAGCCATGCAGCCAAGGTCGAAGGGAGCCGTGTACGAAGCTGTAGCTAAACAAGTAACGGACTTGGTGGCCGATGGGTGGAGTGCTACGCAAGTCGTAGCGCAGGTACATATAAATTCGTCGCTTTCCCCAGTGGAAACGTTGCTAATCTTGAATCCCAGCTCTACCAAAACGTCCTTTATGACGATGCACTGAGCAACAAACAGAAGAATAAGATCGTCATGCAATTCTCGGACGTCGATAAGCGCCTCGTCGACGGCGCAGACGAACATTTGACCGTATTAGATCTGGCTTTGCAGGTATCTGGCGTTCTGGCAGAGACCTGAGAATTGAATTGCTGAACTAGCTTAAAAACTCCACGACACAAACCATTGCAGCTCTATGATGCTCGATAGGGGCTCGTTTGAGGCTCTAACATTTTCGCGGCTCAAAAGAGTAATGCCACCGCCCAACTATGAAAATTTGCGACATGCTTTGTCTGGGAGCGAGTGTGATCCAAGAACTTGCAAAGTAAGCTGCCGAGTCCTGGGCCACCTCGGCTGTTCACAATGGCAGAAGGAATTTTGTGGGTAAGGAACCCTGCAAGACGCCAACAATATCTTCACCTCGGTTGGGCCGAAGAATTGGTAGCTCACGAATGATGGCTGTGAGATGTAGCTGTGGGAGAAAATCACGTGGTCGAGGACCATGTTCTCATTCACGAGCATGCGGTATTCAAATACTCAACGCCTACACTGGTGATTGCACGGACTCGGATTGCAATAAAACCCTTGCCAGAGCTAGATGGCACAAATTCGAAATCATTCTTCCGAGTTTTCCGATTGTGGTTTCTTCCCTATCATAGTTGACCCCACTCGAACGCCATAACCTGTGCTTATACTAGGGTGAAACAACTTGCAAAGATCATCAGGAACGGTTCCAAAGCAGACCTGACTGAATTCGAAACCTTCGTGGCTTTCTTTTGAGGCTAGCATCACAAGAGTATGCTGAAACCAAAGGTTCACGATGTCACGATATGAGCCAAGAGGCAGGTCAAACTTCCAATGGAAGCCGTCTCATGAAAGTCTCACACTGAGTGGACTCTGCGCTTGGTCGAGGTCTCTGGATTGTCAGGCGTGTGTTGATCCAATGGTTGGTATATTACATGTCTTTCAGACCGCCATCGCGGGCATTGCCGCCATCGCACCCACACCTCGCTCTGACAATGGGCTTCTGCTCTCTTTGTCAATAGATCTCTGCTTTCCCATGTTCCCCACGGCAGCTTGTGCGCTTTTATTTTGATGCTTTGCCTTCTTCATAGCCTTGGTCTCCTTCTGCTCGTTTATGCCAAGTCTCTCGTCTACATCCTTTGCCAGATCAACCATGTCACGCAGCTCCAAGACCTCGCAGACTTGTCGGTAACTCATGCAAGCAGCAGCCTTCCTGCATAATTCGGCTTTCCCAGGCATCAATTGGCTAAGCAAGAACTTGGTGTTCCCCCATTTGTTCTCGACCTCCAACGCTGTCTTCATGTATTCCGTCACCACCTCCCTCCATGGCAATAGCCCGCCTTCTTCTTTCGTCCTGAAACAGCTTGAGTTTGCCTCTGCGGCGGTTGCTATCATGCCACCATCAACACCATAGTCTTGCGCCAACTGCAACGCCTCGTCTTTGTCTGTGACGTCCCCGTTCATCAAGCAGGCCACGCCTTCCTCTCGACAAATTTCCGCGATCATTCGTAGCTGTTCCCGTATAGCTCTTTCCCTCGGCCTCATGGGCGTAGTACGGCAGTGTACCGTTAGTCCTGTGATACCAGTCTTGCACAGCTTCCTTACGAGTGCTTCTGTTTTCTCTACTGTCTCCAAAAGGCGAATCTTCACGCTAATTCCAATTTCATACACCTCGCCTACCTCCTTCACCAATGCTGCTAGGATGGAAGCTAGCAAGTCCGGTGTTTGCAACAGCGCAGCTCCCATACCGCCTGAGGTGGAAAACGGCTTCGGGCACCCTGCATTGACGTCTATTCCGGCCACGTCTTCGGCAACAAGCTTTGCAGCTTCAACAGCCGTTTCGGGCGAAGCGGTCCCAATCTGGAATATCAATTTCCCATGTTCTCGTGTAGGATGTAGTCTGTAGATCAAACTCTCTTTTTGGACTGAAGGTTGGAGTCTCGAGGAATTGGAAGGCAAGCGAGTGAAATCGATAGTAGACGTTGTTGGGTTGAAGCGTTTGGTCGTTCCTATCATAGACCTATCGACAGTCTCGGGGCCCCAGACCAAGTCTGCGCCGTATTTGAGGGCGAGCAAACGAGAGGGCAGTTCGCCAGAGCGAACCATAGGTGCGAGTACGACCTTGCCCCGGTAATCCACGCCATTCTTAGGTATGGGAACTCTTTTCGACGTAGAGGCCATGATGCTAGCAAGGGATCGAAGCATCAAAGAACACTTATTGTCACCATGCGAGGTCACGAAGTGGTAGAATCACAGTCTCGATTTGAGTCAAAAACATGTTGCACAATTTTTTTTTGGTTGCGGTGAAGTCATTTTGCCCGCAATATCTATCCCCAATACGAGTAACGTCCACTTACTCCTGCGTTCAATATATTGGATCCGCACCTGCGATCAACGTCACATGCTAGTCTCTAGGACTGTGAATCGTGTTTTCCAAAAGGAGCGAATTATCAGAATTAGCGTCAGCAACCTGCATCTTGACCGCACAGCTTGTGTGTCCACACTGGCTTCCCCCAACTCAAAATCGAGCCCCACCAGAAACTTCAACCTTACAACCTCTCGGGCCCAACAGATCTCAAGACACCTCTCTACCCAGACATCGCGAAATCTCGAGATGAGTTCACTCCCGATCAGCGAGAAGGGCTATCATGCCAATGCCCCCGGCGGATACTCTGTCAGAAAGAACGGGGCGCCCAATTCACTGGAGCACCGCATCTACGTTGAAAAGGATGGGGTGCCCTTGTCACCGTTCCATGACATCCCTTTGTACGCCAATGAGCAGCAGACTGTTCTCAACATGATTGTGGAGATTCCACGATGGACTAACGCCAAGATGGAGGTAAGTGACCGGCCTTGGAAGAGGCTTCATACTACACAACCTTTACATTCCCAAGAGCATTGGTGCTGATACAGTTCATCCAGATTTCCAAGGAAGAGAAATTGAACCCAATCAAACAAGATATCAAGAAAGGCAAGCTTCGCTATGTCCGCAATTGCTTCCCTCACAAAGGTTACCTCTGGAACTACGGGGCGTTCCCTCAGGTACAGGCACCTAAGACTTTCTTTGTCTCTCTACTGAACAACAAAAATAGACCTGGGAAGACCCAAATGTTCTCCACCCGGAGACCAAGGCCAAGGGTGATAACGATCCCCTCGACGTCTGCGAGATCGGTGAGCTTGTTGCAACTCCAGGACAAATCAAGCAAGTCAAAGTCCTCGGAGTCATGGCCCTGCTCGACGAGGAGGAGACCGACTGGAAGATCATTGTCATTGACGTCAATGACCCATTGGCACCTCGACTCAACGACATTGAGGATGTCGAGCGACACCTACCGGGCCTGTTGAGGGCTACCAATGAGTGGTTCCGTATCTACAAAATTCCGGACGGAAAGCCAGAAAATCAGTTTGCTTTCTCAGGCGAGTGCAAGAACAAGAAGTACGCCACGGATGTCATTCGCGAATGTGCGGAGGCCTGGGAGAAGTTGATCACTGGCAGGACTCAGCCGGGTGGCATTTCTTTGTAAGCTGCGTTGACCTTTCGAGTGTTACAACTGTACTGAGAAGCTCATGTTGTTATAGGACCAATGGGACCGTCCCGCATTCCCCAGACCGTGCGGATGCGAGCTCCCTCAAAATCCCCCGGCATGAAGACCTAGCTCCCAAGCCTATCGACGGGATTTATGACAAGTGGTTCTTCATTTCTGGCGCTGCCGTCTAAGCTCGCCAATCTTCTCCAATCAATCATCTCCCAGAATGGATCTAACCTGTGCTTATGGAGAAATATGGGAATATTCGACAGTGGGCGTTGCCTAAAGTCTTTCCCAGCAGCAGATAGCTTAGCATAGAGAATTTATGTGCCCGTATGATACTGCTCTCCGAGCTCCATGCTGATGCATTATTGTCATGGTCCTTCAATTGCCGGTCAGATCTGCCTGTCGGTTCAAAACCCTTGAATGGCGATCCACCTCCTCCACGACGTCATTTATTTTCAGCTTCTCGGTGTCCAATTGCATCTCTTTCCCATCTTCTATAAGAACGTCTGATCAGCTAAGATCCATTATAATGGATTCAAGCGCTTAGGTATGAAGCACATACTGAATTTGAGCTTCAAGAAGCTAGGCTCTTGGCTATTGCGCTCAAGCACCGTGGTATTGATCTTCATGGTACTTCTAGCATTGGCAGGTAGATGCGCTAGAAAGACTCGACAGGTCTTTGAAGGCTTTGTGAACGGATTGAACCTCGAAGTCACTTCGGTGATATGTTTTGTGATCATGGTACCAATCTATAACTAACTGAGGAATAAATCAGCTTCATAGGGTACCTTTTGGTTTTATCCGCATACCTGATTTCAGTGAAGCTTCTTGTGCAGATCTAAAAAGAATGTCGCAGGAGAGCAGAGCAGTCCGGCGTCGATCCTTTTGAAGTGGGCGGAAATTGCCCGCAACATCGTCACCTCGTCCGCGGTCCTTTCACCACCTTCTTCAGCTCGGAAATGACCACTCAAGCACTTAATGCCCGCTTGACACCCCTTTTTGAGTCTTTGAAGCAGACGCAGCAGCTGATCACTCGACTCTCCAAGTTTCCCGCCCAACTTGGCGCCAGCCCTTCCAACCCTGACGAGGACGACGCCCGCGTGGAACTTAGTGCAGAGATCCACCAGACCTTGAAGGAGCAGGAGGAGGACTTTGAGTTACTCCGGCAGGAAGTAGAAGATCAGACAAACATATCTAGCTGGTCGTCGAGCGCTCGCCGAAGAGACGCTGGAAAAGGCAGTCAAAGGACAGATCTAGCAGCACAAATTACGCGTTTGGGGGAGGATCTGAAGATGTAAGTATTACATAGCCATTTCTCTCAAAAATTCAGACTAACGTACATGGCCACAGTGCCCGTGCCCAATTCCGCAAAGCTCAGCTTCAAGCCAAGCGCAACGCTGAAGCCGCAAAGCGCAAAGAACGAGAGCTCCTATTCGCAGGTATACAAGAAGGAAACAGCACTACAGCTTACGGTCGAAGAAAGGGCCAAGAGAAGCTATCACAGGAGGAAATACTACTCAATGCTTCAAGTGACGTGACTGCTGCATTGAGAAGGACCCATACGCTGATGTCAGCCGAGCTCGAAAGGAGCCAATTCGCACGAGAGACTCTAGGTGAGGGTATTCAGGCGGCTTTGGTTCTTCAGTATGGCTAATACTCTACAAAGAAACCTCTACAAAAGACCTGGCTACCCTATCGGAATCTTACAGTAACCTCGACACTCTCCTCTCGTCGTCCCGTTCACTAGTTTCTAGTCTCATACACTCGCAGAAATCCGACACCTGGTACCTCGAGAGCGCTTTTTATATCCTTGCTGCTACTATCGCCTGGCTTGTGTTTCGACGCCTCATCTACGGACCTGGCTGGTGGTTGTTGTATCTGCCTACGAAGTGGCTGTGGCGGTTGAGCCTATTGGCCGTGCAGCTTTTGGTAGGCTCACTATCAGCAGTAGCTGGAACTGTTGGAGCAAAGAATCAGAGCAGCGCCCTTTCTCAAGCCTCGGAAAGCATTGTTACAAGCTTCGCGCAGAAACCCACTGGCACGGGCAAGATCCCGACTTTCAGACCGAACAGTCCGGCACCTTCAGTCAACGTCGGAGCTGGTGGACAAGGCGCCAAGATGCAGCAGCCGCAGCAGCCTTCACGAAAGGAGGACAAGACGTTGTCAGATCAAGTGGGGGAGATGGCCGAGCAGAGTCAGAAGGAGGAGCACACCCAGCTAGAGAACACAGCAACCGCTGAAGGAGAACAGCAGGGCACCGTGCTAAGAGAGAGGAGAGAGGATGAGCCTCCAAACCCCAAAAAGCGAATGTGGGAAGAGCCCATTGATCGGTCCCGGGAGAACGCCCCGCGAGACGAACTGTAAATAGAGTCGTTGACCTCATGCTTCTGTTCACAAATGTCATTCGTCTCTCCAGTCCCTTCACACTTATTGTCTAATGACAAAGACTCAATTGAGCTCTGGCGTTGCCGTTCGGTCTTAACGGATTTAGTGAGCAAAGACTTTGCCAGCAATGTTGACTTTTCTCGACTTCATAATGTTGCTAAACTCATGTCGCGACGCCGACAGTTCTGCCTGGTCAATGCACATAACAGTCCTCTTCCTAACTAAAGCTCCCCAGCAATGACTTCCAACCTCACGTCCCGCTGGACAACCCTCTACACTCGCACCCTCCCCACTCTCGCCCAGTCCTCCCAGCCCACCTGGCCCGTCCACCTAGACCACTGCTTCGCGCGCATCATCCTCGACGCAGTCATCGGCAACTCAACCTCCAGTCGCCCAGACGAAACGCCCACTCCATGGACCGCGAAGCTGAAATCGCCCGCGGTCAAGAACATGAGCCCACAGCAACTGGAAGCGTGTATAGAGCTCGGCGAAGCTATAGCCGAGGGAAGAATCGATCTGGTGGAATTGGACCAGCGGAGTTTGACCGTTCGAGGGAAGATGCTCAAGGGTGAGAAGAGGAAGAGGGAGGATGTGCCAGGCGACGCCGCTCCGGATATGAAGAAATCCAAGAAACCATCGCGAAGCCAACAAGGCGACATTCGAGCCGCCATGGGTGCGCCTCCGACGACTCCGCCCAAATCGCCATCACCAGCGGCAGTCGATCCGGCTCTATCCTCTGAGATCACCTCGCATCCCACCCTCACACCCTTTCGCAGACGCGTCCTGCTTGCTCTTTGCCAAGTGCCTTCGGGCTCATACACTACCTATCTCGCTCTCTCGAATCATCTATCTTCCTCGTGAGTCTACTCTTCGGAACGTTCTTCCCCCCCCACGCCTCCCGCATTGTGAGCGGTAAGACGTGTCCTGAGAGGATTTGTACTCACTTGAAATGTTTCACCCCTCAAATATGTAAGTAGAAGAGGAATGCTGACCCAGAAACCAAGACCTCGTGCAGTGGGCAACGCGTTGAGAAACAATCCGTTTGCGCCACGGGTGCCTTGTCATCGGGTCGTCGCTGCTGATGGGGGCATGGGGGGGTTTGGAGGGGAGTAAGTGCACATTTCGGAGCAAATATCTCCTACTCGAATCCATGGTTCTTGAGCCACAAGACCTGTCTCGCGAGCAGTAGGCCCGTTTCAATCTCCGAATTTGTCTTATGATCTGTGCGTCTTGCCTCGAAGAAGCCATACTGACTCTGCAATGTGTAGGTGGGGGCCAAAGGGTAAACACAATGGGAAGAAAGTACGGCTGCTGAAGGGTGAGGGTGTGAAGGTCGACGCTGCGGGTGGGAGGGTAATGGGGTCACCGTGGTCGGGCTTCAAGTGAGATATGCAGAGAGAGTAAAGCTGAGATCCCAGGATGGGACGGGGGGTAGATATCTATGAGATAGTGAGAAAGCAACGACGAAAACGGAGGGGTGGCAGCACTCGAGGAGAGTTGACTCCTCGGGTTTTGAAAAACGTTCAAAGGCGACAAAGGGCAACTGTGACCGCTCCTCAATGAGCCCGCCGTTAAGGAGGGCCGTCTATGGTCGAAGAGACCTCTTCGCATGAACTCTACGTTATGGCGTTTTAGGTTGTCTCAATGATGCACGAGCGAAGGGCAGCGTTTTCGAACCTGTTTTGAGAACTTGGAAGAAGCGTCGAATCTTTGTAGAGAAGCGTTCTGTATGTACTCAGAGCTCTGCGTCAAGCTGCAGGCCTTCCGTCCAATGATATAGACCTACTTATAGTATGCACACATAATTGCTGCGGTTCGGAAAAAGCGTGCTTGCACGGTCCCACGGCAAACTTCAAACATCTGACCAGAGCCCCAATGTGCATCCGTCAGGAGAAGCAACATACGATTCCAACCCCCACACCGTGCAGGCACACCATGTACACCACACCTGCCTTCCGAAATATACTATACCGGTAAAACCATCATCATCCCAGGGTATCGCAACATCATGACGAAAAAGACCGCTTAACGAACGCTAAAAACGCCTCGACGAGCCTTGCCCTTCTCACGTTTGCCCCAATGTCTCTTGCTCGAGACCATGATAAAGACATCCATGAACCTACATCAGGGGCTGGCCTCCACGCTTTTACCTCTTTTCTTCCAAAAATTGAAATTGAATCTCGAGCCTTTCCTTCCAACAACGCGTTGATGCCCACCCCCATCTCTCATGCTGCCGTTGCTCATAACAGAAGTCTTGATGTCAATATCCTTGGCTCCATCCTGTCCAGTCACGTTTCCAGGTCGATGTCCATTCCCTGGTCGCTCCAAGTTCACGACGTCCGGCATTCCTTTGCGCTCGGGGCCAGCCCAGCTGTCTAATCTAGATTGAGAGCTCTTCTCATCGCTATCCACAGTCAAGACGCTCGTGGCCTGGGTCCCAGTTGGAGAGTATGGCGTAGATTGAGACATGCTGGTATTGTTGGTATGTGCGCCAGAAGATGAGCGATGGTGAGCGCAATGTGTGTACGGTCTACCTACGATTGTATTGGCCGTGAAGCGATTGGAGCGCCAATTGTCAGTATCATCGTCTTTGCTGCCGCGACGTGAAATATCTCCTGCCCCAGCGGATTCGCGAGAGCCGCGGCGACTCCCATTCGTAGACAGGCCAATTCCAGAAAATGCTGTTTGAGACAGAGTATCCTCAGACGCACGTCCTTTTGGTTGTATATTCTCAGAAGTGGTAACAGTAGATGCTGCCTGAGACCTTAAGTCGGCGTTCAAGCCTAATTGCAGCTGACTAGGCGAGCTGTTATTCAGCCGTCTAGTGGTGACAGTTGCATGCGAAGTATTCGCAGCAGGAGACGCACCTGATGAGCGACGCGAGTATGAGGCTGAGTCGGTGGTAGGGTTCACTTGATTCAGATTGCGGCCGAGGGAGGAGCGGCGGGATGTATTCTGGCTATGAGCACCCGAATCAAAAGAGCCGAGATGGTGAGGGATTGAGGAGGCTGACGCCCTACGCGGCTCGTCCGCCAATTGAGCAGCTTGCGCCATTGGCGAGGTCTCCAGAGGTTGAGATGCTGGCAGTCCTTCCGGATGTGAGAACTCAGGCTGACTGGCAGGACGGTCTGGGCTCCCTGAACGCGGAGATAAGAGACCCTCGGACGACCTTTGCTTCTTCCAACCCATGCTATCCTCTTTGAATGTCTGTTTCTTGATCCTTTCGGTCCAGATCTCTTGGTTTGCTTTCATCTCGTCAACAGCGAACGCCATTGCAGGCAGAATATCAGTAACAGCCTCAAACAATGGACGCGCAAAAATGTTCATGAAGCTGTTTTGGGAGTTTCCGAGCTTGATAAGGTTGCCCAGCTCTGGCGGACCACCGAAAAGCGTGGTAGGTATGCCTACATCCTTCTCCATTACGCCTTGATTGGCAAATTCAAGCTGAAGAATGTTGGCCCATTTAACGGCGACTTCGAAAGGACGTGCCTGATATAACATCAATTCCATACATACATTACTTACCTTAGCAAGAGTACTTACAACGTTGCTAATGTCTGCACACTTGACAAGTAGGGCACATGTAAGTATCCTGTAGTCGTCTAGGACTTGAGGACTCCAGCCGTCGGTGCCATTGTTATGGTACACCTTACCCTGCAAATTTCCGAGCTCCCTCATATAATTGAAATGCATACCCATATCAGTTGCTAATATTGAATTAATCATAAGCCCACGCATTGGGATGTCTTCGAATGCAGCCTTCCAGTAGCGGCGCAGAATCTGCGAGTAGGCTGCGCAGTGAAATGCTTCGAGCACGGATTTGTCATTGTATAGTTGAGCGAGTGGTGCGTTGAGAGCCACGAGGAACGCATTGTTAACACCCGGGTGGCCGACATCATGCCCAATCGCGGTTATCAGGAGTGTAAGAGCATCGAAAGGCTTCAGTAAAGCTGCGATTGGCGAAATCTCTCTGTTTACACCTGACTGTACCGACGAAGCCGGGAAGGGAGGTAGCGTGCCAAGCTGGATTAAAAAGTAGAAGATGGCTTGCATGACATCAACTACGTGACGGAAATTGTGGTAATTCACAAAGCCATTGTAAGCAGCACGGCTGGCCATCAAGAAAATCGTCAGATCAGCTGCGGATAGTCGCCATTTATCAAGTTCTGGGATGGTCAGAGCGTGTTGAAGCATAAGGAAGGCTGCGTGAATCAGATCATCTTCCGAGTAGTCGTGACCGGAGAAAGCCCAAGACCCAAGGGCGCGAGACAACGCTTCTTCCTTTCTCGATTCCAGAGGGGGCAGCTTTTTAAGGTCAATTGGGTGTAATTCTTCATCGGGGTTGCAGATGCCTTTCATCAGTCCTGAGACCATAGCTTCTCGAAGATAAGCGTAGGGTTTGTTGTCGTTGTTGCCAAGCCAAGACCGCTTTCTCACTCTCTTCTGCGCGAGAAACTTCGCACGTTCGTTCCGCGCCTCCTTTTGCGCGCGACAAGCATGCACCGTCAAGCCACGAAGGCGTTCTACTTGCAAAGGGGATGTTAGGACATCTATAGCTCCAGTGTCAACGCATCTCAGCATCTGTTGGTATTCTGACAAGGCCGGGTTGCCGGCGGCCCTTCTCGGGCTGGAGGATGTCGATCCAAATACGGAGAAGCCGCCTGAGGAAGGCCGCGATGGGCGGTTGTTCGTGAACGTATGGCTGGTGGGACGTTCGGATCCTTTATTGTAAATCATCGCCACAGGTACGACCAGCTTTGAGAGGCTTGAAGTTGAGATCTCCGCCGAAATGTGCTCTAGAAGAGCGAGACCGTAGCAGTCTGCGAGCTCGGAGGACGAAGACTCTTTCGGAATCTCGTCCGAACGGCCTTCTACCCCTTCGTTGGCCGGCGTCCCCAGCATGACAAGTACAGGTTGGATATCAGTACTCAGAGATTCGAGATGTGAGACTTTAGCCATGCAAGTATCGCCGGAAATGCAGGTATGCACTGTAACGTGTTAGTCGCTACAGCTTCGGGGGAAGTGATGTGTATTCTGATAACGCATGCCGAGGCCCTCTTTGGCGGAACTCCAAGGGTAAAGAGACGTACCTCCATTGAATACGGACAGAAGACTCTTGAGGTTGCTGCGCACTTCTTCAACTTCTCCAAGGATAGCTTTCAAGCATTCCGGATTTCGATCCTCCCACATATGTTCGCCGTACGTGTTTGCTCCATCCGAACGAATTGACTCTGACTTTTGAACCACTTTTCCGTCGAGATCTCGGCTCAAACGGTTGTCGACATAGACGATGTGGTACTCTGCATAGTCCATGACGGCTCGTCACAGCTGACCAATGTCGGGGCCCGTTAGGGTGGCCCGTATGTGGCGTGTGGGAGCTCTTTTGATGTTGTGGCTACTCGTGTATTTAAGTAGAGATGGGCAGAGCGCGGGCTGCTAGTCAAGTCTTCCAGAATGCACGCAATGGTTAGATGAGATTGTTGTTTCTCGGTTGTTATGGGGCTCAGTAGAGCTCAATGGATGAGCGCAAGTAGTCTCTGATGCAGGCAGACGGTACGGTTCGTCCGCGCGAAGCGATGCTGCACGATCAATCAGAGCAGTATCTAGGATACAGTTCTGCTTGGATCGAGCAATTGAGGAAAGAGGTTGCGAGGAGTGACGACTACTAAAGCGAGGTGGATCCCGCGCATGTAGGTGAGGGAAACCGTGAGATCTGCGCTGAGAGCGATCCGTGCTACCGTGAGCAGTCGAGTAGTCTCGTCGAAATCCGAGGGACGGGTATGAGGGCAAATTGGCGACCATGTGTAATTGATATGGTTGAAGCAAAGAGTTCGTGAGCAATGCACGGTGACCTCCTCTTCTCACGTGCTCCTGCTCCTAATGGTACACGACCAGCTTATCACGGTTTGGTAACTTGGATGTCGAAGACCTTGCTCTTCGCTTGCTATGTGCTATCTGATCGAAGCGGCGCCAGCGTCGCGGGCAAAGAGACGTTTGATCTATGCGCAACATCCGGTGCGAGTTTGAGGGGAATTACTTTCGCCAGCAAGGAAGGTTCGGGACATTGGAGCAACGTCGGATGGAGAAACCAAGTTGAAGGTGGGCAGTTGACGTGAGGTTGGCCAGACAATGGTGTATGGAAGAAGCAGAAGGCGCAATAGTGGCAGGAAGGTAGAGATCGAGTAAGGGTAAGGGTAAGGGTAGGTTGATGGGAAGGAGAGGTTGAGGTTGTTCGAGAATAGTGGAGGAGTGTTGGCTTGGCCTGGTCAAAATAGGGTTTGGCGTAAGAACCGAAGTACTCCTTTCGCCGATTTACGATTTACGATTTACGATTTACGAGTACCTAGGGGTGTACAAAGAGTGTCAAAACATTGCTAAGACTCCAAATCCCAGATGATAAGTTATTGTTTTTTTCTTCTTTTCTTTCTTTTTTTAAACAACGAGGAATCAAAAAATGAGAAAGGACATCTGGGATGACTTGGCGATTTTTGGGGGGGGGGGGGGAATCATCAAGCTTGTCCTGGTCCAATTCTGTTACTTATGGACTGATGAATTATTGCCAGGCGACAAGTGGTGCGGCTGATGCTTGACTAGAGTAAAGAGCGAGATTAGATACTTAAGAATTTTCCGAGCGAAAGGATATGCCGCTATATGAACTTGTGGACTACTTCTATGCTCCATGCATGGAATTGATTGGAGAGAGGCTCCGAATACGGTACTCGTAATTCGTACGGTAAGTTACAGTAGTCAAAGGAAGGAATAGAAGTCTTTCATTCTTCCATCTTCAGGACCTTCCAGAAGCCTCTTCTGATTCGTCAGGAAATTCATTACGAGTAATTACATTACCTACTCACTAATTTAGTTTACCTTACATTAAAGTGGTGTATTATTGATTGTGTACCGTGTATCTCATCTTTGTTTCACGCCGCGGGGAAATCCCTTCCCCTTCCCCCCACCCCAACTTTGAACGCATTGATCGTTTATAATTACAAGAAAACCCTTGATTGCCACCGACATCTTCAACGCCTGAGCCCTGAGTGTTCAGAAGCCTCACCAAGTACTAGTGTATCTCACGTTCAGCTTTGCAAGATTCCTTTGCTTTACTTTGCTTTGCTTCGCTTTGTCCGAGTCCTGCGTAACCTTCTTCCAGGCATCTTAGCGATCGGAAAGAAGGCGCCATCTTCATCTTTCTTGCGACAGGAGCCTGGTCTTACCTTATTCGTATCTTTCTCCAACATGATGTCGATACAAGCTTAATAAGCTACCATACAACTGGCCGGGAAAAAAGCTGTTGACATCCTTCAAACCATGTTTGACCCTACCTACCTGCCTGCAGCCGAACGGTTGAACGATCGTGTCACTCAAGTTCCACTGACGCCCAAATAATGTGAGGCCACTGTCTGATGTAACCATTTCCATAAACATTAATAAAGTCTCACTGTTACTCACCCCTTACACCTTCTCACTGCTTGCCTGCAACGAATCCTTCAGTTCGCATCCTGTCACCTCTTTCCATTCCTATCTTGGACCCCCACAAAAGTGCTCTTCCCAACTGTGCGGCTGAGTACATCTGCGCTACAATGCGCCGCTACAATTTTTGCGCAATTACCATTCCCCATCAGGCCCAATGATTCGGTGCGCCTATCCGTTGGATGTCTGCCATCCCGCTATTGGTGTTTTGACTGCGGAGGACGAATACTCCCTACAACTTATAGGACAGGGCAAAAAACCCCGAGGCCGCCAAATCCCATTCCTCAGGCCGCCAAAAGCAATCCACTTCGAATCAGAGGTGCACAAATTGTAAGTCGAAGTGGAAAGTTTTTTGTAGCGAGGCCTACGTGTATCTTTCGACTACACTGACCCCAGCGATCAGGCTGATGGAAAGGCCCAAGCATTTCTTCGAGGTACCCTGAACCCCTAAAATCGCATGCGAGATAACACCGAAATTTAAAAATCCTGATGCTTGGAGGGAAGAAGAACCCTTAAGTCACCCCCACCAAATTTCCTCCCTCTGAGACATCACACGACGCCGTATTTGTATGGTTTCCAAGCCACGACAGAACATCTCTATCTAGATTTGGACAAGCTGAAGCCTGGTCAATTGCTCCGCTCCCATTCTCGCTGCACCCCATTGGTGATCTCCGTACCCTTTGTTTCTCTCCGCTGCTTGACCGAGAACTCTGCTTTGAGTGCCAGGTGGTCGCTTGGGAAGTGATGATTGGGGAATCCTGGCACCTTCCGCAGATATTCTTCTTCGACACTTCCAAGCAGATGTCGGACCTGCAGTGCATTGGTAGAGTACCAAATGTAGTCAATGACCCCGATGAAGCTCGGCGTGTAATTTGTGAAACTCAGCTCCGCGGTCGTACTGTACGCAGACTTGAGCTTGAACGGATGAGCCATTCCTTCGCGGGTAAGACTGCCATACCCCCGATTCCCCAAGTCGGGATGATTACCAGGCAAGCTGCCACGCGTGATGAGATCGTAGACCCCACTTCCAGCAGCGGCGTTAAAATCTCCACATATTATGAGCGGTATCTGAGGTCCGCTGGAATACTCGAGGGAGACACTAGGCTCGGGAGCAGGCTCATCTGCAGTATCTGGGTTGCCTCGGCTATCAACCTCGGAGTGGCGGAAAGCTGCTTTGTCGGTGCATGGAGGGTACTTTGCCCACTTTTCCGCTTGCTTCGATATTTGCTCCAGAAGAATCGCGACTTGAACCACTTTGACATCTTCAAACGCAGGATCCCAGAATATGTGCGCATTGCCGACGATCATCCTTGACCCGGTCATCCTGTTCTCAAGGAACGTTACCACGGCGACGTGATCTCTAGGCATGACGCGGTTGAAAGTATCGTGCTCGCCTTTCATGTCCGGCCGGTTGATGGCTGTGTTTGCAAAATCGATGAGAACTTTATCAAGACAGACATATTTACTTCCTTTGTAAAATGTTGCACATCCATCAACCAATTTGGCATCCTTTTCCGCCATGGTCTTTGCCCTTGTTTTCGGCCAAAAAACTCCACGATAGTCGTTGACAGCAAGCTCGCGGCGAAAGTATTCGTCAAAACTCTCGCGGTCGACTTCTTGCAGGCAAACGATGTCCGCGTCATGATCTTTGAGTTCATTGAGAATAACCTCCCTTCTATAGTCCCAAGAAAGCACGTCCGAAGGCGTGTAACCATAATGCGACTTCGTAGCGTATTTATCGCATAGTATGTTGTAAGAAAGAACACTGAGAATCTCTGAGGCAGGAGACGTATCAATTTCCACACGGGGACGCTCATTGGGAGGGGTCCCAGCTGCAAGTCAGTCAGTCCGATTGCCCCCATAGGGGATTAAGAGTAACCTTATCATGTGAAGGATAATACATACGTGTAGCATTTTCCCTTAGATGAGTCACTAACGACTTTGTCCCATGGTGCACGATGTGCTCCTTTAGATCCTCATCTAAGGGATTCCCATCTACTCCTAGCGTCTCTAGTTTGAACAAATATCCCACCTCGTAAGGAAGCGTTTGCAAATTGTTGTCAAACACCAGGAGCTCTTTCAGATTGACGAGCATTCCGATTTCTTCTGGTAATTCCATGATTTGGTTGTTTGATATATCCAGATGTGTCAGGCTCCTCAGATGACCGACAACGGGGTCAAGGCGTGCAAGCCGATTATGGTCGAGGTACAGTTTCTTGAGGAATTTGTAGGCAAAGATGGATGTTGAGATCGCCCTCATACCTTGACCGCTACAATCCAAGGCGTCCCAATCTTGTCTTGAGATCTCTCCAACAGTGGTGGCCCGATTGCGCTCTTCTTCACCTTCTTCAGCTGCCTCTTCGGCAGGCGTTGGCTCCAGGGCTTTGCTCACTCGCGATATTACCCCTTCTTTCTTGCAATGATGGTGCGGCGCCGATTGCGCCTGTCTCGATTCTGCGGCGAGCTGCATCTGACGTTGCCAATGCTGATTTGGTATGAAGTTGTCATTAATCCCCCCAACCTGAGAGTTGCTTGAATTGCCATTGTGAAGGGTGTTCGGAGTAAAATGAGGAGTGACGTTGGATAACGTTCCCGAGGAGAATGTATGCTGGTGGCCTATACCGTGACCTCCGTTCTGGTTTTGCGGGTGGTGGTTGGTCTGTTGACCGTGGTGCTGCTGGTAAGATTGATGTTGGAACTTGTGGCCCGCGCCTGGCTGCATAAATCTCTGATGTTGTCCACCGTTCATCATGGCGTGCTGACCCTGCTGATGGCCCTGGCTGTACATCGCATACGGGTTCTGGGAAGAAGCTTGTGATACAGGCGAGCGAGAGGGCGAAGGGGTGTCGTTGGCATAGCTACCTCTGCCACTGTTCACTGGAGAGCCGGATCGGGCCAGATGACGAGGATGGTGGTTTTGTTGACTATACTGGTTGTAGTAGAATGGTCCGGTTCCAGGGAACCGGTGTGCTCCATCTGCCATCTAACAAGGTCGACCGAAAGGGAGACGACAGAGTATACGTATTCTTCAGTGTAGCTATTGTTGTATTCAGATCTGTGATTGAGGAGGTGGATTTGCGTGAGGATCTTCGTTCCACCATAGGCATAGGAAAGTCGTTTGCGTGCTCAGGTCTAGGCTCGAGGGGCTGAAGTTGACCAATCTCCAGACTGAGGATTGAGGACGTTGTGATACCGTGAGGAGATTCCTGCCGGTGGTATTGTTGCAATTTAGCAAGATAGATAACCCGTCCAATACACTCGGTCGTCCACTTCACAGCCACGCAAGCATCGTAGTCCTGGTGTAATGCGCGTTAGAGGAGACTCTGCGACAGCTTGTCAACGGGTTGCGGGTCAGGGTGTTAGGAGAAGACGCTAAGGACATGGGCTTCTCAAAAATGCAGTTGAAACTGATTGCGACAACGTAGAAGCGTATCACAATTCTGGTTATTGCAATAATAATTAATGATAGCAGTCGAATGGCGTACCTTATGAATCCAACGAAAACGCTGCTGGTGAAGGTTCCGCCGCATTCTGTATAGAAGCGCGGAGCTACCCGCCTTAGCGCTAAGCTAGTCTCGCCAGTGCCCCTCGTGCTTTAAGGCTGACAGCCTGATGGTGATGAAGGTACTCGTACAGTACTTCCATTTTAATCCCCTGTCACGTTGATACGGAGTCTACTTTGCTACAGCAGTGAATTTGAGTCAGGCATCTCCGCAAGTCCGATCAAACGCTTGCGAGTTGAATCATTCAATGACTAATTCGAAAAGGTTTCCGTAATGAATGCCTGCTCGTGTCTTGTGGTAGCTGAGTTCAATACTTGACCACAGTTTGGGTACTTCTCCTTTTGGATGCTCAGCTTTTCAGACGAAAATTTGAAGGCTTTCTTTTTATTGATTCACCCTCGTCACCTTCATTCCGAACTAAGGAACCAAATGAACGTGAAAGACCTCTGGATCCCCTGTCAAGATCTTATATCCCACCTTATATCCCACTTTGTACCTTCAAGTCTACCTGTCTCTGAACGACAATTTTCTTGCTGACAATATGACATAAGAGGATCTATATACATGGACTCCGTAAGGCGTCGCACACCATCCTTGGTGGATCCTTGAGTTCAGATCATGGAAACTAGCACGCCTAAACCTTTGCCCAAGGGTCCTACCCCGTTGCTTTTTGAACCATATTTCTATATGTTTCGAGCTTTCAGACATTTGCTTCATCTATACCTCCAGAAAACCGCTCTTGCACCAATGATATTATGAGGCTGCCGTCGCCTGCCTTTAGCACCATCATACAGACTCCAGGATCCGGGATTTGCAACTCAGTACGGTGCTAGAGGGGGAACGTTTCCTAACCCAGCTCCTGTCAATGACCGCCCGATTAGCGACATGCCCTCTCCATTCGTCTATCGACAGGGCCGGCATTTTCTGGAAGATGCAAGCACATACCCACTGCCTATACATCTAAAGGAGCTAAACAGACAAAACTTTCGAACTCTTCTGCTGGCCCAAGTCTTCAGATGTCCATTTTGTAGCACGTTTCATGAACAGCCTGAGAAGTTTTTGGGGTCAGCTTGCGGGTCAGGCACGCTTACTATGAGTTTCTTCCTAATCTATACCTCAGTCTGAGTTGAGGAGGAGGAACATGGAGGATTGACTGCAACATACACCATAAGTGCGGCCATCCCGTTTGCAAACGCCCAGAACAGATTCATCCAGGATCTTAATTTGTGGTTGGAAAAAGCTCTGTGCAAACAGAATTTGACGGCGACACCCTGTGCCCTCATAGGCTTTGACTTCTCAAGTGAGCCGGATGCTTATAGTGAGATTTGCAATGGAAGGTTTGTAGTCCCCTTCGGGCCTGTGCGCTAGGAGCATGAAAGCGTATCCCATGAGCCCAGCGGGACGATAACATCTGTGAAGAGAATGAACGCGTTGAGGGCTTCAGCGGCGGCCTGGAACATTCATCTTTGACATAAGACTAAGCGACCATCAGGCGGACAGCTTTGAGCATTGAGATTGGATTTGTTATGGAGCCGCTCTTGATGAAAGAAAATAGTAAGAGACGAGATGAATTGACTGTTAGTAGGCAAACAAGAATAAAGACTGCTGCGAGAAAGATAGTACTTTCAACCGAGAGGGTCTCGAGCTTGGAGCGTTGCGAGCTCGCAAGAAGTATCTTAAGCTTGACCGTAGCGCCGGCGAAGCGCCCTGCGCATTGTTCGGAGTCAGCATTGCTTATACGAGGTAGGCAATGGAGTTGCGAGCCAGATCTCGGGAGTAGAAAGGTCCTTTTGCTCCCGAAACATGTCTTGCGACTCAAATTCAATACCAACTGGGACAGATCGGCTCCGAAATGTACGTACCTATATCGCTTCAAATAATAACTTGATTATCCATCGTATCAGCAACCTGATTCAGCGATGATGAGCACATGCTTACAGTGCCTCAATCTCCTTCTTCACATATTCGGCCCTCTCTATGCCCTTCCTGATATCCTTTTCATCTTGAAGACCGGTCTGACTGGCGAATGATTTGTGCAGGTGAGTCTGGAAGTATGGATAACCCTGAGGGTAATTCTTGCCCAAGTTCAGGAGCTCTGCGAATCTCCGCGGCTTCAGTTTAGCAGTAGTCCTTCGTGGTCTGGGGAACGGGGTATGCGGAGGAGCATTTGGAAATCACCTTTGTAGATGTTGATTACTTCTCGACGCAGACCTGGGTTAGTCATCTCACAATGTAGCTTGCCGTCTTCGTTTCTGGCAGCTGATCGGCAGCTGTGAGATACATACAACATACTCTAGCACTAGACAGTTGACTGGAGCAGATTGACCGTCCCCACATTTTTGGGCACCTTCAGCCCTATCACAATCTTATCGATAAGGCAAGTACAGGTAGGCCGACGGGGAACAATTCTCGGGAACTTGTTGCTGTTGTGGTGATTGCCCCAAATATAATGACCTCTTATACAACAGAGGAGGGCTGGTGAGTCTACTTTTTGCATCATCTGAATACTTTTGTTTGCTATAAGTTGGCTTACAGACTCTTTTTGCGGGGCTCAAACCCCGGCTCAAAAAGTTGATGCTGACTCCGGAAACACGAAGGCATACACTTCCCGACGGGCACAAATTGTACACGAAGACCTGGATAGTCAGTAACTATCCACCTAAATTCTGCAACCCCCTACTTTATCCTTCAATTGACTGTCCGCCATACTTAGCCCACAACAACTCCTCACGCTCTGCTGCTCTTCGTCCATGGCTTTTCCGACCATATAAATAGTTACTACACTCTTTTTCCCACCCTCGCTTGTCGCGGCATTCAGTAAGTCTTCTCCAACTCATTTCTTTCCATCCAGAGGGCATTTTGAGTTACCAGGCACCCTGCCAGACCCGGTGCTTGTTATGCACTTCGCAAGCTGGAAACTTCAGCGTGAAAAGGGAGATTAGCGATCAAGACAGCGCGAATGTGAGATAGTCTACCATTCGCATGGTCTAATCATTAGACCTTCACTGACTTAATGACTCTCTGAAGCCCCAGATCTCCTCCTATAGGGGGGGCTTAACGTCTGCTAGACCCATTAAGCGAAGGAAAACAATTTTTTACTCCCCTATGTTGTACACCGCTCCGAAAGATGTAATTTCGTTTCGTGGATACACATTCCCAGTCAAGGAAGGCAACGCTAATATGGAGTATGACTGTAGATCCCATGCCTTCGATCAACGCGGCTGGGGACGCTCTGTGCAGACACCCTCACAACGGGGTCTCACTGGGCCTACAGCGACGGTACTCAATGACATAAGTTCCATTATTGATTCACTGCTTGCAACAGCTGCATCAATGTCCGTCCCTGTTTTCTTGATGGGCCACTCAATGGGGGGTGCGGAAGTGCTACAATGGGCAGCTCGTGGTCCCTCGGATATACGATCTCAGATAAGAGGCTATGTTGCTGAAAGCCCATACCTGACCCTCCACACGTCAGCACAGCCTCGTCGTATGATTGCAATAGCCGGTAGGTTAGCGGCGAAAGTCCTACCAAAAAGACAGATGTACGTATTTGCGCCGTCCATAATCCCTCTTTTGGACCAAATCTTGAGTCTTGATAGATGTCTTGGGAGTTTCGACTCTTTGGACATGTTCCAAGGCTCAAAAGATCCTCTCAAATAGGGAAACCTGACTCTGAAATTATCATCTAGGGTGCAGAAGCTGCAGCCCAGGTGGCTTTGCAGGGACCCGGCAGTATGCAAGAAGGTAAGCATGTTTCTTTCTCCTTCGGGGATGTCTTTGGGGCGTAGGGACCCGGCACGACACGAAATATCCTTTGCTGTAGGATATGACGGGAGAAAGCCATCAGAATTTCTGAGGTCCATCAGGCCTCAAAAACACTTCCCCGGCTTGCTCATTTGAACGGTTCTGCAGCCTTGAAGGCTCAATGCTCGTGAATCATTGCAATCTAAAGGGTAAATCTTATTAAGAAACATCAGACTTGCTGGCTCAAAGCTTCCATCTGGCTTCTTTGTCTAGATAAGTAGGCAGTCATCACTCAAATCCTGAGGGTCGGCTCCTCGTGGATCCGATCTCGGGTCTACATATTGTCTCTCGTTCAATATTTCAAGTCATACGTCATGCCTTGGTTTTCTATCTCAAAGATGCTCTACTGACTTAGGAAACTATCAGTGGGAGGATGACGAGCTTTGTCATGATACGGGAACATTGGAAGGGCTGGTCGGGATGATGGACAGGGGAGCAGAGTTGAATTGCGACAGGATAGTTGTAGAGGATGAGAAAAGTTTTTGGATAGGACATGGGAGTGGAGACCGGGTCACGAGTTTCGAGAGCAGTAAGCAGTGGTTTGGACGATTGAAGGCAAAAGATAAGGAGTTCAAGGAGTAAGCAATCTTTCGATGTCATCTTCCCTGATTCAATGAAGAAGGGATTTGCGAGGGCCTCTATCTAGAGTGTTACACTCTAAAAATCCGCGTTCAAATACGAGATCTGTCCCGTTTTGGACATGCTGACTCGGAAGCTTTCCAGATATCCGGGATGGTTCCACAAGCTACACGCTGAGCCGGGGGAGGACAAGATCACTTTCGCAAACGACGTTGCAGGTTGGATCCTCGCTAGAGCAAACATTCAGAGGACGCAAGCCTTGTCAGAGCCACAAAGCAAATTGTGACAATTCTCCGACTAGCAAATTTTTGGGCTCTGAGACTATTCCGGATGGTCTTCACGATGCATGGCTCGGTTAATGAGGTAGGAAGCACCGACCATACACTCTTACAGCACAGCAGCTCCTGTAGAAGAAACATGCAGCGCTCGAACTGCGGCGAGAGCCTGCCAGTCCTGATGTATTTATTCGTACCGACAAAATAACAATAGTGAAATGGCCGAATTTGACTTCCAAGAAGACATTCAGAAAAGATGTTGAGATATTATTTCCACAAGATTCAACATAGACAGCCCCTGAGATGTAGCTTTGCAGAACCAAAGCTCCCTTCGAGGAGGCCGCCTAAGTCCAGACATTAGATAAGCCTTTTATCCTGAGGTAAAGACCCCCTTTTGTCAGATATCGGCACGAAAGTGACCGAGCTTCGACGCTTAACAGCGGCGCAGAGGTCTGTGTGAACGATGATCAACTCTCGTGGGCTCAAGACTCACCAGTGCCCATCAATACTTCATCTTTTTCCAGACGCCGAGGAAACCTCCACCCGCCACTCGATAACCGACTTTCGGTCTACAGACGATCTCCATTTCACTGACTTGATCGTGAATTGGTTGATTGTCTCCTTCAGCGGTACTTGCTCCAGCGGAGTCGGCCACTGCGCCGTCGTTTAAATCCTTGTCCGCGTCCCCTGAAGCATCGTCTTCGCGTATGGTATCTTTTGCCTTCCTCGTCAGTGCCCTTGGAGTGACAGTACGTACATCCTGCGCACATTTCGGAGTCAGCGTTGCTTTTCAAAGGCAAACCTCAGACTCGCAAGACACGTCTCGGGACCAGAAAGAGCCTTCTGCTCCAGAAATATGTATTGCAACTCAGACCTCGGCATGAAAAAGGAAGGGATTATTTCGAAATGTACGAACCCAGTCCTTGCCTCCCGAGACGTTTAGTCCAAGCTCGAGAACACTGTCAAGGACCAAAGGGAGATTGAGTTGCTTGACTATTTTAACAATAGAAATGATCTGCGTGATACTGGGATTGAAGGCAACCAGATTACCGTTGGTATGCAATACAGACGCCGCTTTTTCGACATGATGAAATGAAGAAGGCATGTCCAGCACGATATGTGACAAGAATGCTTTTGCGTCAGGCCCAAGTCCACGATTGGAGACCTGCTCGTCTATCCACCCGGAGATATCACCAGCATGAAAGACAATATCGTTGAAGTAGAGTCCCTGGCGAAACCCTTTTACAATCTGCTCTGCATGTTTTGAATGTTTCAAAGATACGTCTAGAGTATGGATGACCGCTTGCCGGTCATCACTACTATGTTCATAGGAGGGTTTTGATCGTGAATTCAGATCGTCTTCCCGTCCGGAAGACCTCGGAGAACCTGGAGCACCAATTTTGAAAAGGGGTGCTGACTGACAATCTTCTACCGCTTTACTACTTGGGTTGTTGGTGTTGGGTCGTAGAGCATTTGCTGCGTGAACAGCTTTAGCGAGGTACAATGTTAATCCTCCATGCCCAGTGCCTGCTTCGAGAATCTCTAAGGAAGGGGGACCGTGAGTTGAGGGTGAAGGACTGGCGTGGATATCTAGCAACGAGACTATGAGATTGGCGTCCACTGGGTAGATCTACTGGTGGAAGAAGTAAGCCGCGTATACATGGCAGAGAATTAAGTAGTCCCACAGGAGTCACAATGCGAGGAGTCATGGTGACATATTCAGCCAAGGTGGGAAGGTAGACTCTGAGGTCGGCTCCTCTACTACTCCTCACTAAGTCTCTTGTGTTTCTGCCAATGATTTCGCTATGCAAGATGTCGCCACTGAGTCATGTCGGAGTCAGCGTATCTCTCTTAGCATCGGACCCCAATTGCCAGACGAGTTTTGGAACTGTTCCATTTCTAGAACAGGACTTGTCGCTCCAAATGCAGTACGAAGCCGGAAGAGATGGCTCCAAAGAGATGACTTACTGCTGAAGATTCGTCTTTCCATCTTGACGAAGTACGTTAGTCATGAACGGATCTCTCCCTTTCAGCTGCAGAACAACGCGATCACCGGCTGTCCCCAGCATGAGTTCATGGTTTGAAAGGAGTAATATGGGTTCACCTACCCTGTATTTTATTGTCGCCGCCTGAGACAAATCTTCGACAAAAGAAAGACGACCTGAAATTGATCGGGCGCGTTGAAAGTGTTAACATAATACAACGAACTATTCCCAATCCTCTTCAAGGCACATAGCAAAGCTGTAATTCCAGGACATGCAAATGCAATGATCGAACAGGTCACGTGCTGCGCGCATTAGGGTTTTAGTCCAATCAGATGATCGACATTTAGCCGGTCACGCCAAGGGTAAGCCCTAACCTCCTAGGTAAGTTAGATACCTGTGCTTGAGAGTGACTCCAGCTACCTAACCTCAGGTGTATCAACACCCTTATTTTGAAACGTCCACTTCGCATCTAAAATCAACCAATTCCCGTACATCTGTCTGACTGCGCCTTCAAATTACTGGCTCGGGGTTCCGGCTCGGACATTTGAGTTGAGTGGGTCATGGCTGTTCAAGCTGAGCCGCAGTACTTCACCAAAGCTCGTCGAGCTGGTCGAGTTGTTGTAGAAGGTCAGTATCTGTGACCGGCGCTTTCGCTCATTACATACTCTAGCTGACCTTCTCATAGAGCCACCAAAGCTGGATCTCGAGGCCTACATTGCGAATTACAGAGGTAGAAGGCTTCATGTTTCTTATACGCTCCGTGAGACCCAGATTCTAATTGCTTCAACAGGCCGAACGCGCTTCGAACGACTGCTACTCATCGGAACTTCTTCCTCGTATCTCTTCTTGGAAGCACTGAAAGCAGCTATTGCTGAAGCCAAGCAAGGAACCGATGTTCAGCGCTACGAGAATGCTGTGTCATGTCTTCGCGAGATTGCCCCTAATGATACCGATGCCACGCCGGACTTGGACTGGATTGACAGAATGAAGAAGCAAGTAAAAGGCGCAACTGACAAAATGGAGTTGGAGTTGAAGGGCTACAAAAACAACCTGATCAAGGAGAGCATCAGGGTACGCTATGTCTCCTCACGAACACACACAAGCTAATGAGCTAACAACTCCTTTCAAAGATGGGGTACGATGACCTCGGCCACCACTACCACCGCATTGGTGAACTCTCAAAGTCCAATAAAGCCTATTCTCAAATGCGTGACTTTTGTACCACGAATTCTCACATCGTGATCATGAACATGCACCTCATCAACGTCTGCATTGACCAGCACAGCTGGTTCGCCGCTCAAAATCACGTCCAACGTATACGGGGTCAATCAGGCAATCAGAAGTATCCTGAAGCTGAGAAGAACTCCGCCAAGCTGTCCGCTGCCTCGGGCCTCACATACATGGCCCAAGCAAAATACAAGGAAGCCGCCGAGGAGTTCTTAAGCACAAATCCTAGAATGTCACAAACCAAGCTCGACGATCCAGCGGACGAAGAGTCCTACAATGAGGTTTTGACCCCTAATGATATCGCGGTCTACGGTGGCCTCTGCGCACTCGCCTCGATGACCCGCGAGGAGCTTCAAAAGCAAGTCCTCGACAATTCTGGCTTCCGCAATTACCTTGAACTCGAACCTCACATCCGTCGCGCCATATCCTACTTCGTCTCCTCCAAATACTCAGCATGTCTGTCTATTCTTGACTCATACAAAGCTGACTACCTCCTTGACATCTATCTTCAACGCCACATCCCCCAGCTCTATTACGAAGTCCGCAGTAAAGCTATACAGCAATACTTTATCCCTTTCTCTTGCGTCACGTTTTCAGCTCTTGCAATAGCATTCAATACAGATGAGCCAAACATCGAACTCGAACTCTCCCAAATGATCAAGCGCGGCAACCTTGACGCTCGCCTTGATCTCGTTGATCGCGTGCTGCTGGGGAGAAAAGTGGATAACAGAAGCGAAGTGCATGCCAAGGCGTTGGCTACTGCAGAGGAATACGAGCGTACGGCCCATCTGCGCTTACTGAGGATGGGCCTACTAAATGCTGGACTTGAGATAAAAGCAACGAAGGGGTTAGGTAACGTGGGCAGTGGTAGCAGTCAAGACGGGGGAAGCTGGAATGGTGGCGCGGGAGATTTGATGAGTGGTGAGGGGCAAGACTTGAGGAGTGGGTCGGTCTTTAATTAACCAGGGTTCGACTAATGACAGAGATGTATGCATGACACATAGCGACGGCGTTGAGCATGAAGCTCACGAAAAAGGCATCCGGGGTGGTAAATCAGTAAAAACAGATATATGGCTGCATAGAGCGATTTGCCATCATCTGAGTTACACGAGTGACATTTCAGATTTAAGGTCCATTTCCAGTAGCAGAGGGTCTCATACTCCTCCATTGCACTCACACGCCCACATTGCATTGCAATACTCAAAGCAATGATCTTTGTCATGCCGTGTATTCGGTCACTCCAGCGCTATCTAAACTATCATAGCTAAGCTATTGAGATCTACTACACTTTCATACAAGCACGCAAGAGAGGGGGCCTCTAACGCTCCGCAAGTACTTTACTCACAGCTTGTTGGCTTCATTTTGAGCTCCACCCCACTGATAGCCGGCTGGATCGGAAAATTTGTATCCGTAAGAAGATGTGAAATCGTCCAGAACGGCTGGACCGCGTGAGCCTGGAATTATGTTAGCCTGGTGGATCCGAAGTGCTGCATCTTCACGTACCATAGGGATACTCCATAGGAGTGATTTCTGTGTTCCCGTCCAGATAGTGCAACAAAGGCGAAAAAACTCTCCAGCTAGCATCTAGCTCGTCGTCACGGACAAAGTTGGAGTGATCGCCTTTGAGCGCATCAAGAATCAAAGACTCGTAAGCCTCGGGGATCTTAAGGTCAGAGAAACGGCGGCGGTAGGTTAGGTCAAGCTCCGTTGCAACGGTTTGCATGCTCAGACCAGGCAACTTGGAGTTCATCTTGATGTACACCGATTCGTTTGGCTGCACTCGAATGACAAGCTCGTTTCGTGGGATATCTTTGAAGATACCCGAAGTGACGTCTTTGAATTGGATACGGATCTCTGTCTTTTGCTCGTTGAGAGCTACGATTGATCAGCTTCAATAGGACAACGGCATATGTAATGTCTCACTCACCCTTGCCGGCCTTGAGTATGAAGGGGACACCATCCCATCTCTCATTTTTAATGTACGCAACCATGGCACAGAATGTAGGGCATCGCGATTCCTTGGGCACCGTGTCGTCTTCCTTGTACGAGGGCTTGTTACCGTCCAAAGACTTGCCATATTGGCCAATTATCACGTTCTTTGGCTCTATGTTCGGGATGCCTCGGAGGACTCGGACTTTTTCGTCACGAATGTCTTCTGACGAGAATGAAATTGGCCTCTCCATAGCAAGCAAAGTGAGCACCTGCAGCAAATGGTTCTGCATAACATCCCGAATGATGCCGAATTCGTCAAAGTAGCCTCCTCTGCCTTCGGTACCGAACGGCTCTTTGAAAGATATCTGAACATTGTCAATGTGATTGCGATTCCAGGTAGCCCCAAAGAATTCATTTCCGAATCGGAGAATCAGAATGTTCTTCACCATCTCTTTCCCCAAGTAATGATCGATACGGAAGATCTCCTCCTCTTTCCAGTCTGGCTCAAGGGCCTTCTGAAGCTCTCGTGAGCTACCCAGATCCTTGCCGAACGGCTTCTCCACGACGATTCGTGATATTCCTCTTTTGGGGTAGCAATTCCGCTTGAGGTGTTGTGAGACTGTGATGAAGACGCTAGGCGGGAGCGCCATATAGAACACGCGGTTTTGCTCCTCTCGACCCTTCTCGATCCCCTCCAGATGTTCGTTCAGTACTTTGAACGGTTCGTCCTGGTCATATTGACCAGAGACATATGTACATATCTTGCAGAATTCTTCGAGTTGCTCCTCCATCTCCTTGGTTGGCACCTTGATGTGTGATTTGACCCTCTTGAGGTATTCCTCATGGTCCATCTTTGTCCGTGCATAGCCGACGATTCTGATATCTTTAGGCAGGAAGCGATTACGGTACTAGAGTACGTCAGCTGGAGTCCCAAGGATTTAGGAGCCAGAGGTGACCAACCAAGCCGAACAAAGCTGGGAACTGTGTTTATTGAATCAGCACTTGTTGTAGTTTGGACGGGAATAGCATGCTCACAGTCTTCTTCTTTGCAAGATCGCCCGACGCACCCAGAACTACTATGATGGTGTTATCCTTAAGCTCGATGGTCCTATGTTCGAAATAAAAGGTTAGCCAATGTGAGGGAAAAGTGACGTCTGTTCACAGAAAGAGATAATATTTACCCAGCGTCTTCAGGCTCATCCGGATGGATCATTGTGTCGGCCATATTGACAATTCGCACAGTGGATTTGAACAGCTAAAGGGAAAGAGAATCGTTGTGGGGGGATGATAATGGTAAATAGCGTGGTTTGACAAAAGAGTCGAGCTTGGTGCTACAAGGCAAGATATACTTCCTCAAGTCTTAGTAATCCGCCACCACGCGATTAAGTAAGGGAATCACTACTGTATTGCAGCCGCTGCTGCCGTTACAACAACGGCTGCTCTTTGCTTTTTACTGTCTCAATAATTAGCCGCACAAGGTCGCTCCATTCTCTACAGCAATTGATAAAGGATTCTATTGACAGTGGTGGAGACTGCTGTTAGCCGCTAGGCGGAACATTGCGGATGTTGTGCAGAAACCCAGAACAACGGAGTCACGCCTGCCTTCCTTCATCTCTTCCTACTGGATGTAGAAGTCCTTCATTGTACTGTAGACTCTACAAAGGGTAAGACCGGCAGGCTTGTCTAGTAATCTGATCTGGTGCTCGCTGGTTCTCGCTGGTTTGGCGAGTACTCTTCCTACCAGGCTCAGATTCCGATGTTGAAAAGGGGTCCAGGCCATTTGGGAACATGAAGAACATCTTGCTAGGGCATGTACAACACTTTCATCTTCAGGAAAATGTCCCTCTAAATTTGCCTTAGTTGATTTGTCTTACTTACATATCCAGCGAGATGCCTGATACCTTAGGTCTTGAGGAAACATGCTAATCGGATCTAACGGATCTAACCATTTATGATTTAGTGGCTGTCGCTTAATCTCAAAGCTGCAAGGCCCACACTTGAACAAACGACTTCAGCGATCCACAACCAATTCAACCACTACTATCAACACTCGACCATCGCATTCCTTGTGCATAGACGACGCTGAGAATAGGGGGCCAACATGGGTTCAGAAGCGGGACATCGCTGTAAGTATACCGCGCCCCGCCCAACTGCTGCCCTTGCCAGTCACGAGCACCGTCCAGTACTCGTGCTGCTAGCCTCTGAATTTACAAATAATGCTGACATTTGCATCCAGTGTACGTAAAGTGAGTTGCCAAACAGTACATCCATCGCGACGTCTTGTCAGCACGATTAAGCTGAAAGATGCGAATGCCACAAGATTGGTCCTGAAGTGAAGAGGCTGACCTTAAATACGATGATGACAGGGGACGGCATCTGAGTTATCAACGAGGGAAGGTGAGCGAGGGGCAACACATCGAATATTGTGCAAGACTGTGCTGATAGCTTTCAGCGAAATACAAACCCAGGGACTAGGTGGGAACCATGGCAGAGCACGACTTGTTTGGGCCCATTGCTAATGTGCCGATAGCTTGGTCAAGATCGAGGGCGTTGATGACCCAAAAGCTGCTACGTGTGCTTCCACTTCTTCCCGCATTAAGGTGATGTATGGCTGACCGTCAACGCTTCTACAGGTTCTACCTGGGCAAGAAAGTAGCCTTCGTCTACCGCGCACATCGGGAAATTAGGGGTACAAAGATCAGAGTCATTTGGGGCAAAGTTACACGTTCACATGGTATGCTCAACCGATGGGTTTTCTATATTGTCCACTTGCTGAATGAGGTCGCTAGGCAACTCTGGCGTCGTGAGGGTAAACTTCAGAAGCAATCTCCCACCCAAATCTTTCGGCGCCTCGGTCAGAGTGATGCTGTATCCGTCATCGATTTAGCGTTTCAGCGGGTCTCGAAGATGGATCAGAAGAGGCGTTGTGGAGCCAGCTGCTGGCCCCAGTGAACAGGATGAAAGTGGTCGAAGGCCGCACTGTGTGACAAGTAAAGACACGTTTCGTGCGTAGCTTGCGCAAATCAATCAAATTGATTCAAAGCAAGCCTTGCTGCATTTTTATGGTGCAGTGATGTTGGTGTCATTGGTTCGGCACCAATTTGTTATAGCTCCGAGGTGGTCGAGCAGGCGGTCTTCTAGCCTTGAAGGTTTGGGATTTTGACAGAACGATGCATGCAAGTAAAATACTGACAATGGCCGTCGACTCATACTGTTGCGATCCAATGCAAGAGATGTGACCATCAGCAGGGCAATAATGGAGAGCAAATCATTGTCGAGCTACTAGTAGATGCATGCTCCACTTTTGAGTTTTGCACTAGTAATGATAAATCAAAGTTTTCTCAGCCAGGCGATGCAGGGTCTCACCACAGCCATGTCTTATCGTCACCTCCCAGCCTGGAGCTGTGTCCTCCATCTTCACATTCGCTTCTATTCTCTCTGTACAGGTATCACGTACCCATTACTTTGACTTGTAGCATTTCGTCCTTATCACACTGTCCATTCTATTCATAGAAATTTCACTCGCTTGAAAGCAGGCCCCAACACTGCCCCAAAACGGCGGATCTACGGCTGTTTCGTGAATCCAAGAGCTCCACCGCTCACCTCATCCTGTCGCTACAACAAAGTTGGCCAACTGCACAGCTCCGTTCTCAAGCTTCCGAATACCTACATCCCTTTGTCACTTTCGCCACTTCACGATCGTTCATAAGCCGTCCGCGCCGCCCTCGTTACGATGGCCAGAAACCGCAGAAGCTCGATGCTGAGCTTTACGGGCAAGAATAGAAAGACCAGCAGTGGATCGATCCCCAAGGTTGATGCCGCTGAGACCGCCAAAGAGAAAGCTGCATTCCATATCAACACAAAGGCCGATCCGACCAAAGCCATCAATGAAGCGCAGCCTGGTACGTTTGCTAAACAAGAGTCAAAGTAGCTCAAGACCTTTGCTGAACCTTTTCAGCGACCCGAAATACCCTCGAGGCCACTACGATTGAATCCATTCGAAGTCTTGAGCACCGCGATGCAGATGGGAACGTCATCAGTGAGATACAGGTGGGAATCACTGAAAAGAGCGTTTCTGATGCCTAGACAGCTGATCCCGACCTGTCAAATCCGACACGACCCCGTATGGAACGACCACTTGACACCATTCGGTCCTTTGAGGCGGCTATAGATGGATCATACAATCGGAGGGCCTCTTTCAGAGCTGGTACGACATACTGCCTACAAATGATAAGCCTGGAAATTACAAAGCTGATTGGTGTGTTCCACAGAGTCGACGAACCCCATGAGCCTTCAGAATAATCGTCGAAGTGGCTTTTTCTCAGGTGAGACCCCCAAATATGTTGCATTTCATATCGCGCTTGTTGAGCGGTGGCTTTTCCATACGAAACATTTTCCATGAATGCCTCGTGAAATTTATGCAATGTTTGCAACTCGGTCTTCCAAGGGCCGCGCGTTGGCTCTTTTTTCTTTCCCTCTTTTTTCTTGGGCGGCTCCTTGGCCACGGCGATCTCCCGGAAATTCAGATCCTCGAGCTAAAAAGCTTACTTGCTCCAATGCATATTTTAGGCTACCAAGCTCAGCAACAAAGATCCCCAGCTGATGGTGGAGGGTACTATGGCAATCGCATGAGCCACAGCAGGCCTGACAGTATCATGGATAATTATGGAAATGCTCCAAACCAGCATGGCAGTGGCCGTCGCTTCGGCCCTCGAAACCACTCAGATCCAGCTTTGTATGGACACAACAATACCCAAGGCGTTTATCCTTCGCATGGACATCAGCAATCTTACGACACAGTAGCATCAGCATCCAATGGAAGCCACGCAACTGATCAGTGGGGCAATTCCACTGACCCCAGCAGCGAGAATAGCTCCATTGATAGAGTTCAGACAGCCCCCAAACCGGACCTTGGTGAAGCTTACGGCTTCAACGGATTCGGAGGAGCGCCCCAGATCCAAGGTCCGATCTTGGAGGAGCATGGGCACGGCGCTCCAGGGTACGGGCATCCTGGATATGGTCAATCCCAGGTTGCAGCTGGCAATGGCCATCCATATCAAGGCAACGGGGCTCCCGCCCCACCACCGCATGCACCTCCCAAAGACGCTGGACCAAGGGTTCCTATCAAGCTAGGGAGTTCTGCAGTGGGCATGAGATCTGCAGTGGGCAGCAGGTCACCACCGGCCGTTGACACAGACAAACGCAAGAGTTGGCTCAAGAGAAGATTTAGCAAGGGTTAGATTGTTGGCAATGATGAGACGAATGGCTGAAAGCTTCGAGTGTCTCAGAAGAGCATTTTCCGCCAGTGGGGTTTGCCTCAGTATACATGAACAGTAATGCTTAATGGAATGCGCGCTGCGTTTTCACGAACAGCATGGAAGGCGTCATCGGTTGGGTTCAACAGCAACAGCTTGTCAATAATACATAGCGGTCTGGATGAGGTTGGCAAGACTTCATGCAAACGGTAAAGAACGCATGGTATGAGCCATGCTCCTAGCGCTTGAGAAAGCGGTTCATACGCCATGCTAATAACCTTCACCTTCTCATATCCGCATTCATGTAACAGTAGTACATAGCAGTACAGTCATTCTCCCTTCCTGGCCTTTTCCTCAGCAGCTAGTTTCTCACTCTCATCCTCTCTCATAGCGACGATGACATATGCTATGAGTACCATATTTGCCATGAAAGCAGCCGTTGCTCCTGCCCATGTCGATTTGCCTGTATTGTCGTATGAGTAGGTGTCTTCCACCACCGTCTAGAAGGTGTAAGACCGACCTCGAAATATAGTGTTGAGAGTCAGGAAGTATGTTCCTATGGGGCCTGCTATCATTGCCAGAGTGAACCCCAAGAGCTTGTATATGACAGCTCTAGAGCAGAATTGTCAATGTCATCCACACATACTCGACACTGTCGAATTATTTATTAAGCAGTAGAAGGATAACCCACGTAGGAACCGCAGGAGTGATGTTTGATTTCTCCGATGCATTAGGAGTGTTGGTCCTTTCATCTTTGTCAAACAGATTCTCTCCAGTAGATACGATCCTTCTCGAAGTCATTTTCGCAGGAAGGAATGTATTGTCTTCAGAACCAAGCCCACCGATAAATGGCGCGTCATGGCGTCTGTCGCGCTCACTCGCGTAGAGTGTTTTGGCTTGGCACGTTTTTGTTTGAGCAAATGAGCGTCTCTGAACAATTACCAAATCTTGACAACATCTACATACTGTGGTTAATCCTTACCCAATCCAGCACCATGGATTCTGTCGAGGATACGCCCGCAAAGAGGAGGAAGTTGGCCAAGGGCGACGCCTCAAGGAGTCAAACATACGACTCTCAAAACGACAGTGGCGATGATATCTTCGCGGACTACGAGACAGTCGCCACGGTCCCTTTAGCAGCAAAGCCCATTCCCACCTCACAAAATACAGCCGACATAATCTCTTTGCCCCCCATGTACGTCACACAGCCGACGCAGATAGTCCGCAAAGCTACCCCTGTGCAAGAAAGCAATGGCCGGAAGCCTTCCATTGTTCAGGTGGCAGCTTCTTCGCCCGCACGAAATATATCTCCCAGTCCTGCTACAAGCAAACATTTTGCACGGGGGAGACTTGCGAGTAGTATGGCACCCGCTGGAACCGCATTTCAACCTCCGAAGGGTGTAACAAAAGCTCCTGCGGCCACTATCGTGGACATTAGCGACGATGAGCCTTTTCTCCGAGGCGCCTCATCTGACGACGAGTCAGAGTCAAGACGCAGAGGAGATATCAAGCCTTCCACCTTCACGCATTCGGGCCAAAAACATGGCTCAAAGGCTACGAAGCCTGGCGGTAGCTTCAAGGATATTTTGTCGAACTCCTTCTACAAACCTCTCGAAAGTACCGAAAAGCCTAATTCTCAAGGGTCAACGCTTTCAGGGTCAGTGTATGATCAGCGAAATCGAAATGAAAAACAGACTACGTCTCGTATCGGCACTTCCTTGAAACGATCGGCCGACATCATGGCAAATGCGTATGGGGCCACCAGTAGAGCACCCAAGCAAGTCAAACAGACAGGTCCGGCAAAGGCTCTGCCAGCCACCGAACTCGACATTGATGACATAGAGGACTATCAATTGCGATCTAAGATTAGTCGTATGCGGCAAATTCTTCCTCACCATGGGGTACGGGCGTGCAAAGGTGCGTTGGAGCGAAAAAAGTACAATTTTGATGATGCTATGGAACTTCTAGCATCTCAAGAGACTCGTACGACGCAAATTTATCATGCAAGCTCAGATGGCGAAGATCCACTATCCAGTCAAGTAGCTCCAAAAAAAGCTCCGGCCAAGCAACAAATCAAGGCCCCAAATCTGAAAATTCAAGATAAATGGACCGCTACACAAGCACGCAGTATTCAAGATTCCCCTCCCCTCATAGCTACCTCACCTACCGCTATTACACCAAAGCCTAGACGACGGCTTGTCCAGGGTCGAAAACAGCAGTCATCCCCGGTCGCAGTACTAAAGCAGCCGTCTCCTGTTTCGTCCTCAAGAAATGCTACACCCGATCCAGATGACTCCGATTCAGGTGTGGGAACCGGCATTGATTCTGAGCTGGATCACAGGGTTCTCAATTTCTTTAATACATGTTTGATTCCCGATCTCGTTGATCTAGCTGGTGTTACATCAGACGTTGCATCTGTACTCCTATCTCAGAGGCCCTTTGAGTCGTTGGACGATATTCGTCAAGTGTCAAGTGATATTCCAGGGAAAACAAAGACCAAGAGAAAGACGGCACGCAAACCATTTGGGGACAAGATCGTTGACAAATGCTTGAACATGTGGACAGGCTACGAGGCTATCGATGAGCTTGTCAAACGATGCGAGGAGTTGGCAAAGCCGGTGAAAGAAGACATGAAAGGCTGGGGTGTCAATGTATTTGGTGCAGCAACGGAGGGTGAACTTGAGATCGTCAGCTTTGAGCCGGATATTTCTCCTCGAGACTCTGCTATCGGCACGCCGAACAGCATCGTAGTTTCGGATGAAGAAGGGGATTTTAGAAAGACTCGAAGGAATGCGTTCTTTCCACAGCCTTCGATTATGGCAAAAGGTATACAGCTTAAGGATTATCAGGTGCGTTCGTTCCAAGATTGTTCGCTCCCGTTAAGTTCGCCAAAGGGAAGGCTGACTGTGTATCTACCAGGTGGTGGGAGTCAATTGGCTTTCTCTGTTGTTCGAGCGGAAACTATCCTGTATTCTGGCCGATGATATGGGGCTGGGGAAAACATGTCAAGTGGTAGCTTTCCTTGCTCATTTGCTTGAGAAGGGGATCAAGGGCCCTCATTTGGTCGTTGTTCCGGGCTCTACACTGGAGAATTGGTTACGAGAGTTCTCGGTGTTTTGCCCTAAGCTCCATGTCATGCCATACTACGCCGGCCAGAATGAGCGACCCGGGATTCAGACCCAAATCTTGGACAATTTAGACACTCTCAATATCGTCGTCACGACATACACATTAGCCAAGACAAAGGACGATAACAAATTCCTCCGGAAGCTGAAACCTGTAGTCTGCGTATACGATGAGGGTCATCTTCTGAAGAACAGCAAATCGGCGGGCTATGAAGCCCTTATGAGGATTCCAACACACTTCCGTTTGCTTCTGACAGGGACACCTTTACAAAACAATCTCCGGGAGCTTGCCTCCCTGCTGGGGTTCATTCTGCCTTCAGTCTTCAGCGAGCATCATGAGGATCTTGAAGCCATATTTAGTCATAAAGCCAAGACCACTGACGATTCCCACGCGGCATTACTATCAAACCAACGCATCGCTCGGGCGAAGTCCATGATGACGCCGTTTGTGTTAAGGCGGAAAAAGCACCAGGTCTTGAAGCATCTTCCGGCGAAAACCCGAAGGGTCGAGTATTGCGAACTGTCCAAATCCCAATCTGAGACATATGCGATGGAAAAGGCTCGAGCACTTCGGGTCGTCACAGCGAGGGCCGCTGGTGAAAAAACTGGTAACGAGACCGCTAACATCATGATGGCTCTTCGAAAAGCCTCCATTCACCCATTACTGTTTCGTCGGCTCTACGACGATAGTATTATTGCAAAGATGTCCAAAGCATGTCTAGGAGAGCAGGAGTACGAGCATTCCAACGTTGAATTTGTTTACGAAGACATGGAAGTCATGACGGACATGGAACTTCACCGATTTTGTGAGCATCATCCCCGGACTATGACCAGATTCCTTCTTCAAGACAATCCATGGATGGATTCCGGGAAGGTCAGCAAGCTGGCTTCACTCCTCCGAACATTTAAACAGAATGGAGACAGGGTCCTCGTTTTCTCACAGTTTGTCATGGTCTTGGATATCCTCGAAGCCGTCATGGAAACCTTGGCAATGCAATTCTTCCGACTTGACGGGTCAACTCCCATGGAACAACGTCAAGACATGATCGATCAATTCCACGAAGAGGAAGACATTACGGTTTTTCTCCTTTCAACAGGCGCGGGAGGCGCAGGTATCAACCTTGCTTGTAAGCTGATCTCGGGGATGGTTCGCTTGAAATGAATACTGACTTTGGGAAAGGTGCCAATAAAGTCGTCATATTCGACTCATCATTTAACCCTCAAAGTGATCAGCAAGCGGAGAACAGAGCCCATCGTGTCGGCCAAACTAGGGAAGTCGAGGTAGTTAGACTGGTGACAAAGAATACGATCGAGGAACAGATCCATGCTTTAGGCGAAACGAAATTGGCTCTTGATGATCGTGTGGCTGGAGTCGTTGCCGACGAAGTGGATGGCAAGAAAGCCGGGATCGCCGCCGAGAAGCAAGGAGCAAAGATAGTGGAGGAGATGATGTTAGGAAAAATGGAAGAGGAGTTGAAGGTCGGGGGCGAGACGTTGGATATCTGATTGAGCAGCACAGCAGGTGACAGGAGTCCCTCAGGGTAAACCTCAATGTGAGATTGCAACGTGTACTCGGATGTACTCGCTCATGCGTTGTTAATGCTTCAGCCGTCGTACCTAAAGAGAAATAGCTGCTCATGGATGATGTCTCGCTTTGGGTCAGGGTTCAAGATATCCTCTTCGGCGCTTCGAACACAATGGAAGACGACTTAAGATAGCTATCGAAGACAGATCATAGCATGCTGGTGCTATTGTAGCACCTTCTCATTGTTCCAAGGGGTTACCTGTGTGGAGCACGACCCTCTGAAAGAGGGACGTATCACAACGTGACATCCGAGGCCACCCTAACCCAAGCTCCTGAAAGATGTAGGGTATGTTACCCCTAGTCGTATTGAGTGGTACTCATGTTTCGACATGAACCCAAAATGTTACTCTGCAGATGCTGCCATTGCCAGGAAGCTCAGGCTATCTACGACACGAGCCTCTTGAATCTTGGCATTTATATCTACTACTATAATGGACAGTTATAACTCCAAAGTAGTTGACTATGCTACAAAGAAATTGTAAGACTTATCACACGTTGACATGAAGAGTTTTCTGCACCGAAAAAAAAAATCAATACTAGTACACAAGGCGGTCAATTGAGTGAAGAGGCTTAGGCCGCCGATTACACGAAATTGCGACGACGCTGTAGTGCGAAATCTTCAATGGCTATAGAGAGCTATCAGAGCTTCATTTACAGTCTTGAGAAGCCTCCCCTCCCCCACGGCTTTTCTCCTTTTGTTGCTCTTCATTTCCGTTATCCTCGGCGGCAGCGCCCCTTGCTACAGCTGCATCAGCGTCTGTAGCTATCGTCCGCTCCTGATCGTCATTTGACGCCTTGAAGATGTTAGTCGAGGACGTTGTTCGACAATGTTGCTGAATACTTTCCTCGGCCTTCTCTGTCGAAGACTGGCCGGTCGACACGGAAGAATCTTTCTCGTCCGAAGCTGACCCAGGCTTCTGCCCGTTGTGATCGCGATCGACGTGACCTAGATCACGATCTGGGTCCACAACATTGCGGACCAGCTGTTTGAGGTTCTTTACTTCTGTGAGAAAGAAGCACAGGGTTAGCTAGAGTGATACATGTACCTTTACCTGGTTTGGAAGGCTCAGTGCTTAGGGATTCTCGAATGGCGTGAAAGAAATAGAAGTTTTGGCGGGCAAAAAGGACGGATACCGATCGTATTGACGATGGGCACGAACGTCAAAGAATAAGGCTTGTCTTATAGATTTCAAGAAGAAAGAGAGTACCCTCCAGCCCCCCCCCCCCCCAAAAAGTTGAAGAAGAGACACAATTGAAAGGGGGAGAGGCACTGGGCACTGATCACGTAGAAATAACGAAGAGGACAGATAGAATCTTTGAGGACGTACCGGGAAAACCGCCTTCAGCTCTTCGATCCCAGAGTCGAGCCGTTTGGGTAGTAGGAGGTTGTCCATTGAGAGCTTCTTGATTTGACTGTGTAGATGCATAGATGATATCTATGGTGAAAACACCACCCTTTGCGGGAATGAGCGAGACTTCGCCCAGGGATGTGGAGAACGTCGAGAGAAGTTCTTGGGCGAACTAAACAAAGTGAGCACGAGTAAGAGTTAGGAGGAGCATGTAAATTTTGAGAGTCATCAAATTTGAGAATTGGGCGGCATTTTTTCCGCAGCATCAAATTGCATAGTTACGCATAGCGGAGCAAACCCTTTCATAAATATTTCTGACAGTAGAATCGGAGGTACCATGTTCTTGGAAGAAGAGACCTGTACAACATGATAACTTTGACGTTCGAAATATGAGAGAAAAGCCTGTGGTTGCTGGCACTTTTTACCTGGAAGAAATACAATTAAATCCCAAAGTGTTTGATATTATGCTGCCACTCCGGGAACAAGTCGCGAATCAAGTAAGTATGGAGGAAGAGACTCCCAAGTTCGAAAGCAAGATACTCGATGACTGCAAAGAACGGGCATCTGACGTACGTATGCCGCACGAAGCATCCATTTGCATCTATATGATTTCGGAGTCAGCATAGCTCTCTATTAGGATCAGATCTGAGTCGTAGAAAACGCTCTGAAATGTTTAACTCCAAGACGCTGTACGGGTCAGGGAGCAACGGCATTATGGCTCGGAAAAGAAAACTTAACTGAGTACAAAATCTGATCGTAATGCGAGGTAAATGCACAGGGGCTAGGGATTCTGCCTCAGGCGCAGATTCCATATTGGACAATTGCTCGTGTGAAAAGACAATTGACAGGGAGGGACTCTATACCTTCAACATCAAGTGGTGAGTGTGAATGTGAGTAGTTGCTTCTTGCTAAGTTTTGATCACGTCATACTACGACTTGCAACTTTACAACATTCACGAGCTCCAAAGTCTTCGTTGCCGTTACATTTATCAGGCTTGCTATCTACAAAAGGCTCAGGCTCAGGCTCAACGATGGTTCGCCGTAGATTTCGACATGTGGTACATGTGCGCTTTGCTCCACCACCGAAACCAGCCATTAGCACGTATTATAGGCTGCGAGGACATACAGAGTAGACACATAAGAAACCTTTGCTGTTACACGAAAACCACCATCCATACAAAGAAAGCAAGGAGCATGCTGGCCCGGGTCAGTAGATGTCATATCCACCGTCATCCTGCTGGTACCAAGTTGCGTTGGAGAATGGACGTTTTGGTGCCAAGGCAAATGCGACTCCTCCGTAAGACAAAGATGTGACGGCCACCAAACGACTGATTCCATCCTGATTTTGCTTTTTCCTATGCCCATGCTTAATGTGAGGCGCCCAGTGAGAATTGGTCCGCTGTGTGACGGATTGTCGTAGTCGAGGTGTGGGAAGAGAAAATGGTATCGAGAACAGATGCGAAATAACCGTAGAACGCCAGGTCGAGCAAAGAAGCCAGCTTCACATGATCGTGCAACAGCCTTTTGATTGTTGTGGTGCATATGGATCTTCGCGCTTGTCGACCTGAAGATAGCCGAGTGACGTTAGCGAGTCAAATTATCCCAAAAGTCGCGAATGGTCAACGCGCCATTGACGACAGCATGGTGTTGATTTGTACTCACCGAGCCCCACATGGAGGGGACCATGAAATCCTTTGTGTTTGTGCAGTATTGTATTAATCTGGGGTGAGAGATTAAGATTAGTTTTGCTGACGACCACACTCTGTCGCAAAAGGAAAGGAAGGCATCACTCACGACATTGAGGCTTCTGACACCTTGATCCGGGGTCGCTCCAAGTCTTCTCTCAGCCGCGAGTTGAGCTCATTCAGGCGACGGAGCTTCAGATCTGCCATGGATTGCTTCTTGTTCTTGACGTCTCCCCCAGCGCGGATCTCGTAAGCCGTTGGCATCTTGTCAATTGAGGCGCTTGCCCGGGCGCAGCTTCAAGATATAAGAGAGAATCGGGTGCGATCAGTGTAGCTGATGATTGATAATGATACTGAGCGTCGCCTTGATGATTTTCTTCTTTGCACGGAGATGGCTGCTTCTTCTTCTTCTTCTTTTTCCTCTTCTTCTTCTTTTTCTTCTTCTTCTTCTTCTCACACGGGTGAATGGTGACACTGAAATTTGCGGTAGTCAGTGGGTGCGCCAATTGGATGCCTCCAAGGCTCATGCCTATGGGCACTACTTAGTCACTAGCGGGCCGCTAAAGTCCTCCACACAAAATCTCATCTTGCCGAGCGTGCCTTGAAAACGGTCAGACTTCAGCATCATCATCATCTTCATCATCGAACGGCATATACACATCTTTCTTGACTGCCTAACAGATTGCACTTCTGTCAAGCACTCAAGAGAGGCCGCCCAAGATGCCTCCTCCACCGCATACCAAACCCGAGAATGTGCTCAAGGTATGGATCCGCGCGCTCCTTTCCGCCGTCCAAGCTGCACTCGATGTGATGGATGGCTAATATATTGTGAACACCAGCGAGCACAAGAACTCATCGCTGTCGAGCAGTCTCCAGCTGCTCTCACTATCTTACACGAACATGTCACGTCTAAAAGATCCAGAAATAGCCCCATCACTTCTCTTGAACCTGTAATGATACAGTTCGTTGAGCTCTGTGTAGACCTCAAGAAAGGCAAATTAGCGAAAGATGGACTCTACCAATACAAGAACACTGCACAAAACACGAATGTTGGCACGATTGAGGTAAGTTGATTCGCAACATGTCATTCGGAGCTGATTAAGATCGCATCCAGCTCGTCCTCAAAAAGTTCATTGAACTCGCAGAGGCCAAGGTCACGGAAGCTCAAGCAAAAGCAGATGAGGTCCAGTCGATCCTTGAGCCTATCGCTTCCGGTGCGAACGTGGAGGATCTCGAGGCTATAGAGACACCAGAGTCAATACTACTATCCACTGTCTCAGGCGAGCAATCCAGAGACCGAACAGACAGAGCTATCGTTACACCATGGTTGAAATTTCTGTGGGAGACCTACCGTACTGTGTTGGAGATTCTGAAGAACAATGCGCGACTGGAAGTCATGTATCAGTCTACAGCTATGCTGGCATTTACGTTTTGTCAGCATTTCGCCCGCAAGACAGAGTTCAGAAGACTGTGCGAGCTACTACGAAATCATGTCCAGAATGCGGCCAAATACCAGTCACAGATGCATGCGATCAATCTGAGCGACCCTGATACCTTGCAGCGTCATCTCGACACTCGTTTCCAGCAACTTAACGTTGCTGTAGAGCTCGAACTATGGCAAGAAGCTTTCCGCAGCGTGGAGGACATTCACACGCTCCTCAGCTTGAGCAAGCGCCCAGCGAAGAACATCATGATGGCGAACTACTATGAGAAGCTTACTCGAATATTCCTCGTCAGCGAGAACTATTTGTTCCATGCTGCTTCCTGGAGTAGATACTACAATCTCCTTCGTCAATCTGCGAACACGGTCGCTTCGGGCCAAAGTCTGAAGAAAGACAACCCTGCAGTAACGGAAGCGGATATGAGCAGGGCGGCGTCATTCGTCCTACTCTCGGCACTTTCAATTCCCGTCATAAGCACGTCTCGTTCCCGTGGAGCTCTCATTGACGTTGATGAGGCTCGCAAAAACAAGAACAACCGCCTTACCAACCTGCTTGGAATGTCTCACGCGCCAACTAGGGCTGTTCTTTTCAAGGACGCTATGAGCAAAGGACTCCTGAAGCGCGCCAAATCAGAAATCCGGGAGCTGTATCAGATCCTCGAGGTCGACTTTCACCCTCTATCTATCTGTAAAAAGATATCGCCTATCCTCGCACAAATTGGCGCAGATCCCGAAATGGAGAAATATGTGCTGCCTTTACAGCAAGTCATATTGACGAGGTTGTTCCAGCAGTTGTCGCAGGTCTATGAGTCTGTGGAACTGAGCTATGTGCACCAGCTCGCCCAATTCCCCGAACCCTTCCAGATAACCGCCGCCTCCATCGAGAAGTTCATCATGAACGGATGCAAGAAAGGCGACCTGGCAATCCGGATCGATCATGCTACTGGCGTTCTTACCTTCGACTCGGATGTCTTCTCGTCCGCAAAAGCTCTTCACCCTGGGAGCGGCTCTGGCTCCGCAGAGAGTGAGACAAGTTCCGTTCAACGGTTGCAGCGCACCCCAGCGGAAATCGTTCGCTCCCAGCTCACTCGCTTAGCAAAGACACTCTATGTCACCTGTCAATACGTTGATCCCGAGTATAACGAGGCTCGGCAACAGGCTAAGGCTGCAGCACTCTCGAGAGCGCAAGCCGGTGCCGAACAAGAGCACCAGGATACTTTGGCAAGACGAGCCATCATAGAGAAGAAGAAGGAGCTGGCCTCTGACGCGCTCCAGAAGAAGCAGAAGGAGGAAGAGACGCGGAAGCGGATCGTTGCTCAACAGCGCCAGGAAGCCGAGGCTTTGCGATTAGCGGAAGAGCACAAAGAGCGCGAACGTAAACGTATGAAGGATGAACAAGATCGCATTCGCCGGGAGAATAACGAGAAAGAGCTCAGTGACCTTGTAAAGAAAGGCATCAACATTGGAGATGTCGATGTGAAAGATCTCGATAGCAACCAACTTCGGCTTCTGAGGATCTCTCAACTTGAGAAGGAAAAGAACGATCTTTTCAAGAATCTTAGAGTCACCGGAAAGCGAATCGATCACTTGGAGCGCGCCTTTAGGAAGGAGGAGATCAAGCTTTTGCCAAAAGACTACGAGGCACAACGTGAACGTGACGTTGCTGCTTATGAGCAATCGAAAGCAGAGACGTTGAAGGAGTCGGAGCGAAAGCACAGGGAGGACGTGTCGCTCAAGCATCGGCTTAGTCGGCTGCTGCCAGTTTACGAACAGTTCCACAAGGACCTCAAGGAGCGTCGTCATGATGAATTTGAAAAGCGGAGGAAGGCAGCGGATCGAGAATTCCAGAATGCCGTAGACAAGCGAAAGCGTGAAGCGCGTGAACGAAAAGCTCGCGAACAGAGGGAACATGAAGAGGCTGAGAGGCGAGCTCAGGAGGAAGAGGAGAGGATTGCCCGAGAAGCCGAGGAAAAGGCAGCTGCCGAAGAAGAGAAGAAGCGTCTATTGGCAGAGGCTAGGACGAAGAGAGAAGCGGAACGAAGGTAAGCTCTGAATCTTCCTTACCCAGCTCGTGACGCATGCTGACATCGTTTTCAGAGAACTTGACGATAAAGCTGCCCCTCAACGCCAGAAAGATGAGGCGGCAGAAGCTAAGATTAAAGGTAGAAGCGGTGCACGTCTTCCAGAACGCCCAACGCCTATCCGACCTGCCGAACCAGCACGCACCGAATCTTCCGAGCGGCCATCAGGGCCTCCAAAGCTTGCCCTTGCCGGTAGCAAACCCACGTGGAGAGACAGGGAAGCCGCGCGCAAACAAGCAGAAGCTGCAGGAGGTGCCCCTCAACCTGCCGCTCCACCAACAGATATTGCCACCGAGGAAGTTCAATTGCCGAAGAATACTGGTGGATATGTGCCACCAGCCCGTCGTCCAGGCGACACTGCTCCTCGTGGCCGGAGTGATGCAGCACCATCCCCTGCTCCTCGAGACGAAATTTCTGGCGCACAGCCACCTCCAAAATGGCGCCCTGGTGGTCCGCGTGATGGATTAGGGCGCGATGGTTCGCCAGCTGACAGACCTACACCCAGGTTCTTGGATGGGTTGAGGGGTGCTCCAGGTAGGGATTTGAGTCCTGCTGACGGTGGGAGACCTGTTTCCTCATCTGGAACAGCGAGGACAGAGAGTCCAGCCAATGAAAAGCCTGCACCTGGGAAGTATGTGCCCATGCATCTGAGAAACAAGGGGTGAGTAGTTGGGGTCATTCCGAGATCAGAATTGTAGTGGCAAGGGGAGGTAGTCGCTTTTTCTCGAGCTGTGATTTATTAGACTGTACAATTGGCTCAATGCACCCTCGTTCAACAACAGTGTCATAATTATTCGGATCTTTTTGGCGTACATTGCTGGTGCTAGTAATTGAAGAATATTCTCGGCGATGTTTGAGTGTGATTGGTATTGTTCTTCCGCCCACAGACGAAAACCGGAATGGCTATTGCAAGAACTTCCAACTTTTTACATGGTGTTTCCACAACTTCATCTACTTGGTATCTAAAGTCAATTCATACAGGATGGTATCAACACTTCGCTTCCCATGCTTGGACGCTACCACTACCCTTTCGTCCCAGCCATCATGCAGCAGCAACCTCTACTCCGGCCATCCCACCCGCCAACCTCTTTCTCCAGGATGCACAAACTTCCTCAAACCCGCCCACTACCTCTCCACAAACTCTGGCGCACTCTCTCCCTGCCAACCGGGCTTCCCAGTTCCCTTTTTCCACCCAGTGAATGCCCGTTTCTCTCGCTTCCGTCTCTCTTCGCATCTCGATCACTAGTTCTCTGGCCGCTCGTAACCTTCGCGATGCCAGGGATGTGGTTTGACGCATCATGTGCAATGTGTCGCTGAGGTAAGTGAGAATGGATGTAAGATCCGCCGTCGAGGCGTGCAGATTGCGAAGAGACGCGAGTGTAGGAGACGTAGGTGTAGGGAGGGCAAGAACAAGGGAGGTTAAGAGCGGGAGCAGGTCATCAATGAACCCGGGATCCGGAGGAGCAGAGAGAGGAGAGACTAGGGGATGCGTCAAAGTTAACAGCGTGCGCGTTTGATGGGAGAGGTGTATTGTTAGAGCTGTGTGGGCTGTGATGAGGCTAAACAAAGACGAACGAGGGTCAGCAATACGGTCCAGTCTTATCGGGCGTAAGATAGCACGAACCGTGCTGAGCCGTCTTCGACGCCAGCTTGGGAACCCAAGTCTTTGAGGGAGTCGGTCACGCGTTGTACGATCTCATCTGTATCGCTACCATTGGCTTCGGTACCTCGGCGTGCGAGATTTTCCACAGCGGCCAGGCGAGCTTCGAGAGAAGCAGAGATACTATGCGTGCCATCCAGATCGCTATCATCGCCGTAGTCTGACCCGTCATACTGCGAGTTTTCCCGTGTGGGTCTAGAGCGTAATGACTGTTTGGCAGGGCTCAGAGCGCGGTCTGATGTGGCTTGTCGGACTGGCGATATAGAGGTAGCATGCCCCTTTTGATAACCATTCCTAAACATTGGACGCCCGTTTTCTTTCAAATGATCATGGCGGATTGCTTCTGCTTCGTCGTAAAGGCCTTCCGATACTTCGTCTCCAAGCTCCCGCGCATTCTCGTCCTCTTCCTCGAAGGCTTCCGCCAGTTCGTCTGCGAGATTTCCGAGGCCGTTCACACTTCCTGGGTCTACCAGATCGTCCAAGCCATTAGAGGACTCGAAGTACCCACTCCTGTTGTGGGAGGAGATTGGCTGGGGGGTCGACGGAGACGCTACCGAGCAATGAGATGATCTTCGGCTATTGGAAGGTCGAATGGAGGAACAGGCATAGCTTTGCGGAGTGGCAGATATGAAAGGTAGATGGATAGCAATACTTGAGGACTTGCGACGCCGTGTTGGCGTTGGAGGGGAAGATGGCATCGGCGTATGCTGGGCTCTGGGGCCACTGCAAGCAAGGCCAAGGGTATTTATTGTTCACTGCAAGCTATGTATGTAGTTGACGGTTACGAGGGGCATCTCGTGCAGATGGAGATATGTAAATGTCTAGTCTTTCTGATTTTATTGGTTGAGGCTATTATTCAATGTATTGCTGGATGGAATGATGGAGCACCGTGAGTGTTGGAGAATAAGTAGCAAAGCGGTGGTATGAAAGTTCCTAAGTTCCTAAATAGATTAGACCTACCCCCATTCGCGCCCATTTTTAAATCCGATAAATCCGACATAGGCTACCACTACCATGGCTACCACTACCATAACTACCACTTTTACTCTATTCAAATAGTTTACTATCATAGTCTATCATAATGGCTAATGCTACGGTACTATAGTCGTCATCTATAGGCCTGATATAGTAGACGTTACAATTATCGATTTTAAAATGGGCGCAAATGTAAATCCGACATAGATACGGAGAGCTACCACTACCATGGCTACACTACCATGACTACCACTACTTGTATTATTTATTCAAACAGCCTACTACCATAGTCTATCATAATAGCTAATGCTACGGTACTATAGTCGCCGTCTATAGGCCTGATATAGTAGACGTTGGAATTATCGGATTTAAAATGGGCGCAAATGGGGGTAGACACGATTACAGGAGAGGAGGACAAGACAAAAGAGAGGGACTGTGAGTAGAGTTGGAGGGAGTAGAGACTAGAGAGTAGCGCCCGCTGTCATTGTCTTCCAGGTAAGGTAAGGTACCTAAGACGTATCTTAAGTCATGTCAATAATTAATAATACACCTTAGAGGCACCTTAAAAAAAAGGATGACTTGACAGCAAGACCTCGGCCATATTACGGTATAATACTCTAGCTCAGGCTAATGTAAGCTAAGCTAAGGTAAGCCTGAAGCACTGAGGTACCTTACCTACTCATTACCCCCATGCATTATAAGTCTACTCAAGTACGTACTTACCACATATAAAAATATATCTTTGCACCCTTTTTCTTTCCCTGTCGTCTTCTTCTTCTTCTTCTTCTTCTTCTTCCCCTTCTCCCTTTCTTTTTCCCTTTCCCTTTCCTTGTCCTGTTTTTCCCTTCCCCTTCCCCTTCCCCTTCCCCTTCCCCTTCCCCTTCCCCTTCCTCTTCCTCTTCCTCTTCCTCTTCCTCTTCCTCTTCCTCTTCCTCTTCCTCTTCCTCTTCCTCTTCCTCTTCCTCTTCCTCTTCCTCTGCCATGACTTCTCTCCGCGCCTTTCAGCCACAAGACCTGCTAAAAATGAATCTCACAAATCTTGACCCTCTCACGGAGAACTATAACGTCGACTTCTACATGCACTACCTCACCAAATGGCCTTCGCTTTTCACAGTGGCCGAAGACCAACACGGCAACATCACAGGGTACAGTGAGTATCCCGTGCGCTGTTTCTGCAATCCAATCCGACTAAAGGCAAACTCAGTGATGGGCAAAGTCGAGGAAGACCCCGCGTGGAGACAATTCACAGAACACTACCTACCATGGCACGGTCACGTCACTGCGCTCACAGTTGCTCCACAACATAGAAGATCAGGCCTTGCTCAAAGCCTGACCAAGGCTTTAGAGCGTGGATGCGAAGAGCAGAAGGCATGGTTCGTAGATCTTTTCGTCCGGGAAGGGAACAAGACGGCCGTTGGCTTGTACCAAGGTCTAGGGTATGAAGAGCCTCGACTTTGTCCTTGAGCCCAAGCATGATCGCTGAAGGAGTTCTACCAACAGATATAGCGTCTTTCGGCGCGTAGTAGACTATTATAACGACGATCCCACCGGTCGAAAAGCGGGGGAGGATGCGTTTGATATGCGGAAGCCCCTGAGCAGGGATAAAAAGTTGAAACATATCAGGAAGAAGGGGGAGAATTTTAGAGTGGAACCCGACGACCTGTATCATTGATGGTGCCATGAGCCGGCCAAGATCTTATCAATTGCGGTGAGGACGCCACCGCACGGGAGTCTGATTGTTTGGAAGCTTGATTCTGGAGAACACGAGAAACATTTCATGAATTGGACTGAGAGTTACCTTATGTCTGTAGACAATACGAAGCTTTCATGTTTTAGAAGTACAGCACTTCGACGACGTTCGTAGAGGCTTGGTGGGATAGGTAGTACTACGCGTCTCCAGCTGATGAAAGAAATTGGGAAAAGCATTACTACGCTCATGCCTCGTAATCAAACCAACTTTGCTACGCAAACAGTCCCAGCGAAACCATTACTTAAGCCCTTGCCTGCCAATCCACACTCAGAGATCAGTCACGCCATTGTCCTCCAATGCTCTTGCCGATCCTTCTTCTTCAGCGTAGCTTCAATCACCAAATCTTCCGCCCCATCAAAAGTAACAGTGACCTGGATCTTCTTGATGCCGTTGCCCCTTCCTTTGAATTCTTGACGTACAGGCCCATGTTGGTCACTCCTGTGCACACTAGCCGGCAACGAATCTGTCCAAATTCCCGAATCCTTCGGAGACAAATTGACCACCTTCGATCGAAGTTGGTGAGAGGGGTTGGGACTGGCAGCGAACTGCTGTGCTGGTCTCGCAATACTGGAACTCGATGAGCCTTGCTCGGCTTTATTATCGGCGTGTAGTTTCGTTGAATCTGCATGTGACGAGGTGTATGGCTGCATGCGAGAGTGCTCCTTTACCTTTGGCCATTGAGGTTGGAGTGACGGGAGAACGTCGCCTGATATGGGTGACTCAAAGCTTGCGTCCATGGATCCTGATTGTGAGAGTACCCTTGGCTGCGTGCCAAACGGACCTGTCCTTGTTGGGCTTTGCGCGTGTCTAATCACGTCTTTGACGACCGCATGCGGATTTCTTGATAGCCACTCCTCCGTAATTTTTAAGCTAGCGGCATCAGAATCTTGCGGGCGCTCTGGAGCCCTTCGAGTTTGCTCGAGAGATTGCCACTCGCTCATTTCTTGTGGAGATGCCATAAGCTGAAGGGAGGGCTGGCTGGATGCTTTTTGATAAGACGTTATAGCATCCATAGCCTGTTGATCTATTGGACCTTGATTTGGAAGAATCTTTGTCCACGGAGCGTTCTCATCCTCCTCGTGTCCATCTTCAATAAGCGTGTGTGACTTGCTGATGCCTCGTAAGGGCTCGATTTTGGTAAGAGTATGATCGTGCTGAGCGGCCCGGGTGGATCTTGAGGACCTATCGGTGCCACGGCCTCCTCTCGATGAATCTTGAACCACTGGTTGCTTGTCTACCAGGGCCACCTTGTACCAGGGGAACTTTCTAAAAAATGATGTCGATCTTGAGGCAGATCGCCTGGAATTACTAGTATTCGAGCTGGAGCGGCGCGAGCCCACAACTGTCTCAGGAGCTGCGGGATCCTGGCGAAGCTGTTCATCTCTGAGCATAGTTACGTCAAAGCCTGACTTCGGTGTTGAGCCTTCACGAGGTGGCGGCAATTTCGTTGACTCGTGGTCCCGCTCGCTGCTGCGATGATCCCATGTATAACTTGGCCAAATAGTTGGGGAGGCTTCTTGCTGAATCTCGCTGCGATTACTTGCGGAGCTGCTGACATGGTGTAGAGTCCATGCTCGTCGCGTTTCTGTAGGGGTTGCAACTTCAGTCTTCAGGTAATGTACTCCGGAATCTGAACTTGATCGTTGGGTAGGATTTCCTGCAGGACTGCATTTCGGTTGTCGTTGCCTTCGCTTTTGTGAACCACCGAGGTACACAGACGGGCTAGGCTTCTTCTGATTCACGTGAGGTGGAGTGTCTTGCCTGGTCGAATGCCGCGATTCGCTCCGCGCTTCGGCAGCCGAGACTGAAACAGACCCGCTGTACGATGGCACCTTCTTAAGACGAGGCATCTCGCTCAAGGAGTCACTTCTGCTGTTATTTCTTGAATTGCGAATGTGGAATTTGGATTCAGTGGTGTGAGGTGCAAACTCGTCATCGTGGTAAACCTTACCAAACGTGTCAGCTGCCACCCAGCCTCGCTCGACCATAGAACCCAGCTTATCGGCGATGCTTCCTCGCGGCTTCAAAGCTTGCTCATGACTGTAGTCATTGTTACGATCCTCGGTCTGCGGGAGACCATGCCAAATGGCCCGAGGTTCGACCAGGTCTGTTTGGATGGGATGGGGACTCAAGATGGCCTCTTCGGAAGGCCATGTGTTTTTCACAGGCTCATTGTCGACTTGATCAACTCCTGATAGTGGACCGTGCGGAGTACTTGGCGCTGTGATACGGCCCTGATTCCTCTGGGCACGGGGAGATGATATAGCGTCCGTGAATAGCTTTGGAGATGGACTTTCTGCAGCTCTGCCCCCAGTATATGGCCTGCTTAGCGTAGTTGGTTCAACGCAGGATTGATACTCATGCGGTTGAAAGAAGGACGTGACATTTGAAGACCTATTCGATCCTCCAGACGCACTGACAAGATGCCGATGGTCTCTCGAAAAAAATTCCGTGTGAAAGCGCTTGACCGTGCCGGTGCCCGGCATATCCGTGCCCGTCAATACCGGCTTAAGCGCCAAGGAAGGCCTCGATGGACTGCGTGGTCTGTAGGCATGGAGCCTTCGGGGCGGGCATGGGGTAATTGGGGAATGCGAGCGAGTCACGATCTGTGCCTGATTTGAGAAGCCTTGCAGGGCTCGGATGCGAGCAGCAACGAAGCCTTCTTGAACAATAGGCCCTGTTGACTCGCAGTACGGCGAGTGGTTACGTACGATTGATCTGCTGGACGCTGGCGTCTTGGGTGTCCGTTCCTTCATCATGATAGAAGAGTGGCGCGTGCTGAAGGATGTTATTGGAGAACGGCTGTTATGTTTAGCAATGTATTTTAATGAATGACTGTGGAGAGTGACAATAAGTGGGCAGCAGTTCCATTGTTGTTGAGCATGTAACCAGAATCCCCGGGTTCAAAATCAAAGAGGTTGCGGGCTTGCTTCCTCGAGCTAATGAAATTAGAAAGAGCTATCGGCTTTATCCACAATTCCAAGCAAAGCAAGCACATGAATGACTTTACAGGAGTGAAAAGCATACGGCCGTAGGGTGAGCGGTGAAGAGAAAGATGGGAAGCCGCCAAATCGGAGCAGGAAGACCGCGGATGAAAGGAATGGGTATTTTGGAATTCGGAATATCGAGGACACAAAGATGGCAGCAAATCGCAAGCAGACTACCAGACCAAAAATCCAGCAGCAAATTCGAAATTCGTCTTCCATATGAGTACAAAAACGCATCAGGTATACAGCACCTTTTACTTTAGTGACGCTTGCAAACCCTCTAAGACCTGCGCATGACTATCAGAACAGCCGTTGCCGTGGGTATGAGTGAATAAATATCTTACTTCTAGCTCTATTTTGGCCTCTGCAATGTCCTGCTCACTCCCGCTCCCTCCAGCTATCTTTTGAGCTTCAGTAATTTGAGATCGAACAGCCTATAATGAAGAAGTTGTCAGCACAGTTAAAAACAGATCAGATCACTGAAAAAACCTTACGTCGGAACTGAAGTCTTCCAAGGGAAACCCTTCCACGGCGTTGATGCTGAGCTGAGAGCCTGGCTGCACAATAGCGAACCCTCCAGACACTGCCGACATCACATTTGTCAGTGCATTTCTCGCGACCTCGCAACCTCGCAGTTCTCCCGATTCTTGTGGCACGGACGCAAGTCTCCATCCATGTCCCATCCTGAAGGTTACTTACAGAAAAATTGCTTGCTTCCACCGCTTTCTTCAATTATCTCGACGAGTCCGGGCTTCAATTGCTCGATGGAAGGCACGTGGTTGGCTAGCACACCCATCTCTCCGGACTCCGCAGGTATGTTGACTTGCACCCTGAGCATGCGCCCTGGGTCAGCTCAAGCCTTGGTTTATGTGACGGGGAAGGACTCCTGAGGAGTGACGGCGGTGGGGCAACGCACACATCCGTAGACTTGTATATTGACTACACGAACGATCGAATGTCAGCTGTGGATATCTCGTGAATATGATCTACGACAATCGCTCGGTTTGGGAGCACACACCTGATGGGGAAGGGCGAGGGTGAGCTTTATCTTGTCTGACACGGGGTCCGCGTAACCTCTTCGCTGGAGGGGTAAGCGGAAGGCTAATGGGCGAATGCGAGTGGCGGCTTGAGCTACACGTAAAGACATGTCGTCTTTCGGATGGATTCCACTCCGTACTTTACACTTCGGAAATGGGGAGTAGATACTAGATAATTGAAAGTACCTTAGTGCTTCACAAATTCGAGCGAGCGCGGCTACGAGTAGCAGCGGCTATCTATAAGCCTAAGTAAGGTAAGGTTACAAGGTAGTTACCTAAGTAAGTATAGAATAAGCTTGGCGCAGCTCCTCCCGTAACGTAAAGTAAAGTAGGTCGTAGAGTACTTTACTTTATCGATTGCACCATGCATCGTCCTCAAAATATGGTATTACTGACAAATCGATCTGTCAAGCTCTTGCTGACATCTTTTACTACATTACTAACACCAGCATCGTCACCATCAGAGTTCGGAGCATTTGGTGGGACATCAGCTGGGAGTTCAGAAAATGCCTCAGACAAAATATGCATTGGCCAATCAGATATTAGGGGTTTCAGACTAGGAGTCAACCACAATTTGACTCCACCGTGTATACACTGCATTAGCTGTTTTCCTGTATATTCGCGTGAGGACCCCATCTGATTTTTAATAGATCCATGTAGCTATGAGGCCTTAGTAAGCATAGTCTTCTCCGCAGAATAATGGCCTTGATGCCTCCATTTGTCAGCCACACAGCTATGCAATTGTTAGCAACTCAGCTAAAAAGCTTGGTCCCGGGGGTGTTTGCGCTTGACAGCCAGACACCCCTATTTGGACTCAAATAGGGCCCCGTAGGCCTCCAAGGGCCCCGTGGGGGCTCCTCGGCTCCGAGACAGTGCAAAATCGCATTCCGGGACTCTTCCCCGAAGATCTCGATTTTAGGACAACATGCCCTGTGCTCCGGGGTTCACTCCCCGAAGACTCCTAAATGCCCGCTTATTGCGGAGCTTCAAATTGCCTCTGGGGCTTTTGTCTACGGGGCTACCAGTGAAGGCCTTTGACGCGATCGGTGGCCTGGTGGCCTGGGAGGCCTGGGAGGCGATGGTCTGGAGATCCTGAGTGGTCTGGTCCTAGCTGACGGCGGGTAGTGCGATAGGGTAACCTTCAAAGACCTTCTAAATCGCGGATCCATTAGCGCAATTCGTGTATACACTCTCTTAGCATGCCCAGACACCCTCGAGGGCTTGCATTAGCAATTCAATGTAGACACTGAATTGGCTGTCTGACGGCTCTAAATGTATAGAGTTTACCGCTAAATTAGAGCCTTAAGACAGCTAATTCAGTGTATGCAGGATGTAGATTCCTAGTCTGAAACCCATATTGTCATGATGGTAGCTACGTACTTCGTGCTCTGCTTAACTCAATTGCCTTTTGTTCTGAAGGGTAAATTCACGGCTCTGATCAAGCAAATGTCCCATACATTAGCTTTCTCACACCGTGAGATTCATGAATAGTCTGGCAGATGCATCCTATCCTCTGCCACGGCATCATGCAGGCCGAAAAATGTTTCGGGGGTAATGTGGGGAAACCAAGGCACTAATTGAGTTGAGACAACTATTCCCGCGGGTGAAAGTCCAGTGATGTTGGTGGGAGAGTGCTCTTATGCTAGTTGCCACACAGCGTCGATACCTGATAATTGAAGAGCTCCCCCCTCCCTCCCCTCCCCCAAACTTTGAGATGATTGTCACGGCATTGCAAAACATTGTGCTTTGTTTCTGTGGGTGTTTTAAAGGTTCTGTCTTTATTAGACTCCTAGTAATGTCCTTCAGCCATCTCACGGCTGAAAGGCCAGTAATATTTAGGTACTTTAAGCGGTGAATCTCCGTTCTCGGCATGAGAGGTTTTTTCTTTGTTAGATAGAACGAAGTTAATGCAAGACTAACGGCTTTGGTTGTCACACCATCCATTGGATAACAATGAGCTGCTTCTTGCGCAAATTCGGCCGTTATTCGGGGACGACTTCTTCGGACTGTAATAATCATGACGATAATCATAATAATAATAAATGAATAATAATAATAATAATAATGATCACTTTGTGATTATTATGGTCCGTCGTGCAAAGGCGGAAGGCGAACCCCGGTATGATAAATACTTTGGGGTAATCAACTATTTACGCAGAGCCCTCAACGGATTCCAAACATAAGCGCCCCTCTCCGCGTCGTCTTCCTTCCATAAGCAAACCTTTCACTACTTTTCAATCTACAAATGAGTGCTTCCTACACTTCTTCTCCGTTATACTTCCAGGTTGCGTAACGACGCTGTCACGCAACCATATGACCTGAAATCAACTGGAACAACCGCCTACATCCGGATGTCACCTTCGCCACGACCCTCGTGTATTGTTCAAACACACAGCCGCCAACTTCATCCTGGGAACACCAAGCTTTGACTTCATCGGTCCCTCAGATCTTTTTCTGGCCTTATCATTCTCTTTGCTGGGCTGAGTTCGATTCCTCTGCGCGCAGCTCTCGGCAGCCCACGAGGATCTTCCTTGCGTGTGGGTTTACTCGACGACCAAACACATCATGTTCGTATTACAGTCATAACAATACGGTCCTCAGGGACACTACAGTTTATAGGGCCGTAAGGAAGCCATCGTCTGAGAACGACTCAGAGAGATTTACCCGCATTGAGGAACATCTTGCCACAAACTGATACGGACAGCGGCTCGGTCTTCATACCAGTCGCTCTTGATCCTTAGGCGCCTGGGCCAGTCTCCGATATACTTGACGAAAGACCTGGTCACATGGCTCATCATCAGCAAAGCAACCATGATCGGAGTCTAGCAGCTCAAGGGATGTCCTCTAGCAATGGGCTCCATAGCTCTGCAAATCAGTCCACAAGTGGGGATGACGATCTAACATCGGATGACGATGAACCTCCGCATTTTTCAAAAATGATCACACCGACCTTCCAAAACTCAAGTTTCGAGCATAGCTGCATGGCGTCACAGCATCTTCAGCGCAGTAGGAAAGAATCACTTCTCACTCAAGCGCTTCTTACGAGTCCTGAGCTGACATCGTTGTCCGATGCTGAAGCACCTGTACTTACTAGTGATGGTGGAATGACAAGTCCCGCCCGGACCACTACCCCCAGTCCTCCACCGCCTGTCATCAATCATGGTGGCTTTGTCTCGCTCATCTCATCACATAAAATGTCTCCGGCGAAAGAACCTACGGGAGATGGAATACAAGTTGCCCAAGCGACAGGTGCTGATCGGTCACAAGAAACCAAGGTGGAAGCAGATTTGGGTCGCAGACGATGCATTAGCTTCGCATGCGGCCGCCAGACCATTACACGGAAGCAGAATGATCAGCCACCAAACACTCAGGCGAACATCGGTGTGTCGCCGAGGCCAACTGATCCGCCAAAACGGCCCTGCGTGTTGAGATTCGCATGCCCTATGAAGCCATCGCACACTGATCTTTCCAAGTCCAAAAGTGGAGGCAGCTCAGTGGACAAACCTGTGCCTCCCGAAGCGGAATTGGAAGTGCCCATTCCAGACGTCAGCCTTAGAGAGCGTCGCAATTCAGCTTCTACAGCGAAGACCAGCTCAAATAAACACAATTGCACTGCTCCTGTGAGCGCTCAACCTCGGAGATCACAAGTATTTAATCGTATAGACTTCCAGAAATCCGAGGCTACCAGATTCCATGAGTTTGCCGGTCCTTTCAATGCTGAGGATGAATGGATAAATGAGCAGACAGCCTACCGCCAGAAAATTACCATCAACGATACTCTCCGAAAGGAAAATGCTATCAGGAAATTGGCTGAGGAGGCCGAGGAGGAAGCACTCGAAGAGGAGGCTGACGAAGAGCTTGATGACTACAACAATGGCAACGAGTTCGACGACGAATTCGACGACAACGGTAGAGACTACAGCGATGAAGCTTCAGACGGAGGCAATGAGACGGACGATGAAGAGGGCTTCGCTGACTCCGACGACGAAAGCGATGGCAATTCGGATTATCAGTTCTGGACGCCAGGTCTTACAACAGCCGCCACCTCCACAGGCTACATTGAGCACATTCGTCCTGCGGCCCCTAGAGCGGCCTCGGAGTCCTCGATTGAATTCACAAACGATGCAAAACGTGGTTCTACTCGAGCTCGAAAGCAGCTAGGGACACATGAATCTCCACGAATGCGCCCTGGAACCCCTGAGCTGCCGGACGATGCAGAGTTTGTCATTGGAACTCTCGATGAGGATAGGCCTCTTGAGGATGCATACATGTCGTGCTTGGAAGAACGCCGACGTTCAAGACATAAGCTTGTTCCTCAAGATATCGATCCTAGCTTCCCCACGTCAGAGCCCGAGGCTGATAATGATGACGATGATGAAGAAAATGCTACTCAGGTACATGATGAGCCGGAATGGGTAACGGGTCGGCCAGACAGTTCTGGTGAGGACCATTCGAAGTTTGAAAAGAACGGCTCACCGCCTACCAAAGCGTCTGACTCTCCAATGCCTTCGCCTAAACGCATTCACTCACCGCCACCAAAAAAAGGCATTGTGCATCGTTCACCACCTCCACGTCGCCTGTTTGGCCAATCAACCCATCGTCTGCGGTCTCCGCCACCGATGCATCGAAAACTTGCGTCTCCTCCATCGTCCCGTAGAGCTTCCATCAGCGGATCGCCTTGTGAATCTCACGGAATCAATATGCCGCATCTGGCCCAGCGCCCAAACCTCACTCACACAACGTCGCTCCCAAGAACTCCCAATCCGTTCTGGGATCAGCACCGCAGGTCTCGATTCCACGGTTTTAACAGCCCACTTGTTGGCACTTCGCCAAAGAGCACCGGCCCTTCGCCTATGGATCTTCACAGCCGTGGACCTATCGACATAGTCCAAGGTCTCGAGACGAAAAGACAAAGACGCAAGGATAAATTCTGGCGACAACATTGCCGCCATGCCGGTAAAGAAAAGGAGAGGAGATGCCAGCCAGGCAAAGGGGCGGAAAGGATGAGGGAGCTTGGACTCGAAATGGCCGATCGGTGTAAAGGTTATGGCCAAAAGGCACAGCTCGTTCTCTCCATTTGAAGCCCGGTTGAGAGACCCTCGCCAGATCTTGGTGTCTCGGATGTCTTGCACATATCTTGTATATATTTTATGTTCCTTCTCGCTTCGATGAGGAGATTCTACATATTGCTTTCATGTCAGAGGGTCCTGCACGATTCGGCTATAGTACTTGGACGGATACATGCATGATCGGGAGTCCCTTTGGGATGTTGCATAAATAGCAGTGGTAACACCCTTGTTGTAGCCTTCGTTATGACGACGAATCTTTGAAGTAGTACTACATATTGCACAAGTTCACATCGACAAGGCAAGTTTTCCGCTGTCGAAAGCTCAACCCCTAGTACTTCTTATTCATAAACAACATTTTGTCTAGGCATGAAGCCCATAAAGGGCGTAAAAATATCAAAGTCCAACGCCTCGAATTGCATGTTCTTCTGATAGCTTGCCCGTCAATTGCGATGTGGGCTCCAAATTTTGAAGTCTTTGCGTGTCAATTTGCCCCTCATTTCATGACTCTCGACCCGATCTCTCACTTATATAGGGACCACAAGCCAATCAATGCCACCAACGCCGTTTCAGCGCCTAATACATACATGATGCATTCGTCACACCTCTCTTTATACGCTCGAGACCCTGTGAGACCCTTTCTACGATCCCATTTGTAGCGACAGAGGGCGCTCATTCCCGCGCCCACACTTGCCCTCAGAAGATGCGCGTGCCACGCCAAGCGTAAAGTCTTTCATGATGATGGGCAGGCTGAATGGACTAGCATCATATGCACTACGCGCCTGGCCAAGAAGCAGGTGATGCTGGACGAGGAATCTTTATTATCTGAAAGGGAAAAATTGTTGCAACCGCAAACCATGTGACTTTCTGCTGACCGCTTCCATCGTCGGAATATGTAAGACTCAGATGATGAAAAAGGCCCAACGGCTTGCCTCGCCTCCGCCTCCGCCTCCGCCTCGACCTCGTCCGCTTTGGCTTCGGCTTTGGCTTTGGCTTTCTGCATACGATAGTGAACTGTGCATGGTAACGACTAGCAAGGTTGTTGGAATGCTCCCTAAGCGCATACACGACTTTTGTATAATGTATCAAAAGTCAGATTTGAGGGAGGCAAGGAAGAAGCAGTTCAAGGACTGGAGGCCCGACCTATCACAACCATGCTATGAAGGTATGTATGTGATAAATGAGACAATGATGGTTTGGCACTTGGAGTTGGCACTTGGATGTTGGCAGAGGAATTTCATGCATGACCCGTCTAAAGATTACCTTAAGCACCGTTATTTGCCCGAACCCCACGCCGTTGTTTTCTTGCCTCTCTCTATCTCTCTCTCTCTCTCTTTCTCTCTCTTTTTACCCCTCCATAGACCGACCCTTTTTCTTTTGAATCTACAATAACAACAACAACAAATAATAGTAATAATAATAATAATAATAATAATAATGATGATGATGATGATGATAATAATAATAATAATAATAACAACAAGAATAATACTATCGACATTAATAACATTCGCTTTTAATCTCCCACCTTCCAAAGCAACAACTACCCTCCCCACCCACGTCCTTCCAAGCAGCATCTCTCCCAACCCGCATTTTTGTTCGTTGACTCGTTGCGGATCGGCAAGAGTGGATTATCGCGGAATCAAGATCAAAACGAGCCACACGCTTGCTTATCTGCCCCTCCACTTTTTCTGCAGCTCTTGCAAGCTGCATCATCTCTGCATACCTCCCCTCTCCCATTGAACTGTTGCAATTCGCCCGGACCTCTTCGTTTCGCACTAACAGTCTTCGTCGCCCCTCGTTTAATGGTCATATAAGATTGGTGTACCTTTCGAAAGCTTTTGTTCAACATTTCTAGCGGGCTTCCTACCGGTCACTAGGTGATACGTGCAGGTATCCATGTCAAGCTCGCTCCCAGCTTCAACATCGTATCATAGCTGTGACGTTCACACATCGCAAAAGCTCGAGTCGTTGGCGCGGCGCAAGACGAACCATCTCATCTCCTCTCATCATACCGTCTTGTACCCCTTATGTATCGCGCAGGATGGACTCGGAGGATGGACAAGTCTTTGTCAAGGTAGGATGCTGAGACTCAGTCGCCATACCTGCATTACGAAACATGACTGACTTGGCATAGAGTTTAGCACAGTTTGTTAGGACACATGAGAAAGCCCTTGCCAACGCCTTGCAATTGCGCAGGCAAACTCCCAAAAATGGACAAACAAGCGTCGCTACGGGAGAGACCCCTCCTACACACATCAGCAGCTACCAAAACTCTGCTCCTTCGTCGTCCACATCGAATACTCTGGCAGCTGCCCTTTCCCTTGGAACCCTCAATTTCACCTCTCAAAGCCTTAAGCCGGCCAAGCTCACCTTGACCTCACACCACCTTTTCTACCTCTTATCACGCATAGAAGAGATAGGAATCCCTGTGGGGCCAATGAATGTGCGATTAGAAAACATCCATGCAGAGGCGTCGCCCGCCAATTACGTCTCTTTTCTTAGCCAGTCACAAAGGTCTCAGGGCCGCAGCGATCGCGATTCGATTCACTCCGTATCTAGCGTTCGCAGTGTCATGTCAGGCATGTCGAACCTATGGTCTGGTTTTGGCCTAGGGTCTCCAACCAGTGCTGCTAAGACAGAGAAAGCTGAGGCGCAGCTGTTGATAGACCTGAAATATCTATACTCCGCTTTCACAAAGATACCATGCCTACGACTATCACCAAACCGTAAAGCACGTCTGATTGGAGGGTATGAGGAGTTTCCTTTCGATACTGCAGTACCATTGCTAGCCTTCAAGAATGTCAGCGCACTTGAGATATGTGACGTAGACTTTCGACAATTCTACGGCTGGGATAAATTGGCAGAGCAACTGCGTTCGCTCACTGTGAAGCGATCCAATGTGGATGACCCGACAGATCTCTTTGTCAACATCGTGCTAGACGACATGGACAAGCGAAGACGGCGCTCGTCTAGAGCGCAACTACCATGGCCAGCAAGCCCTTCATTACGTTTCAGTGATATAGGACGGGCAAATTCCACTCCTAGCTCGCCCGTGATTGATGACAAGCTCGGGGAGAGTCCCAAGAAGAATCTCCATCTTCACCAAGATTCCGACATTCCGGCATCTCAACGTCAGAGACCAGGGACGAAAAGCGTATCTCCAAGCCGGCCCAGCACCTCTAGACAGGTCAAAGTTAAACGTTCGGGATCTGGAAGCTCGAATTCAAGTACCCATTCCTTTGGTTCCTTCCCGATCGGTATACTCCCAGCGTCAAAATGGAGATTCCTGAGGCACTTGAGTCTTGCGGATAATTCCCTCACATCAATAACATCTTCCAGTTTTGCACCCCTTTCCAATAATTTGCTCTCATTAGATTTGTCCTCTAACTTGATCGTCGAGATTCCAGAGGCTCTATATATTTTGACTTCTTTAAGGGCTCTGAACCTTAGCAATTGCATGATTGGATCTCTACACTCGCTGAGAAGGAACCCATTGCCGGCTATCACTGCACTAAATCTTCGCGCAAACCGACTGGTATCCATTGCAGGCGTCGAACGACTCCTATCTCTGGAGCGTCTTGACCTTCGCGATAACAGACTACAAGACCCAACGGAATTAGCCAGACTCACTGGCATCCCAGATATTCATGAGATCTGGGTTTCGCGTAATCCTTTCGTCAAGAGCCATGGCAATTATCGCGTCCAGATATTCAATCTTTTCCGGAACACCCCGGGTTATTCCGAGGATATCATGATTGATGCTTCGGCTCCTGGCTATGGTGAAAGAAGGCAATTAAGAGATCGTGTGATCGAGCCAGAAGGAACCCCAATCGTCCAGACAATTCCCCTTGAGCCAACGTCAAATCTTCTAGCGCAGACCCAGCAGACCCATAAAATTAATGACGGCGCAGACGGACCGGATTCACAGCGCCCATCACCTCAAACGACACAAAGTGAGTTTGCGGTAGGGTCAGCTCGTCGAAAAAAGGGCCCAAGGCGGCGCATCGTAGACGTTGCTCGGGAGAGCTCCTCCCTCAATCAACAAAGTCAAAGGGAAATTTCGCAAGACATCGCACGTTCAACACCCGCCAGTGTTTGCACCGACGACGTGTCGCCAAGGAGCAAGCCGACCTTACTCCCCCCACTGCAGATTCGATCTGACATACCATCGCCACAGCCGCAGCCGCTCGGAACAATAGATTCAGCCGCTTTCTCACCTCCAGATGTATCCGACAAAGGACAATCTCTTGTCTCGGAAATCCAAAATTTGAATCTCAACGTCAACGGTGAAGCATATCGACAAAAGATTGAGAGCCTCAAGAGCGAAGTTGGAAGCAATTGGTTAAGTGTGCTGAGTGAAGAGGGCTGGAATCAGCACCACATGAAACCAGAAGTCCCTGCTTTTCGAGCATCGAGCCAGGGCATTCTCAGTGGCAGTCGCACTCTAGGCTAAAGAGCCGCCTACTCTTGACATTTACCCCTATTTTCAAGGAACGCCAAGGATCATTAACGTTTTTCTGAACACGGCAATGACTCCTTGTAGGAATATCACATGGTTTGTCGGTCATAGGAGCAGCTCTTTCGTCTGCATTTGGTGTTTTCAAAGCGGGCATTTTCCGCTGACGGCTAGCATAAGCGTTCTGTGCATAGATACCTTCTTTTCTCATGTGTTTCAAAATGGTCATGGAGCGATGGTAGGCCTGATCAATGGTAGATTTGTAGCATAGAAGCGAAGGCGTTAGGCGTTGCAAGAAGAAAGCATCCTCGGCATTGTTCGATCCATGGTAGATGTAAACATGACTTTGTGGCAACCAAGTTTCCAGAAAAAGCGGCAATTTTGAGTACTGGCATCTTCCAGGTTTAGTGCACTCAGAGCCAAAATATTTGGCAATTGATGTGCAGAAACAGTTCGGACAGAGTGCTCCATGGATCATACAATTCGGAGCTCGTGCTCAGATTGTCCACACACAAGAGGTTCTAGAGGTCCAGCTGTCTCACTACACACATGCAGGAGAGCTTGAGTCGGATTTACAATTCTCTTCAGGCAAGGATTGTGCTCTAATAAACTTCGAATTTTTCGACAAGTATGTACGAGGTTTAGAGTAGAGAGGCGAAAGGGCTTTACTAGCCGCTACATTCCTGCGCTAAGAGCCGACAACCCAATAATCCAAAGAACCCAACATCACTTCCTTCTCTAAAACGATCTTCTTACAGCCCACAAAATATCCCAATAAATCACATATCTGTGTATTTAAATTCGGTCAATACGTCTTCTCTACACTTAGCGACGACCACCTTTCTCATGTGCTGAAGACGCCGTGTCACAATATCCAACAACAAGCCGAAAAACTTCAGCGACAGGACCTGCGAACAACTTCAACGTGATACCAACCTCACCAACTGTCCAGCTCACCATACACTTGCTCCCGCCCTTGTGACCAGGCTTGTGGTAATCATTGGAGACCGGGGAAGATCGGACCTCTAAGACTTCTCTGTGGGGACCGGGTGTTGACGCTTTCGCTTTTGACGCGCAGTATCCCAAGGGGAGGAATCACCGCCTACACAAGAGTAGATTAAAGGTAAGTGGAAGTATATGAAGCGCTATCTGAGGCCCGCGTGGTGCATACCCTGCGAACGCGTTAATGCGAGTTTATGTTGGCAGGCTTCTATCAGGCTGGCTGACGCTGTAACAGGAAAGTAAGCTCTTCGAAATCCGGAATCAGAATTGTGAGAGGACGACTTTGAGTGGCTTTCAACACCGCCCTGAGCTCAGAAAAGCAGAAGTCGCCCCGCAAACTGGGACCACAGCATGGCGGATCAAAATGATGTGGACCTGGATTCCATCATCGATAGGCTGCTCGAAGTGAGAGGAAGTCGACCCGGGAAGCAGGTCCAGCTTCTTGAAGCAGAGATACGTCACCTGTGCCAGAAGGCCCGCGAGATCTTCATCTCCCAGCCCATACTGTTGGAACTGGAAGCCCCGATCAAGGTATGTAGACTTTTTCAACGGTGCGGCTTGCAAAAGTATTTTTGGCATTCGAGATCATTACTGACACTCTGCTTTGCCTGTTGCAGATCTGTGGTGATATCCATGGCCAGTATTACGACCTTCTCCGCCTCTTTGAATATGGGGGATTCCCACCCGAAGCAAATTACCTCTTCCTTGGGGACTACGTCGACCGAGGCAAACAATCTCTTGAAACCATTTGCTTGCTTCTCGCGTACAAGATCAAGTATCCAGAGAACTTCTTCATCCTGCGTGGGAACCACGAGTGTGCATCGATCAACCGCATATATGGATTCTACGATGAATGCAAGAGGAGGTATAACATCAAGCTGTGGAAGACGTTCACCGATTGCTTCAACTGCTTGCCGATTGCAGCAATTATCGATGAGAAAATATTCACGATGCATGGGGGACTGAGCCCTGATCTGAATTCCATGGAACAGATCCGTCGTGTGATGCGACCTACAGATGTGAGCGATGTTCCGGTTTTCTCAAGAGGCTCGTGGCCTTCAAAGAGCCCGGGTTGTGCTCGGGTAGTGATCCGCTGACTTCCGTAGATCCCCGACTGCGGCCTGTTGTGCGACTTGCTGTGGTCAGATCCTGACAAAGATATCACTGGGTGGAGCGAAAACGACCGCGGGGTCTCATTCACCTTCGGGCCTGATGTCGTTTCTCGATTTCTACAGAAGCATGACATGGACCTTATCTGCCGCGCGCATCAGGTCGTTGAGGACGGATACGAATTTTTTTCGAAAAGGCAGCTAGTCACGCTATTCAGCGCGCCCAATTACTGTGGAGAATTCGATAATGCAGGCGCTATGATGAGCGTGGACGAGAGCTTGTTGTGTTCGTTCCAGGTAAGCCACTCCACCTAATGTGCTTGCAAAGTCGCAGGTCCATTACTTTCCCCACAGCCGGCTGTCATAAATCTTTGGAAATGCAGTAATTAACGCCACATTTTATCTGCAGATCTTAAAGCCAGCGGAGAAGAAAACAAAGTACGTCTACGGTGGCATGAGCACTGGCCGGCCTGTAACTCCTCCAAGGAAGCAAAAGAAGAAGTAATGTACCAACACAAGCTCTCCGTGTGCAGCAGGTTCGGGCGAAGATAGATCCCAATCACCATTTACGTTACCATCACGATCGAAATCACAAAGCGCTAGCCATACACCCACATAACTTCCGCGATCGATATTGCTACCCCCTTTTCGTCGCTCTGATCTCTCGTCTTCCTCCTCTATCACCCTACGGTTGGCGACGACGGCGGTGGATTAAAGGTCAAGAGCATGAGGGGTTGGGGGTTGGCTGTCTCTACGTCGGTGTTTTGCTATGCTAGGATGATGGTGGACTTGGTGGACCCTGTCAGCGGTCTTAAGATATTCAGTGAGTTCATGTCGCTTGGCGGCAGATTCAGATAAATTCTCGTGCTCGATCATAGACCCGTTGAATGCGTGTGTCATGGCATTCGACTTCTGCCTCGCCGGTCTCCCCACTTCATATCATCCTTCCATATCTACGGTATACCGCCATCGTCCTCAGCAAACCCTCCCAACTTCAGACCCATCATAGGCATAAAATTCAACCTTTGCTGATCATGTTCGCCTTGTGTGCGATTAGGCAAGGGTAGTCTCAGGGTTGTGGTGGATCGTAGGTCACCTCTTCAATGCTAACAGTCTAGACAAGGGGGTCACGGAAGATGTCGTAGAGCTGTAGCAGTAGTATTTGATCCTCAGGTGTAACCGACTGTCAGGAGGAGAGCGCTAATTTGCATGCACGCGTGGATTAGAAACGCGTGAGCGCGTCCCCCCCGAACTTGGCCTCTCCCATACACGAATGCATGATGCCCACACCGCCGTCATCACACGAGCCCCCGTCTCTGCCAACATCCCCCTTGCCTAAACGTCCCAAAACAGACATGTCTTCCTCTTCCGCCCCGAAAGCGCCAAAGAACAATACCGCCCCCCCACCACCTCTCTCAGCCTCCCCCCCACTGCTCGTGAAGAAGCTCTCACCGCATGCAAAAACGCCTACGAGAGGGAGTGCTTTCGCTGCCGGGTATGATATATACAGTGCCAAAGAGTGCAGGATTCCGAAGAGGGGCAAGGGATTGGTCGATACGGATATCAGCATTGCGGTTGGCGAGGGGTGCTGTGAGTTGGCCATTGCGGGTCGAGATGGCAGGTGCACTTGCTGACTATGATGACTGCAGATGGCAGGATAGCACCACGCTCGGGCCTGGCAGTCAAGCATTTCATAGATACAGGGGCAGGTGTCATCGATTCGGATTACAGAGGACAGGTCAAAGTGCTCTTGTTCAATCATTCTGAGGTGGACTTTGAGATCAAGGAAGGGGATCGAATAGCCCAGCTCGTGATTGAGCGAATCTACACGCCAGAGGTTGTGGTTGTAGACGAGCTGGAGGAGAGTGTCAGGGGTGCGGGGGGCTTCGGCAGTACTGGATAGGCATGATAGCCGTCAATGGATTTCAGCTTTACCGTCGGATTGCGCAACACGGTGGTACATGTCTTCAATCGTTCCGTTTTTAAGAAATTGATATCTCTCATGTCTTCTCGGGTTCTTCAATCTCGTCACTTCCTTCACTTCTATTTTCAGCCAGATGTTTCGGCTCTGCTTTCTCCTCATTCGTCTCTGGCACCGCACTAGTGTCTTGCTCCAGTCTCAGAACCCTCAGGTCTTCGCTCTCTGCCGCACCCGTTCCCTCCGTCGTTTGAGCTCTTCGCCCCTCAGCATCTTCGTCTCCAGCCAGACCCTCCGCCTTCCAGGCTGTACGAGGCGATCTCAAGTCTTCCAAACATCTCACAACTCTCACCTCAGCTGCCTTTGTGCGCCGTAAGCCCAATCTCTTTTCGCTGTCCTTTTCCTTCTCCATAACCCCTAGTGACCCACCCATTCCTTCCAATTCTTGGTCCCTGGCCTCCTTTGTCTTCACCAAGATAGCATGCATACTCCCCAAAACCTTCTCTGCTGCCTTTGCCAGCGGCAGATCTGTTGCTTTGACGTCGTTGGAGGAAACCCAGCTTTTGGTACCGCTCAGATTAGCTTCCGTTACAGCTTCACGAAGTCGAACTACAGTCAGCGCCGCGAACATGTCACCTGTTCCGCTGAAGAAGCAGTCTATAGCTGGGATATCAATTTTGAAGATACGAGGAGAAAAGTCGGCTCGGGCGGTAGAGCCGACAACAGACATTCTTGAGGGCGAATCTGAGAGTCGAATGGAAGTAATGATTATATGTGGAATACGGTGAGTCTTGTGGAGTCTTGCAAGAGCCTCTTGGAGGGTCGATAGGGATGTGATTTTGGTCTCAGAGAGGAGCCTATTGGGTTACGTTTCAGATCTGCATTCGACCTGTCCGTTGAAGAATGTCTTACTCCGCTTCAAATTGATTGGGGAGGATCAGGTCGGCGTCCCGCAGCAGGTTTCTGTACACGGGTACAACGTCCTCACTAACGTAGAGTCGCCCTTGATCGCCCATGACAGGATCGAGGACTGCCAATGTTAAGTGATTCAGGTCCACCAACATTTCATGGGGTTATCACATACCCCAGAAGAAGGACCCCACCTTTGTTGAAGCTCGAAGCTTCATGTCCCTGGCGATGGCGCCGATTGCATCAACGGCTTCAGCGCTGGGGGCATAGCCCGTAAGCATGACATCGAAGTCGGTAAGGTAGCTTTCCTTGAGCCCAGCGTAGAGGTGGGATATTTCTTCTGCAGATGTCTTGGTGCCTTTGAACTGCTTGTAACCGGTGTGATTGCCTGGAATGTGTTCAGCAACAAAGAAACAGCCAGTGATGACCCGAAAGAGGGGCTTCGAGGATCAATTGCTTGAGTCTGCATACTAAACTGCACGGTATTGATGGCAGCGACGTCGCAGCCCATAGTCTGCATGACGAATGCGGCCATTTTGTTGCCGACATATCTGTATTCTTTCAGGCTTTGTTTCGGGCCAGCAGACTGAGGGTGCAATTGGGAGGGGGGGGGGGGGCACTTACCCGTAGACAACCTTGATGAGATATGTCAGCCATATGCGCCGCTGATATGATAGGGCAGTGGCGTCCCTACATGACTGGCAATGGCCAATACCCGCGTTTCTGGTACTACAGGCTCTGAAGACATAGTAGAGGAAGAACAAGGTGCGAAAGGGGAAGAGCAGAGAGGAGGTTGAAGTAAAAGCGAAAGGAAAAGCGGGACCGTTTTGATCGCTTATCAATCTTATCATATCATATCAGGAGGTACGGATCGTATGTCCTTACCCTGCGATTACCTCTTTCTGCATTCTCCTCGTCTCTGACCACAGGATGGGACTTCAATACTGGGCTTCTCGAAACAAATATCGCATTATATCTGCATTATTGTGTCTTCATCGTATCATGCATGCTTGCTTCATCGAGCCATTTATATACGGGGTATCGACCGTTCCAACAGTCGCTCCTGCAAATGCAATCATCCATTTTTTTGAAACAGCTGTTGTGAGCAAAGCGCAAAGCACCCACTGTGCTTATGAGAACGTATCAAATACCACTCTTGTATCTTCATACGATACTAAGTCGTCCTGTCGTACGTCTCCTTGGTCGTAGTTTGATGACCGTTTCCAACTCTTTGAGCATATGCGTATTAGCGTTTAATTTTTCCTTCACAATCGTCTGCCTCACGCGGTCCTCCTTCGTCTTGGCAATCCTCTCTTCTCTTGTCAAAGTACTCCTCTGCCTTGGTAAGGCAACGGCTTCGAAGATTTCTTCACTCGAGCTGCTCGTCATAGTGCTGGACCGTGATCGAGGAGGCTTCGAGAATCCGTTGAGTGCCTGTAGAGCATCCTGGGGGCTTCCTCCGACAGCAGTGGCCCCGGAAAGGCTGGATGTGGGGGAGGCTGGGAATGCATTGCTAGTGGACGATAAGGATCTCTTATGATCCTTTTTCTCGAGATTCGTGGCTAAAGCCGCTTTTCCTTCCTCCCATTCCTGGATAAGACCTTTCAGATCAGCTCCAATGGAATCATATTGTGCCAGCAGATTTGTGCTAGATTCCGGGACTTCATCTGAACGCTCCAGTGCTTCGTCAGACTCGTCCCGGAGGAGGCGCATCTTCGCCTGGAGGCCACGGATCCCCTGAGACAGGTTGCCTAATTGTCGCATTTGGCTTCGCATGCGCTCTCTACCGGGCGTCAACGGTATCTTCGGAGTGGGGGGAGTGGGGAAGTCTATTGAGTGCCCGATCAATCTTTGGTATTATCAAACTGAAGTCTCCAGGCTTACCTTCCTCTTCTCCCATCACCTCATCGATATTTGATATCATTCTAACGGTAAGTGAAGTAACATTGCTCATCATCTCCACTGCAATTGACCACCTCCGAAAGTCCGACTTGCTACCGTCGGCGTCCAAAGCTAAAAGAGTACATAGTACGAGCTTCCTTAAAATATGAAGCTTCTGCAAGCCCACCTTGAGATCCTGAAGAGTGTCTGCATCTTCAATCTCGGCAAGCTTTACATTGGCAACTAGCTCTGCATCCTCCAAATCCGTCCGGCTGATTTCGTAAATGTCGTAATATTTGTCCAAGTCGAGTGTAGCGGCAAATGACTTCAGACTCTGGTACACATGGTAGTAAGGAGAAAACATTGAGATTAGAATTCTGTGTATAGTTCGCCGCAAGCGTGCGCATCGCTTAATCTGGCTCCTTTCCTCGAGTCGAGTGATAGGGGGTAGTGGATTGCATCTATGTCAACATCATTAGCCGGTGTTCACTGGAGGTTGCCTAGAACGCACATATTGTAACCACGAGAGACGAGCTCTACTTCTTGTATAAGCGTGATCCCTGCAGAAACTGCAGCATCGAAATCTTGTGCATTAGTTGTCAGGGAAGAGGCGCTCTCAATCGCTTGGATACGCAAATAGTGCAAGCATTGCCGTCGAAAGTAGTAGTACAAGGTCAGAGTGATAGCGACGGCAACTGACGCAAGCAGGCATATTTGTGATGGGTCATATGGCACAATCGCTCTACTCCGTAACCAACGTACAGACCATGCAAGAGCGAAGGCGGTTGCGCCGGTCAGGGAAAGACCTAGCCTGCTAGGTACGAAACTTCCATCTTTTCTCCATTTCGGCGAACCGTCTTCAGAAGGCGCTGGGAATGTTTGGCGTCTGTATGTCTTGGGGTTTGAGTGTTCACTGAGCAGCTGAGATGCAACTATGACGTATCGGAACTGTTCCAGAAAGAGTGCATTCTCGGTCCAACCAAGGCGACTATGGACAGCGGTCTATATATGAACATTGTAAGCACAATAATCGGTGTAGTGATAGGTTTATATGTCTTACCGAGCAGGTGTTGTGGATACGGGCCACAGCGCCCTTCGCTAGAGGAGACTCCAGAGTGAGTATGCGTGAGGGCTTTTTCCGCGACTTCTGATGCCGGGTTGGTCGACCCAGTGGAGCAAAAGATATCGTCTCCGCTTGTGGTTTTGGCTCGTTGGTAGTCGTTGTTGAAGCCCATTCTTGATTGTTCTCTCCTTCGCCTTCCTTCACATTAGCTATTGAGCGCGGTGAACAATTAGAGTGCTTTACCCTCAAGATAGTGTGCAGTGGGTGAATCTTCAAAGATCACGGTTTCCATAGCAGGCGATTATTGACAAGATCCAACATGCTTCACGTTGTGGGCGGCGGCTGTATGTGGAACAGCGGCATGCTGAGACGAGGCGATGCCTAGGGTTTCAGATGCGACTTTGCAAAGCGGCGACCTCTCCATTTGGAAACAAAGACGCTTTCCTGACCTCGAAGCAAAAGAGGAACAATGGGATGACTTGTTTCGTTCGCATTCGAGATGGGGAGATTGGTTTGACGCGTCTGCCGGACGCTAGGCGCTCTCGGTCTCACTACTTACCCACGCCCCAGAGTACCTAGGTAAGATCTTATGTACCTCTGACATAGCATGCGAGGACTGGTGAGGTTGCCTGTAGTAGCATAGCGAATACATCAATTGGGATAAGAAGGCAAAATTGGCATGCTGAGAGATAATGCAAAGGTCCTCACTCCGCAGGTAGAGTAAAGTAGCAATTCCGAGATTCCGATTCCCAACCTCGGCCTCCCCATAATCTTATGGGGCTATCCGCCTCCAAGTGAGTGAGGGGACACCACGAGATGTTCTCATCACCAATATACACAACAGCATGGCCGGTGCCGTTCGGCAGCCAATAAATGTTGCTTCACTATCCACTTACATAGAGAAGAATATAGCCGACATTAAATTGCCTATCAGCCTCAAGCAGGTACTTCCTCATGCTCTTCCTGGAGGAGGAACTTTGACTGACATGCGCCTTAGTTTGGCTTTGGTCAATCAAATCCTACCTACCAGCTCAGGGCAGGCGATGGAAGGAAATATGTATTACGAAAGAAGCCACCGGGCAAGCTGCTTTCCAAGACAGCACACCAGGTCGAACGCGAGTTCCGCATCATCCACGCTTTAGAGAGCACAGATGTCCCGGTCCCTAAAGCCTACTGGCTGTGCGAAGATACTACGGTGATCGATACTGCTTTCTATGTCATGGAATATCTGGATGGACGCATATTCGAGGATGCATCATTTCCAGGCATCAATGCCGAAGAGAGAAACCAGATGTGAGCCAACCACCCCGTATTCTGTTTCTGCAATACTCACCAAGTACAGGTGGCAGGATGCTGTCGTGACGCTTGCGAAGCTTCACCGCGTTTCTCCTTCCTCCGTCGGCCTCTCGAGCTTTGGCAAGCACTCAGGCTTCTACGACCGCCAAATCAAGACCTTCAGCACCATCTCTGCGGCGCAAGCCCAAGCGATCGATGTCGAGACCAAGACTCGAGTAGGCAAGACTCCGCACTATGAAGATGTAGTGGAGTTCCTTCGAGATTCAAAAAGCCAGCCGCAAGATCGCGGCACATTGATCCACGGCGACTACAAGATCGACAACCTTGTCTATCACCAGACGGAACCCCGGGTAATAGGCATTCTCGAGTAAGTGACTTCCTCAAGGCTTATGACGCCACGATTTCGTAATATGGCTGGGCTCTGGTCAACTGATCCCGCCATTTAGCTGGGAAATGTCTACAATTGGCCATCCATTGTCTGACCTTTCGAACCTCCTCAGCCCGTACAGCTTCGCCGACAATCCTCCTAATGATGCGCTGTCTGTCCGCACGAACCTCGCTTTCCGTCCGTCTTCCAGTATTCCTGGGCTCCCTTCGCGCTCTCAGTGCGTGCAATGGTACACTGAGGTCGCAGGCTGGGATCCGAGCTCGGAGGTGGACTGGGGAGATGCATTCGCAGCGTTCCGCAATGGTGTAATCATGCAAGGCATCGCAGCTAGATATGCGCAGCGACAGGCCAGTAGTGAAAAGGCAAAAGAAATTGGAGATTTGATGGGACCATATGGAGAATTTTCATGGTGCCTGATTGAGCGATGGAAAAAGAAAGCTGCCAAAGTTAAGGCAAAATTTTAAGGGGAGGTTTGACGCGAGGCTTCAAGCCTATTGCAGTCAACATTGGCGAGCCACAGCTTCCACGCAGGGAAGCTGCATCTGAGCCACTCGTTTCGCCACGCTAGATCTGCAGATGAGAGTAAGTGCTAGAGGCTCTTATAGAAAGCAATGAGTGGGCATGGATGATTTAGAATTTATATCGCAGACTAGCAGGCAGGCACGCTGTCGGAAAAGATTAGTAGTCTTGAGCCAGAACCATGGGTTATGAAATCCAAGCAGTTGATTGTTGATGCACAAGATCACTGGTGCCGCGATACCTCACGAGTGCCACGTTCTCCGGGCAGGGCGCCTGTCAGTGGTCACTAGGGCTGCTCTCAGTGTGAGTGCCGGCAAAAGCCAAGGGGAATGGGAGTTTGCGAGATTCCAAATCGTATCAGATCGCTCTATCTTTTGCACCTGTTGACTAATAGTGGGCGGAAATCGCCCAGCTTGAATGATGGTAAAAGAATGCGGCGCGCGCGTTGACCGTAAGCAGGCAAGCTTGAATGCAAGTATGGCACCTTTGGGGTTTTCAGCCGCAGGTTGCCAGTCAGGTATGGGAAGGTGTATAGCTGAAGGGTGAAAATAATACTGAATAGTACTGAGGGTGAGCCGGGGAAGGAGGACGCAGGAAGGGGCGGGGGGGGGGGGGGAAAGAGCCTAGGTACAGACTACGGAGTAGCAACTAATAATCCAAACGGACGGTGGGGGGCCTGGTGTGCCCAAAAGGCCCCAGGAAGCAGGGCTATCTCTGGCTCCGGAGGCAATCTTTGCGAGCTAAGCATCCAGAAGTGGTGCCAAAGCATAGAGTAGTATCTTCTTGGACAGAGGATTCGTGCCATTGTCAAGCCAAAAGCCTGCATGATTTCTAAAGCCAACTTCACAACTCCACTTTCACTCATCCTCCTTTCTCAATTTTACAGGCCACAGTCCCCAGTCCCCAGTCTCCAGACCCCAGTCCGCACTGCATGCCCAAGTCTTACTACATACCACCAACTGGCCTATGCCGTAAAACTCGGGATTTTAGTGAGCCGTCAGCATTCCTCTTCATGTGCACAGCCCTCTTGTTGCACCATAATCACTACTTGCGACCGTTGCGGCTGGCCCAAGTCTGGCATTCTCCCCTTCTGAATTCCTCTATGCTCTGAATTCTCCATCCCCTCCACCTGTTCCTCGCCTTCTTCCCGCTGGGAAAGGAAGAGAGAAAGAATAGCCTTTTCAGCCCCAGAGGCTCTCCGTCTTAGTGTCCATCTTACCGGTCAGTCCCGTCCGTCTACAGCCTCAAAGTACGTCTTCCAAGATCACCTGTCTCCTTCTCAATGTAAAGAAATCCTCTATGATTTCAGAGGAAAAATGCTTCCACTTTGGACCCTTGGTCACTGCCTATCAGATGCCATCTGTTCTGGCATAAGACCAGTATCTAACGACAATGTATCCAGGCTACTCGGCTTGCTTGCTGGTTTCCAGACTGTACAGACTCCCCTATGGCAGTCTTGCACAACCAGCCTTGTTCCCATCGTTTCCTCTAGAAGTGGGGGGGACGCCCTGACGGCTTCAAACTGGCGGCGGAAACGTACGACTCGGATGACGGCCTGATTCAACGATCTCCTCCGCTGGTTCCTCGAATAGTCAATCTAAAACCGTCGCCATCGCCTGACTATCTGTCGCCTCCCGAAAGTTCTCCAACTCCTGAGCGTCTGAGTAGGTCATCAAATTTGAATTCTAAGGGCAAGAAGCGTCATCCGAAAGCCCAAGCCTCGCAAGGAGACGCCGTACTTATTGGTTTTATGGGAGGGCTGAATCATCCAGATCTAGCGACGAAAGCAGGCGAGGTGCCCTTGCCTCAATCCGACGACAGCGACGTCGACGACCCAATGGACGTGGATGGAAGGGAACAAACAGACGAAAACAACCCAGCTTACGACAAGAACATTGATCTTGTCCACCTCGCAGAGAACGCTCTACCCTTGGTCGAACGAAACAATGGACATGATACTTCAAAGAACGAGCATTCACGTCCAGCCCGCCCCAAAATTCTAACACAAACAAGTCTGCCGGAGCCAAAGGATGTGGTCCACGTAAAGACAGAGTACCGCCAGTCTTCGCCATCACCTGGGGCTAATCCCCCCAAACGGACTAAATATGGATCCAACGCGAGTCATTCGCCGTCGAGAAGCGCTCACAGGAAAGGGGATCCTGATTCTGCTGCAATCTCGCCAATGCTACGGAGGTTTACCATCCCAAACTCGGAACGGTCTCCTACGGAGACTCTGCCTGCAATGCAGCAATCTCCGCCATCAAGCTCCTCCAAATCACCCAATGGTCAGCATAGCTTGCCGTCTTTGAGGGCCATTCAACTCGAGCCATTGCTGGATGGACGGTCCCCTAAGGAGAATATGCCTCATGGTATAAATCGTCCACCGTTCCCTCTCAGCAACACCCCCGTGACTTCGCCTCCAATGAGCTCTATTGCGCCAAGACCAGCTCAGTACCCCAGTCCACAGACTCTAATGAACGGTCATTTCCATCAGCCTTATCCACACGGCCAACCATCTCCAGCATACAGCGATGCGTCGCCGAGGGACTCCGCTAATATGTCCCCACCCGGGAAGCCTATTCATTCCCAGTATTTTCCTGGCGGAAGAACCCCACAAAGCGAAGAGCTGACGCCTCAGTCGGCAGAGAGTCACCTGAGCACAAGCAGCTTCAGCACCGTCTCTTCACCCCATCCTCACCCCTTGGATATGGATCGAAGCCGGCCCGTTCTCCCACCATTGTCAGGTATGGCCGGGGGATCGCTGATCATTGGGAATTTCAAGTGCGAGCATGCCGGGTGTACGGCTCCAGCTTTCCAGACACAGTATCTCCTGAAGTGAGTTAAGCCATCGATCCTTTCGCGCGCATCACTGACTCGACGTTTCAAGTTCTCATGCAAACGTACATTCTCAGAATCGACCCCACTACTGCCCAGTTGAGGGTTGTGCCAGGTCTGAAGGCGGCAAAGGGTTCAAGCGGAAGAACGAGATGATACGGCATGGATTGGTGCATGAATCACCAGGATACATATGTCCGTTCTGTCCAGAAAGAGAGCACAAATACCCAAGACCAGACAATTTGCAGAGGTATCCTCCCACAGTCTATTGACATCATGACTAAAAATGAGGCTGATTTGTCCCTTGTAGACACGTTCGCGTGAACCACATCGACAAAGACACAAATGACCCTCAGCTACGCGAAGTGCTTGCGCAGAGGTGTGAGGGCGGCAGCCGGGGCAGACGAAGGCGCCTTGGGAGCTGACAGGATTTTCTACCATGTGTATTCCCAGCGAGGCGATCAGGAGCACGGAGTATACACGGACGATACCCAGGCAGACGAGCGAGAGTACATACGTGCATGTAACGATGATTTGGCACATTTGAAAGGACGTCAATTCAGACTCCGGCGTATAGTACTGCACAGCAATGCGGCATGATGACAGCTGCCAGTAAACTCCCGGAGCCCTACACTGCCGAATTGTCCCTACACCACCTGTATCGTGTGCATGACCGTCTATATGGTTGATGAATTTTTCGATGCCTTGTAGCATGTTATCTCCATGCCTGACTTGCTTCCTTCTCTCTCAACGAATATTGAAGGCAGCGGCTTCACTGACGACAATGGTTAGCTAGGCATGTATGTCCGACCAGAGGAAATCTGAGGACACACTATTTTCTAATCTGCAATGGCATCTTCTCGATTCAGCAATGTCTCTGCGGCTTCGTTTCACTGGTGTGCACCCCTATTCTGAATATGATGGCTTTGAGTTCTCTCCTCTCGTTCGTGGGGGCGACAAGGACGAGCAGCTGAAGGGCTTGACACCCTCGCTGGGAATGAGACAAGTCGAAAGCCGGCTCAAGAATGTAGCATTGCGATATCGAAGGAGTCGGCTCGAGGAAAGCATTAATGGGGCGACGACCGTACGGAGGTTTCCACCGAGCGAGACCCTATTCCGGAATTGGGTCGACGGAGCTTTACCAACTCTGTGCGGTTCACAACAGGGCAGGTCGCCGGAGAACTTGAGATCTGAAGAGAAGCCACCTGGATGGAGTCAATAACCGTTCAGCCCAATACACATGGTTTTGAGGTGCCATGCTCAGGATTGAGCGGTCGTGTTGCCTTGAAGAGGTTGAAGACGTTCGCTCCAGATGAAGTGGAAGCACCTGCTTGAGAAAGGGCATTAGATAGGTAAATGCGTCGATGGAATAGACATCTATGAAACGCAGAAAGACGCAGAGGGGCATTTATCGCGGTCATACGGCGGGAGACACTGGACGCCTTTAAATGGACCCTCTTATCTAGTCCAATTTCCACTGCAGGATTTCTTCTCGAAGCGAGTCAATAGAGAGAGGTGTACCTCAGCAGCCTACTTGTTGGAGAGTCTCTACATCCGTTGCTCAGAAATAGACATTCAGCATTCTGGGAAATCGTATGAAAACTGCTACTCCCTTTTCCTCTTCACTTTCTAAAGATACGTGATGGCCCCAGACTGAAATTCTAGAACAGTCTCTTGGAGGTCCTAGCGTGGCCGATGGTTTCTATCACTGTTGATGATAGAGCAAGGGGAAAACGTCGTCTCCAATGAGAAATTCCTCCATATCACGAAGGGTAAGGCAAAAAATGTCTTTGGCAGGATATTAGCTGTGGATAGCACCTGTCCCCTCTCGTTGTTCTCATCTGTGACGTGATGCTATGGTGGGTATAGGTCGCAAAGCACAGGGTCAAGGACGAGGTTCGCGTATGTTGGGGTTTTATAAAGCTCTAGATACAGCAAATAGACAGATTATCCGGATCCTTCAATCTTCGCCCCGTTGAACAGCCTGATACAGTAGCAAATGGTACGAAGGGACCGTCAGGAAGGCCTTCGATGAATCCTTCGTACATGATCTTTCATGTTGTCGACTCGGCTGAAGATCCTTTCGCATTCGTTGTGCGTGCACGGAACACCTGGCTTGTGCTTGATGCAGCTGGTCAGCGAGATAGATCATGCAACACGAATGAACGGGGAGTACCTTTGATTCGTGCCGGTCTCTATCTTTGCGTGACGAGAATCCACCCTCCCTTGATTGAGGACAGTCCTCGTGGCGGCAGAAAAGAGATTTGGTGTGACGCCGATAATGCTTACGCAAATCACAACCCCTGGTAAAGGCGGCTTGAGAGGTGCAATTCGGATAGGCACAACGCCAGCTCCTCCCATCTGGGAGAGGGAAGCCAAAGTTGTGCAAATCTGCTGGATTCGGAGACGCCGAGCGAGAGTCAGACGATACCTCGACTTCTTCTGGGTGCAGGGTCGGCCATGGAATATTTGGCCAATGCTGTTCGCTTGAATAGGGCGAGGACGGTACAACATGCGGAGCCGATGGGGCATACTGGCCTCTGGCAAAGGCGTTGGGGTTGAGGGATGGCCCAGACACATACTGAGCGGGTGTTGAAAAGACGTGTGGAGAAGTCTGTAATTGTGCTGAAGTCATGGCTGGATGTAGAGCAGTCGTCCACTGCTGTTGGTATGGCGAACCGCTGGCGCGCTCCGCCAGGCGAGAATCATGGGCTGTAGCCCTATAGAAATTATGACGAGCTTCTGCCTCCTGAGCCGACAGGACCGCCTCAGCTTCCCTTGAGAGAAAACCTGACATCGGTCACGAGCGTCAGTTCTGGGATTTCAAATATATGCTAGCACCAAAGAAACAAGGACCGGTCATTAAAGACAGAAGAGGTAGAACGCTGGTGATAGCGGTCGTCGTGGTGATAATAATGGCGGTAAGAGTACGGATATTGTTCACAAATATAGAGGCAAAATCCTCGAGGGGTGGAGATATATACGAGATACGGAAGTGAGCCAGTACTATTTTGTGCCTTTCAGCCAATATGGAATGGGTGGTATTCTAGCATGAAAGCACTCGACACAGAAGATGTAGGCGAAATTGCTGCGACGGGAGAGGCGGAAAGCGCAGCGGTCATACAGACGGGATTACTCACGGCTACGATCCGAGGGCCACCCCTTTGCTTTGCTCTGATATAATCTCTGTGCCTGGGGAAATTTTTCAAGGCTCAAGGCTTGGACGAACTCCTCGACTGGTCAGCAAAGCGGACTCCTAATGGATTTCCAGCTCTGACGGACAGGACTTACTCACTCACTAAGCGCTTTACGTGTCAGTATGCAATGACTTAGAATGACCGCGAGTATACCTGGAGTTGTCAAGCGATGGTCCATACTCCATTTACGTGCGAAATTTGAAGCGGACGTGGCCAGAAGAATATCTTTTCTGTAATGAGAAGGTGCAACGGGCTTGATACTAGATGCCAAAGCTAGCATAACTGTAGAGAAGGGTGCGTGGACACTGATTGGCCAATGTTGCACGCTCCTGAAAGAAATACCGGGACCATGGTATAGGATTAGGGTTTCCTCCTTTGTCTTTGGTACCTTGCAGGGCAAAGTAGCCCCAGGAAGCTGAGTTGTTGCTCCAGTATCAGATCTATATTATCAACTTTGTACTAGATCAACGGCGTAGGCATTACCCGTAACTTGACCAGGGACCAGCTGACCGAACCGGGTTGGGACACTGGCTGAGAAGAAGCCGTGACCGATCTCCAAACATTGGAGGAGAAAAAGTGATTGATAGGGTAAGTAAGCCATATGAAATGGCTTGAGGCCGTTGAAGGTGGTCGAAGTGTAAGCATGAGATAAGCTTGAGGTTTGTACTTCTGAAACATGGAGCGTTCTTAAATTTCATGACCACGTTGCAGGTGGAAAGCCTGGGGCATACAAAACGAGCGTCTGCATGTCTGATTCGACGAAGCAGCCAAGACTAGTGGTGAGCAGGTTGAGGACGAAGGACGGGACGACCCTGCCAGGCACATGGATTTGTTTCAACTCTACTTCTCACAACCCATCCCAGACCATCCCAGCCCAGCCTCCGTTCAATCCTTAAGTACCGTATGGAAATTGATCTCGGCTGGTACGCTCCGAGGGTAATGCCCTTGCCTAGTACCGTATTACTTTGCCATAGCGGCGTAGGGCAGAGAGAAAAGGGCAATCATAAAGTATGGGTGCATAAGGTAGTGCATATGTAGTTGGCCTAAGGCTTTAGGCAAAGAATGGAGGCCATGGACATCATCTGATTTGGCCACTGTCGCCGTTGTGGAGGGGGTGATCAGGCGTCCAAGGGTACTCTACAGCGGGAAGGAGAGTAGACGATGCCTCCTTTCCAACCCATCCATTTCCCCCCAAACTAATGCCTCAGGCACTACTTCACTCATTGAAGATTATGTAGTGATTCGTCCCATCGTATCATCGTATCATCGTGCCATCGCGTCATCGTATCGTCGTATGAAGCAGGCATCCTTACTGGCTTTTTGTCATCAATGTGGCTGATGGATTCTCTCAGCTGACGAACCAGTATGAGGTAGTATGATTAGTGTTCTGATGTGGGTAACCTGAAGAAGCTCAGCTCAGCTCAGCTCCGCGGAAGTGCTGTCATCTACGACCGGGCACTACGCTTATCCCTGTTGGAAATTGGTTCAATAAATTAGTCGGGTTGGCCAGGGCTCTGCTTCAGCCCTGCCGATTACCAAGACAATCTCCCTAACCGCACAAGGCTGAACCCACGTCTATCAACATCCTTGCACCGTCTACCCTTTTCCCTTCATCCCTTTTTATATCCTTTCATCCTTTCAACCAAATCACTATATCATTTTACCCATGCCATCTGTACGAGTCCCTAAGAGCCAGGCCGTCGGTAAGCCCGGCGGAGCTTGATTGCATCACTACTGTGGACAGGGACTCCACTCTTCAACCAATAACCACTAAAATGAACCAACATGGTACCAAGCAATTTTTACACCATCCCTAACTGTATGCCTCCTCATGGTGAATGTCTCCACCCACGAGCTTGCTCACGTAGTCATCTTAGAGTGTAGGACAGACGTCTGCTCTCAACCTCCTGTGGTTCCCTCGTCCAGACCATCCAACCGAGTAGATATTTTCGAGGACCGGATTACCGGAATGAAGATGCCAATGTTCCCTGTCCTTCTCGGTCTGCGCTGCTTCATCTACTATGCTCGTGATCGACTGAACCTTTCGCAGACGTTGAGTGGAGTCCAGGCCCAGATGACCCGCTAACCAACAGTCCGGGTCCAGTCTCCGACTTTTATCGGGCAATCGCTGAAAATCTCAATGTCTACACACTCAGCCATTTGAAGCACTGAACATTTGAGACGCTCGAGAACAAGCCAGAGCCCTCCCTCTTCACACATACTGGGCTCGATGTCGACATCATGGATCCAAATTCCACCTTGACCATTAAGAAGCTCGTCGTCACTACTGACCGCAACTATTCTCTTTGATGGTGGTTGGCCATGATGAACTCCAAGTTTCAAGAAGGCTTTTATGTTCTTGTTAGACCTTGAAACTTCTGCGCGTGATCTGGCGCTGATCGAAATCCTGTTCAGACGGTGAGAGCTGAGCGGTGCCGAAAGGCATTCGCTCCCTGGTGCAAAGGCAGATTGCACTTTTGTAACGAAGCGTCCAGCCGTCACTACCGGTATCCGGTGGACGGCACAGGCTGACATACTACTGACGCGCAACGTAAACCTGCCCAGCTGACCTTGCTCGAAAGTCGAGCAAACGGCCGTGTACACACCAGCTTGCACGTCTCGTATCTCGGCAAACGCGTACCCTTTCCTATACTCACCACTATCTCCAACGATGTCTCGAGTCTTGATAGAACAGATTTGCTTTCCATTCGCCCAAACCAACTTGACGTGGACAGGATAACGTTCGCTGAAATTCTCGAGCAAAATTGCCACATTCGAGGTTACAGCCAAACGGAGACTAAACTGAGGATTCGTGTGATATGACGAGCTGCTTGCGTTGCCTCCAGCCGTCGAATTTGTCCACACGCCATGCTGCAACACAGTATGGGTGTATCTGTCCTGAGCTTCGACTAGACTCAAAGACTCAAGAGAGAACGCGGACAGCGTGAATGTGTTGACTGATCGAGGAAGGCCCTGTCCAGAAACCACCACGGTATAAGCTTTCCTAGCTGGGAGCTCAAGCTTGAGTAGAGTGTTAGGCGAGTCAACGTATGGACCATGCACGGCAGCCTCGTCACTTGAGAAGACCCTTTCTCCGTCGCTGTCGTAGGCATACAAGCTGATGAAGCCGTTCTCAAGAGTATCGCCATTTACAGAGAGACTTGGGTCTTTGTCTGACTTGTCAATCCTCGAATTGAAGTGTCTGCTCAGGAGGACCCACACAGTACCACCGACGCTGCTGCGCACCTCGTACTGCGGATTAGATACAAATGAGCCTTCAGGACTAGAAAAAGCAGCAAGATTCCATTTGAAGTGAATGTCTTCTCTATGAGAGAACAAGCAGGGATTCCAGTTGAGATACATGGACTCAAAGCTCTGGAAAATATCGTTCAGACCCATCCAGAATGTACCGGGTGCAAGAGGCTCTGTGTCTACTGTGCTGGTCGTTGGCATTTCATTTATACAAAGATCTTGAAATCCCTTAGCGTCCTCTTTCATGACGTTGCCGCGATGGATATGGCCCTTCCAGATAGTCCCCTCGGACCAGGGATTCTTCACAAGGAAAAGCTGTTGACCTTCAAGCTCTTTCATATCGATCACGGCATAGTCGTGCTCCCCGACCAAGCCAAGGCCTTCTTCTTCGTTTGATGTCAACTTGCCAGTCCCCAAGGTGATGAGGACATCGCCGTAATTGAAAGCACTAAACGTTCGTCGCCAAAGGGCGTTGCGTGCTATGTCATCACTAGCGGTGTAGGGACTATAGTCAGTATGGAGCTTCCCAAAAGAATGGGTCAGAAAAAGAGCACAGCATGGTGATCCTACCTTTGTAGAAATATTTGCTCTGGTATCCATCCTGTCAAAACGCACAAGTCGGTTCCTGAATTGCTCCCGGGGAAGTCGTAGCCACCCCTCACTTTGAGATATGCTTTTTCGACAAGAGCAGGCCATAGCAAGCCAGGGTTGTTTCGATCAGTAACGTGCAATACTCGTGATGTCCGGGAGACGGGGAGACGATCGTCTATGATCACACTCCGAGGGCAGCCATTGAAGTGCAATCGAACGACATACTTTCCGTTGGGCGATATCATCGGTTGCTTTAGGCTCCCGTCGTAAGGATAGATGTTGCGAGTGATGATCTAGGATACCGTCAACCCAAAAATGATGCAGCTGAGACGGTCCAACATTACATCAGTGTTTCCGCGCTCTTTCCTTGCAGTAACCGCGCAGAGGCTCGCAACGACGGAGCAGTCGGTGGTTATATCTTGGACAAGATCGACTCTACCATGAGCCAGCGTGGTCGGATACCATGCAGAAGTAGAATGAAATTGCCCCAGAAGCTCTCTTGGTCTCCGCCACGCATCGAATACCTCGAGCTGTACTGCTGACAAGGGAAATTCTACGTTGTCTCTGTGTAGGTTAGACCCCGCGAAGAACACAGCCTCAAGCATTCGGAGATTCTCACTTCCATTTAGACCTACAGGAAATAAGGCTGGCCGGACAGCTGTTCGAAATCTGAAGAAGTTGGAGGAGATGTCCAAGGTAGAAAGCGAGAACCGTGCAGTTTTGAAGCTTCCAAAATTATAATTTTCTCCCGGGTGGTCAATTCGCGTCCTTCTGAAATGGGTTCTGTGAGTTCGTTCGCTTTCTTTACAGATCTCCTAACAGATCTCTGCTCCTGTTGGCTCAATCCTTCAAGCCGAGAGGCAACTAGCTTCGTAGGGTCTGTCATGATGAGAATGAGAGATCACCGCACTCTTGGACAGATTGGTTCATCTGTGGCCATATGCCGGTCTACAAACAGCTTCACGTCTCTTCGCGTCTTTACGAGAGCCGCTGTAGCTGTAGCAAACAAGTGTACTATGCTTAGTGATCAGCAATTCGATTGTTTGGAACTACGGAATTAGTATAATCAGTCCTCCGTGACGCTAAGCCATTTTCATCAACCTCGGCTGAGTATCGTTTGACAGCGGGGACAATTCTTGTTATCCTCCTCCACGACGTAATAACGGCTTGCTACAGACATATGAATAAATGAGCCGTTTTTCTAACGTCAGAGTAGCTTTGTTGCATTGGTAACAGGCCTCATACGAATCGAAAGTTGGGACTGGTTGCCCACACGTCGCGCCGCAGATCTCCATGACCTGCACTTTCTATAATCCCCCTCTTTTGTGATGCCTGGCAAAGCTGGTCAGGCGCCACTGCCACCATGGGGTAATGCACTGGCTGGAGCTACAGGAGCTGTCTTAGCCAACGCAATTGTCTACCCTCTTGACATGTACGCTAAGCTTCCCACTGCCGACAAGTCTCGAGGAGCTCATGCTGACAATGCGGACCAGAGTCAAGACACGCTTACAGGTCCAGGTGAAACGAAATCCAGCAGATCCAGCCCCTCTTACTACCAATGACGTGCATTACACATCAGCCCTCGATGCTATCCGAAAGATCGTTGATGACGAAGGGGTCTTCGGGCTCTACTCGGGGATCAACGGGTCACTGATCGGGGTCGCATCCACAAACTTTGCCTACTTCTATTGGTATTCTGTCGTCCGAACGCTCTATATATCCTCTCGAAACCTTGCCAAGCCTCCAAATTCCGCAACAGAGCTCTCATTGGGTGCTGTTGCTGGGGCTGTCGCTCAGGTATTTACCATACCAGTATCTGTAGTCACGACGCGTCAGCAAACGCAGCCAAAGGGCGATAAGAAGGGCCTAATAGACACTGGACGGGAGGTGGTAAATAGCGAGGATGGTTGGACGGGTCTGTGGAGGGGCCTGAAAGCGAGCTTGGTGCTGGTGGTGAATCCCGCGATTACATACGGTGCATACCAGAGATTAAAGGAGCTATTCTTCCCTGGAAAGACTCATCTAAGGCCATGGGAGTCATTCTGTGAGCTGAATACAGGATCTCTATTATGGCTGCTTGGCTAATGCCTTTGAAGTCTTGGGCGCCGCGTCAAAGGCGTTGGCAACTATAGCCACACAACCGCTGATTGTTGCCAAAGTAGGCCTCCAGTCGCAACCACCGCCAGCCAGGGAAGGCAAACGATTCAAGAGCTTCATTGAAGTCATGTCTTACATCATTGAACATGAAGGGCCTTTGGCGTTGTTCAAAGGCATTGCTCCGCAGATCACCAAGGGAATCCTCGTACAGGGTTTGCTCATGATGACAAAGGAAAGGTAAGTTGGCTTTCGATATACTGGCGAGTCAAGATGCTGATGAAAAGATAGAATGGAGATTTTGTTCATCGTCCTCTTCGCATACCTGCGTAGATTAAGGTCGCAAAGGCTACTGATGGCAGCCGAAGCCGCTGCATCCAAAGCCAAGGAACTCCTACCTCTCGATCAATCAAAGCAAGCTTTGCCCGCACTCATCAAGTGATACTTGGTATAGTGCGTGGTTGACGAAATGATATACATTGGAAGCTCACCATGATTTTAACTCGACTTGACGTGCTCCTTTTGGCTTACGTTCCTATTTTCTGCCTCGATGTCTAGTTACACTGAATCAATGTACATACTGAACAAGCACGGGCTTCCTTTTCCACACGTAAATCAGACCATATGCTTCGCGCATAGCATGTAGCGTAGAGACATTGTCACGAAGCAGTCTCGACAGTCCCGAACTACGGAATACTCAGCCCTAGCCGCCCTGCAGCACGAACTCGTAAGCGAAGAGCAACGACCACCAACTCTTAATTTTGCCAACCTCGGATTCAACAGTCCCGAGGACCATCATCAAAAGCTATCACAATGGCCAGTAAGTCATTCTTTAATTTCCACTGTAAGAAAACGGGACAGAAACTGATTTCCTTTTCAACCAGAGTCGAAAAATGCCAGCCAACATAACCAGAGCAAGAAAGCTCACAGGAACGGGTGCGATTCCCTTTCCTTCCTCCAGCTCACGAGGCTCTCAAATACCCTATGTCGATCGGACAGTTTTCTTGGGACGGAATCTGACTGACATTGGCACTTTCAACAGGATCAAGAAGCCAAAAACCCACCGCTACCCTTCCCTCAACGGCACCGATCCCAAGTTTCGACGAAACCATAGGCATGCACTACACGGGACTATGAGGGCTCTGGTATTTTCTATGGATCTACGGAGGACAGAACGCTAAGCTAATTCGTTGAACAGAAAGAGGTCAAGGAGGGAAAAAGAGAAGCCGCATGAACGTGAGGAAGCGGAGGAGTGTTTCGTGGCGGAGCTAGGACAGTGATATGACTGGATGGCTTGATCAGATGGTTGAAGGCGACTTGCATGCAGATGAATCTATGAAGCTGCATGCATGAACTTCGAGTCCGGTATCCAAGCACATGCCCTTCCACGGTGAACTGCTCTCTACTTCAAAAAAAAGCAATCGGAATAAGCCTCGTGTCCTGCCGAAACAGGTTGTTCATCCCGTATTTGTCTACCTATTATGCTCTGCTCTGCTCTATCCTGTTTGTTTTCTGCCAAGGCATATGTGTGTACAGCTCCGACTGCTTCCCCATGCGCGGTTGCTGAAGGATTATCATCTTTTGACGTGCCGATATCGAAATTCCTTTCATTACCAATCACCCTCCTCCTAATTTCCTGTGGAGAGAGGGTGCATGGAGAAAGGGCTACATCTATCGCGTTGCTCCTCTCGATTGCATCGCGCTCTCAGACCCGTCACATTGTAATATTACTATTGCTGCATTTCGCAGAATCTATGTCTACTTCTCTTAATCCCAAACTACCAATCGATGATCAAATCCTCCAGTTACAAGCCACTCCTTCCTTCTTTCCTCGACTTCGATCACCCCACACTATTGAAATTTCGCAGTCAGCATTCCTCCTTCGAGACATAGGCTCGAGTAATGAAACAGCCCCAATGGACATGTGGTGATTTTTGCTCGCATAGCATTTCTTACGACTCAGGGTGTGGTATGAATAGAAGCAGAAATTGCTCAGAATGTACATACCCAGATACTCCTGATCTTACTCCCCAACTCATGTCCACCCTGCAAGGTAGCAACAATCTTCCCCGTCTTTGCTTCCAATCCGCGGATGACCCCGTCGTCTCCATTTACAAACACCCCTGCTCCATTAGGGCGCCACACTACCTGCGGTGTCGAGTATGGTGTTTGTGGGGCCATGGTGCTAACGTGGACTTGAATTGCTGCTTCTTCTCTGTCCTGTATGGCAAGATTGTTCCGGGTTTGGGCCGCCTGTGTGACAGGACTGGCTAGGTTTGAAGGTGATTGTGTCAACGATGGGAGTAACAGTTTAACGATTATGACCTTCATGTGCGGCACAGCAGAGGTAGCTGCGCAAATTTCGGAGTCAGCCTTGCTTACACGAGGGAGGTAATGGAGTTACAAGACAATTCTGGGAGTAGAAAGGTTCCTTCGCTCCCGAAATATGTTTCGCGACCCAATCCCAACATCAAATGGGAAGGATCGGCTCCGAAATGTACGTACCAACCGCTAGCAATGTCGGGTCTTTGGGGCATACTTCGACAGAAGCGGGAGTGAACGTGACCCAAGAGTTGGAATAAGGGGCTAGGTTCTGGGAACCTAGCAGCTTCAGCTCCAGCGAATAATAGTATAACGATGTCGAGTCTCGGCGGGTGATCAGGAGAATCGGATGGTCAGAGTCTGGATGGTCAACGAAAGTAATTGTTTCCGGATTCGTAGACAGCGTAGTCGCAGCCACTGGGGATCCTAAGCTCGAGAAATCACCACTTGCATGGTAAAGGAACACCTTGTTGTCCCAGCCTGCAGTTACAACGATTTTGTCCCAAGTCGCCACTTTGACAACATATTTTTTATGGTCTTTCCTTTCGTCACAGACCCTAGCCATCTCATGGTCATAAAGGACAACTTGACCAGACATGCCAGTCGTAATTGTCTTTAGTCCTTGTTCGCCAAAAGAGATGCATGAGAGGATGGGAGAGTCTTGCAAATACGGAAGGGACTTGTAAATGCTGAATGTCATGTCTGTGGTAATAAGATGCAAATTTCTATCCGCTGTAGAGGCAAGTAGCAGTTGGAAAGGCTTCTCGCCGTGGAACTTCTGGACAGAGACATGCAAGATGTTCGTAGCTGAAGGCAACGTAGAGATGTGAGTCGGGTTTGAAGGAGCTGGGAAAGTAGCATCAGAAGGGAAGACACGGGCAAACAGAGACATAAGGTACATCCTACCGGGCAAGGTCCACTTCTCGCCATCCTCTAGACCAGGCTTTTCGAAGCGCAAAGTCAGATCGAAGACCTTCTTCTCTTCCAGTATCTTCTCGATCGTCAAGTCCCCCTTCTCTATAACACCAGCGTCGCGCGAAAGTCCAGCTTCTAATATAAATGCCGAGAGCGTCTGCCATGTTTTCTTCTGTGAGTCTGTCTTCGGTCTTACGAAGGGGACTAAATCGACTCACGCACATCGTTATAATTGTTGGCTCTGAGAAACCTAGCCACGATAATGGGTGGAGAGTCCGGGGCTGGCATGATGATGGTGACTGAATACCGAAAAGTGGCTCTATGTTTAAAGCGTTGATGGTAGTGAAATCAGTCGAATTGACGCACTACGAGACATATCAATCTGGAAGGCATTAAGCCCGACCTCTTCAAGATGGTTCGATTGCGCTATATCACTCATATTTGGGGTATATACTCTATCCTGAACAGAACGCCATGCTCATCTATATGGATCTTGCCGCTCGAAACCATTTTTGCGCTCATGCAACAGACTGACATGGAAGGCTGCATCCCTTGCAGAAGCATCCATGCTGTCCAGCCTTGAGCAAAATCTTTGCGAGGATGATGACTTAGAATGCTCCAAGCGTGCTGCAGCTCAGTAGAACATGTCCTCTGCACGATTCCTTCTCCCCCCTCTTCCCTCAACCTTCTCCGCAAAGAGCTCTTTTCCCGCATTACCTGCAGCCTTTCCTGGAAAAAGCTCTTTGATCGTCCCAATCGCGTTGACAGCCGCCCCACCGCGGATTGAGAAACCCTGGTTCTGCTCCCTCGATGCACCTCGAATATTGAGACCAGTACCAATATTTCCACCATCAACTTGAGATTGGAAGCCCGAAGATCTCAGTCGATCAACGGGACTCTTGCGAGAGCTAGGTCCATCCATGAAAGGCACCGACATTCCATTCGCAAAGAGATCTGCTGTCTCATCCGCGGCGTCGAAGGCATCAGAGCGGCTATGTTTGCTTGGATTGACCTTGTGCGGAAAGAGCTCCTTTTTCACTTCTGCAGCACGCGTTCTATTGCTGGAAAGATCTTTGCCACTGGGTGCTGCCTCGCGAGGCAACGCAGACTTCGTTGAGTTGAGCCCCTTGGAGACGTCCGCAATAATCATTTTACTGCTAAAAAGGTCCTTATCATTACGATCAGACCTGGATGTCGATGGAAAAAGCTCTTTGCCTTTGTTCTCATAAGGAAAGGGGTGAGGATCACGGGAGCGGTAGATCGGAGGTGGAGTTGGATGGTTGCGTCTGTTTGGTGACGCGCTGCGGTCTCGAGAGGTACGAGCACCGTTCCTCTCATCTCCAGCTGGCCGGTAGGAGTCGCCACGAAGCCGAGCGTTTCTTTTTCCCTCAATGCTACGTTCATTCGCAGATGACGAGATCGAGCCACGCCTGCTCGAAGGGTCGCCATCATCATACATTGACTCATCAAACCCGTCTTCTTTGTCTCTCCGCCTCCTTCGCCGATGCTCATCGCCCGAATATCCTTTCCTACGATAGTCGCCATTTCCTTGGAAGCTTCCCCCTCGACGGCGCTGCTCCCTGGGATCATGTTCAGGGTGCATCATGTAGAATCTGCTGGCTTCGTACGCTCGCGGACGTTTTTGGTCTGTAGTCGCTCCTATTCTGACGTACAGAGAAGATCCAGGGTGAGTGGACAGGGTTTTGGCAGCGCGCAATTGTGAAAGGGGAAGGAAGTCGTTGTCATTGGACGGAAGTGTGAGATGCTGAAGTGCTGTCATGGCAGTCTTTTCCTCTTCAAACACGAGATTTGCCGATATATCATTGATCCATTCAACGCGAAGTGGGGCTTTGAACGGGTAATGTTCACAAGAAAAGGCTTTGATGTCAGACGTGGTCAAGTCCTCAAGGCCACGGATGTGAATCTTGTGGCCCACTAGCTCAGAGTCTGATACTTGACTTGGAGGAATCGAAATTTGTGAGATTGTGTTTGTGACGGCTAAAGGCTCATTGAAATCGTCTGTGGATCCTAGGTCGATGTCGAGGTCCATGCTGTCAAGCTCCATGTCTGCTGTGCTCTGGTCCATGTTGATATTTCGCTCCAATGCCGAGCTGGGGTATGAGACCTCCATGTCGAGCGACAGAGGTGGAAGGAATGAGAGGACTTGTAAACGGTCAATGGGGTGGAGATTAGTTAGAATATTTACTTTAAGAGAAGTTAGGCACTGCGTTCTAGGTATCCAAAACCATTGTGAGTATCAACTGAGGTGAGAGAATTGGAGATTTGTACGGAGTAATGTAAAGGAAGGTAGTATGAGACTATAAGAGGCCCGATCACCTCACGCTGGTAAGAACTACCTTGGCGAGCTTGGGTACGGTACTTCTTTTCTTACCTTAAGGTAAGTCTGGTGCTCTTCCGTTCCCGCTCTTAGCCTCTTCACACGTGTAAAAGTAGTTCCGCTCCAGAGGCTAACCCTTTCGAGGTTCCAGAATTTACGACCACAGGCTGCCTCTTCTTTGGCAATTCAACTGTCTTCCACCGTCTTGACGCCTCTAAGTCCTTTGGAACGTATTAAGTCGCTTAGATCTGTCACAACTGTCCACCAAGTGTGCTCGACGATGTTCGCGTTTTAGTGCCCTCTTGCTTGCCCTATTCTCATCAAGATGATCTCACAACACATAATGCAGCGAGAAAAGAAGGCAGCCTCAAAGCCATTTAAAGTTCTTTTCTTTCTCCACGTTGCCCGAGCAGACCTAGACATTGATATCTCCCAGTTCTATCGAGAAGATTGCGACATGTACGAGTACCTGACGGCGCAGCCCATTGCAATCATAAGGCTTCACTTTCATTGGGTAAAAGCCAAACAGACCATTCAGAAAGTCAAGAAGCTTCAATATGACATTCTTGCTGCCATCAATAACACTCTGTAGCCCTCGTCTCTTATTTATGAACCTGCGCGGGTGGCTCAATAGGAACAGAGCTCGAACAATAGCTCTCTCAATCAAAAAGCTTTTCGAAAGCAAATTCCTTTCAATACTATTGACCAGTCAATGCCGCTGGGTCGCCATGTCGTGGATGCTGTTTTCCTACACAATCTGTTTCCTCCTTCCCATACTATATCACCCATACAATAAATCGTCGCACCAGCATAAAGTATTCAAACAACTTGTCCAAGTGGCTAAAGCTCATACCCTTCGTCAACACCTTTTCTTGCATTTTTCGAGTTCCTCCTCGCCTGCCTGGGCTGCGAGTTGACCGCTACCGTTTACCACCTGAAACCTCTCTTTTCCTCAAGCGCATTGCTTTGGTACCAAAGATCACTACATCTTATCGAGGTTGCGTGTTGACTGAGCTTGCTGCCATCTACGTTCGTTAAGGAAGTCCCAACCGCCAAAGCTCTCATCAATCTGCAACGCCGGCCGTTGCACTTTGCTCTCAACACCTCCTCATATCTATAATGCAAGCGACGCTGCAACCAGAACGCAACAATGAAGCCTACCGCAGTATTTGAGGGTATGGTCGCCGACATGCGCAAACAAGCCCACCCCATCAACTATGAGCTGGTGGAGCGCAACACGCGAGCTGTACTTCGTGAACAGTCTTTCGAAGAAGGACAAGCCTCCAGATCAGTTGATGGCTTCCAGCCGGTATGTGGGATATCCTCAAATAATTGTCTTGCGACTTTCCATCATCGCTGACAGAGGAACAGATCGCCGAAGACACGTTTCTTATTGGATGGCCAATAATTGGAGAGGAGTGCCCTTATGCTAGCTTGGGAATGGAGTGTGACCCTGTCTGTGTTTACTGCGATACGCAACACGTCTGCATGCATTGCGCTTTAAAATCACGTTCCGCAGAAGCAAGCATCGACCCGCCTTGTCCACTCAGGATCCCAGGCTGTGGGTGTTCCACCGGTGCGGGACCATCCGTACTCGAGTATTGCCGCAATACTGGCGACCCATTCATGAGCGCCTATGTGCAGGGCGCAGGAGATAAAGAAGTTTTCGAGGAAGAGATCGAGGATGGAGAATATTCCGAGGAGGCCGGGGAGGAAGATGTTATCGAGGAGGAGACCGAGGATGATGGATATATCGAGGACAGCGGAAATGAAATATTGTTCAAAGATATCGGAGGCGAAGAACCTCTCGATGACGAGAACGAAGGCGACGAGTTGGTTGATGACGGAACCCTGGATCTCTTTACTCCTCAGTCCCTTTGGCCACTGTCTCCAACGTTCTGGAAGGGGCTTGTACCTGGATGGGAGCAGGGTCCTCCACCGCCTTCCCCTCCTCAAGTCGACTGCAATGACTACTCAGACTATTTGCGCGAGCCTCCAATAATTGAGCCCCAAAGTTCCGTAGCTGCTGGTCAACACGCACGTGGTGGAAGAGCCCATTCTTCTGTGGATGTCCTGCAGTATCCGATGGCTTGCAATGGTTACTCTGCCTTCCTGCCTGTATTTCCAGGACTCACCAATCAAGAGTTCAAGGCGGCGAGCCAAAACGCACCTGCAGGGAAGGTCCCCCCTTTCAGTAAGCCTGTAGTAGAAGGGTCACGGCCTCAAGCGAGTCACAGACAAGAGGCTGGTCATAACCACGCAGCTGTGGGAGAAACCCGACCGTCAAAGCAACCCGCGAGTAAGAAGGATTCACGGGGCTGGGAAGAGCACGAAAAAGCGGTTGTGAAGACCCTTATGGAAGAAGTCATCTTGGAGGGTACATACGCTCAAACAGAGGAGAGATGGAAGGTGATCTCGAGGCGACTGAGTAACCGCTATTCTGTTGACCGGACATGGACGGCGGTGAAGAAGTGAGCCCTACCAATCACAGAGTTCTTTTGTCGAGCCACTAATTCTTTCATGAAGTTATTGGAACCGTCACGGTCGGAGTGACACCAACATCGACGAACGAAAGGTTAAGAAACCTGACCGAATGATCACGGGTTAGTTTGAATGCTAGATAGGTAACATCGTGGAGGCGCTGACGATGTTTCTAGGCGTGCAAGATCCCGAGAGCAGGAGGAAGGCCAGGAACTTGAAGCGCAAAGATGCAGAGCGTAACGATGGCAACGACCTGGTGGATCTGGAAGATGATGATGACTACGATTCGGCACCGTCATCAAAGCGTCTGAAGTTGTAAAGACGAAGCTTGATGATTCGGTTGGGAAGTAAGCAAAGATTTGAAAATGCGGAAGAATTTCAACAGAAGAAACTTTACTCATTACGAGTAATGATGTGCAAAAACCCTTTCAATTCTTGGCACTGGGTCCTGCGCCCTCCCTCCACCACCTCTGTCTGATTCGAATTATCAACTTTACAACCTTAGGTCGGATTCTAAAGGTTTCCGCACATAGATTAGACTCCTCATCGCTGAGATTCTAAAGCTCTGGAATATAAAAGGTTTCGTAAGAAAACGACTGATTCATAGAGCTATGAATATATTAGAATATTTCCTTTTTCTCTAATGTACGCATGACCTACTAAAATAGTTATTCGAAACTTGAATTATTCTACATAGGGTTTTCACAAGTTATTCTTGCGATTTAGACTTCGCTGGAACATTTATATTCTGACTTATAATTGTGTAGTTGATACCCTGGATCAGAAGAGGGGGCGCAGGATATCCAGTGCCAAGAATTTATAGGATTTCTGCATACACCATATGTACTTTATGCACAGGTGACAGCGGGAATCCTTAGCACCGGCAAGTGATGTTCGTGCTAGCATTCCCTCGGTGTTCTGAGATCGCTTCTGACCTTGGACTGCATAGCAATACGGCGAAAGTATTCATCATGTCACACTATATACCAACTGGGGGGAACTGGTGTCATCTTTTATTACGGATAGTTGTACGTTCCACCACACATCAAACCCTGACTGTATACCTCCGCCATTTCAATACAATTCACCGGGCAATTCTCATTGCACTTTATCTTACAGTATCCACTTCTCTCATGCGCCAAGGCAGTGACTCAAAGCAAGACGTTGATGCCTGGCGATAAAGTCTAGCGTGGAGTCGTTGATAGTGAGCAGGTTCGATCCGTTTTCCCGTTACCCACAATTCAGCAATCTTTGAGCCTGTTCGGGGATCCTAAAGAAAGCTTGCGGAACGTACGGCGAAGTCAGCCCGAAGGCGTCAACCAAGTGGTTCATAGGCGCTCCGAAGTTGCAAGCCTATTGCAGAATCAACGTCTTCAGAACTTATGCAGTTGATCACTACCGGGGTATGATCGTCTGCAGTAGACACCGAGTGTCGATTGTGGAGCAAGCCTCTGTCAAGGCGGTAAAAATCCTTTGAGTCAGAGTTTTTGATTGCTAAAAACAATCGTTGAAGACCGGCTACGCGGCTTAGGTGCCCTGCTTGGCCTTCTCAAACGTGCGCATCTGCTTGGCCAATGCTGAAGGTTTTGGCTGGGTCGGGTGGCGGTCCTTCCAAAAGACGAGACCCTTGGTACTTGTGAGGGGTGCTTGACCAGACGTTCGGGAAACCGTGCGCGAATGATTTATTCTCGAATCATCGGAAACGAATACATCGCGCGACTTGGGAGTTGAACATTTGAGGATTTGAGGATTTGAGCACCGAGAGCCGGCCAATTCGGGAATGTGTACGAATAGTCATGGTCGCGATGATATTATCTAGTTTTAGACACAAGTGAACCTGTTGTTCGAGGGTATTGAGCAGCAGCAATGTGCCAACCTGTAGTCACCGCTGGTTTTCCCAAAACAAAAAAGGTGTTTTCGCTGCCCACCTCCTGGCTTGAATGCATTTTCTCTTCCTCGACGCCGGCTGTACAAGGGTATCTATTGGAATGAATCGCGTATTTGCGCAATTGTGTGACGAATTGGAAATTCGCCAAGGCCGAAGATTGGTGACTTCAAACTTGGAAATTTGTGCCAGTTGAGACCGAAGTCCAAATTCCGCCTTCTCTAATGAAGAATAGAAGACAGTGTCATTTTCTTCTTTTGTGGTGATGGTGGAGAGAGCCCAGCGTCACCTGCGGACGTTATTCTATGATTTAATCCATTTGTCGACTCAACACGAAAATGTGGTGAAGGGCTGGCAGAAAGAGGGACTGATTCATAGGCGGCTCCCAGTATCGTCGACCTCGTGGACGGAGAATATGATTGGTGAGGGTATGGAGCATTTAAGTGTTCAGGATGTGGGGAGACCGAGTGTTGCGTGGCGCCTGCCGGCTGGCGGTTTGCTTGTGGATGGAGCAGAGGGACAGCAGACGTCGTCAGTACCGAGGCCTCATGCTTGGGGTATTTTGGACCGTCTGCGTTGTCAACCAGTTTCCTGAAAGACGGAAGAGGGTACGGAGGCCGCTGCATAGGCTGGGCAACAGAGCCAACCACGGGGCCCGTCCTTGCTGCGACATCAGCAAATTGTTGGAGTCTTTGGTACGGTGGGGGCGGATTGGCTGGTGATTTGGGAACCTCGTTGTGGCTCCATACTGTCGGTGAGCGGTCAGAAGCTGTTGAGATTCGATTACCATAGAGATTTGTACCAGCTGCATTGTGCAAGGTCGATCGCCAGTAATCGGACTGAGGTGTCTCAGGTGGAGGAAGATAACGGTGGGGATGGGCGACAGCATTTGGCGAGGACATTGAGAAATGGGAGCTCGAGTCAGACACCAGAGACGGAGCCTCACCGAGGGAATCAGGCATGGACACCTCAGAATGGACAGGTGAGATCAAAGGCGGCTCGAACCTCCTTCTAGACGTTGGCACTATGATGTGTCGATCTGCTGGATGTGGTGGTATAGGAGCTGGCCGAGCAAACGATAGAGGCTCAACGTTTTCATCAAAATCAAGGGCGGCGCCACGAACGCTTTCCCTCCGCCGTACAACGATGCGACGTCGACGGTTCATGCCACCATTCCACCAGTTCTTGACGGCGTTGTCACTACGGCCTGGAAGACGACGTGCGATCTCTGCCCAGCGCTTGCCCATCTCTGATACCAGGCGTTCTATGATCTCCCCTTCCTCTGCCGATATGGGGTCATGACATAGGCTAGGTTTGAGATTCTGATGATATCGTTCTCTGCACTGCTTGGGAGACCTGGTGCGGATGAATTGAGATATCCTGACCCAATTATGGGCACCTTGAGATTGGACCAGCTCCAGGAGCGATCGATCTTCATGCTGCGACCAAGGTCCTCGTTTGGAGCCCATGGTCATGGACACAAAGCAGCAAAGATGCTATACCATGGTTAGCATCTCGAAAGCTAACATTGGAGACCGCAGGACGTACATAGCTGTTGACCAGCAATGACTGTAACTATCAATGATGGCAATGCGCATGTACGTAAAATGGTTCGCAGAGTAGAAGAAGTGGGAATGGCGGAATATCAATAGTGTATATAGATAGACTTTGTATAGACTTTGGGGGACAGAAACAGAGGGAAGTGTGCCACAGTAGTAACGATATCGGTCGGACCTGTAACATGTCTCATGCCGAGCAAGTAGCGGGGAGGAATTATGGTCACGGTTTTTTCTTTTCTTTTCTTTTTTTTTCTCCTTGGCTGGAGCTTACAACGCTCGAGTTTGAGCGTTTTTTCACCAATGGTTGAAAATTGGCAAAAGAGGCAAGAGCAGTGAGATGGGGGAGAAAATGTGGACAAGCGTGTGGTTGACAGTGGTCGAGTTGGGGAAAAAGTGAAAGAGGCGCTGGTCGATGGCTTGGATGGCTTGTCAATGATGCTAGTTTGGGAGTTGTTTTTTTCTGCCAGTGTGCTTGTGGGACAGTGGGAATGGAGGAAAGGTGTGTGTCCGGAGAAGGAGGCTAAGGGACTAGATAGATGTCAAATCTGCTGGAACAAATCTGCTGGAATACGTGGTAACGAAACAGTAATATTTGAATATCAATGATACAAGACCATGGCTGTTGACAGGGAGCCAGGACAGTGGAAAGGAAGATGGGAAGGAGTCAAAAATAGTCGAAGTAGTATAGTAGGAAGGAGCAAGTAAGTTCGTTCCAGCAGGCCGGTCACGATCAAAGTGGCTGACGTAGTAGGATGATGATGATGATGATGATGATGATGATGATGATGATAGTAGTATCTTACATGCCTTTCAATTGATTGCAATGCTCCTACTGATCACTACTTATCACACATCCTGGCTGGACTATACTTTCCCTGAGGCATGATTGGCATGCTTGGCATGACTGATCAATCCCGAGCCTATCAATGTTCCATGTAATAAACATGCCGAGTTTACGCTCTTTAAGTCGAGCGTATAATAAGCCCGCAAGCCCCTGGCCAAAGTGGTGCGTAATGCGTATAATCCAGGAGTGGGATGGCAGCTTGCGGGTGGAATTGTATGGATGCTACGCCCGATATAGAGCAAAAAGCAAGGATCAGCCAGCCGTAAGGCGTAAGAGTAGTAAGAATAGTAAAGGATAATAGTAAGGATGGTTATGGGTCGTAGTATTCTCCCATATGTCATGCACGGGCGTTTGGGACTTGGCGCTGGATCGCAGAATTCCCGGGGGTATTCTTGGGGGTCTAGACTTTTTGACAGAACGCCATCACTAGCGGTAGTGCTGCAGAGAACTCGCCTACCAAAACAACCTTGCCGTTGTACCCTGTCGTCATATCAAATAACGGTTCCAGGGGTCAAATGTAGGACAAACATTCCACCACTTGTTCTTGTGGACATTGACCAGTCTTCATACAACTTTCTATCAACTAGCATTCTCGTGACAAAGCTGAATCAGCAATGTCCTTCTCTCTCTCTTACCCTCTCTCTCTCTCTCTCTGTCTCTCTCTCTTTCTCTTTCTCTTTCTCTCTCTCTCTCTCTCTCTCTCTCGCGTCTCGGGACATGTAAAGTAACCGCGGGACCTGCGGCCGCATCATGCACCTGGAGTCGACCGAGCACGAGCGAAGAGCGATGGGCCTTAGTCCGATTCACCGTGCGTTAGTGTATATGCGGCATGACGGCAGTCCACGTACCCACGAACCAACGTTGCGACATGGTAGACGCTAGGATCTCATCTGGCAGGGTTTGGTGGGAATCGGGACCGAAAAACGTTGTGCAGATCATTCTTGCCTTCGACCCAATCAAGCAAATCCTCCGGGAGCTGACCCTTGACCCAGTGACGCTTCAGCTCCAAAAGGTAATCGTGGCGCACTCGGACTTCCAACGGTCACCCTCATTCGTAGAGGTGGAATATCGGCCCTTGTCTTTCCGTACCAAACGCCTGAGGCTCCCGTAATGTGTTACGATACACCTTGGATTTATCGAGACACCGTTTGACCGTCATGGTCCATGGAGGAATTCGGGCCAACTGCAAAGTGGGGTTTGCAGCTCTGGCGCATGTGCAGGGATTCCTGAAACACTACTTGCGTGCGTGCCATCGAGGAGCATCTCGCATCTTGCATCTTGAATTTTGATTCTGAGCCTCGATAGATCGCCAAGAGTGGGTAAATCAAAGATCGTAGACTACCTAAAGTATCTTTGCGGTCCAGTGAGTACGTCGTCCATCGTCATGCGCATTTCGCATGACAGATCGGGATGCCGCTGGACCGTTGCGCAGTGCGTACGAACAGGATGGGGTGAAATGATGGCTCTGGCAGTCTAGAACGTAGAGACCCGGCTCGCTTCATTTGACTGCTTGCGGCATCGTTCCCTGCAGTGTCGCCCGCGGCGTTCCTGCTGCCAGCTGCCAGGCCCAGGTCTGCACTTCAACGACACACCGAATAATAATGGGGAGCGGAAAGTGCATAAGGTTGGGACCGGCTGCAACCTACGAGGCCGCTAAAATGCAATGGTCTGAGGGTCTTGAATGGTCGATCAGTCAAAATAGCGAGATAGTCCGGAGCGATCGACCGATGAACCAGATGCATTTTCTTTCTTTTTCTTTTCTTCTTTTTAACTTCCGACATTTCGATGACAACAATGATACTGCCAGCTCCCAACGGTCGTCATCTACGACCAACATTGTTTGACATCCATGGGCTTCATGGCTTCATGGCTTCATGGCTTCATGGCTTCATGGCTTCATGGGCTTCATGGCTTCATGCCTTCATGGCTTCATGGCTTCATGAAGCGCCGAGACTAAACTCAATGCGCGCTTTTTTAGCGACTGCCGAATTGTGACATTTGGGGAGAGGAGGGGGGGGGGGTTATTAAAGTACTGAGGCATTGAATGCTTGGCACGGCAGTGAAAGGCAAAGTATTATTATGGCATATGTCGGCACTCAAAAGTGCGCAGATAGACGAGATCTGTGTCTAGGAATTTGGGAGACTGGGACTGGGACTGGGACTGGGACTGGGAGACTTTGAGGCTTTGGGCAGGAAACTAAGCCCTTTGAAGCCTTTAGCCTCATTTGTCGATGGCGCCTTTAGCCAGGGCAAGGTAAGGTAAAGTAAGGTAAGGTATTTGGAATTTGGATTTTGCTCTGCAGTCTGCAAGAATAATGCAACCTGCAGCCTGCAACCTGCAACTTGGTTCAAACAATAACAACAATAATAATAATGATGATAATAATAATAATGATATTCTTATTCTCATTATTATTGTCACCCAAGTCGGGTCAGGTCATCCATCAGCTTTGCCTTCACGGGGTTGCCGAAAGCCAATCGCTTTCGACATCCAAAACCAACGTATCCAGAAGCCAGAAGCATATATACACCACCAACTGATGCCCGTCACGGAGATTTACCTTCACACTTTATGTCCTCTCAACTCTGGTACAGTCATGCGTCTAATGTTACTTTGAAGCCATCATCTTTTTCCCCTTCCCACCATCCCACCATTTCCCCAGCATCTAACCCCCCCCCCCCTTTTCCTTTTCCTTTTCCCTTTCCCCTCCTCTCTTACTACTTGATCCCATCAAGCTCGTCATGTTTGTAAGAGAAGCTATGAATGAGTTCCGAGCGATGACCTCGAGGAACTTCAATTCTGCCGGTAAAACGCTTGGAAAAAGTCGCATCGGTGTTTGAAAATCCTGATGATGGGGTTAAGCTAAAGATTGCAGGTCTCATGCTTCCTTCACACGCTTCGAGACAGGGGACGTATCGTCCAGAAAACACGATCTTCAAATGAAGACATGAGCGGAAAACGGGTTGCATTCGCATGTCGTATCCATCACAAATCTTCTGGCTCTGAGTCAGGCAAATGTGGCAATGCGGCCTTTTGGGGTTGGAGGCACAAGGGAACAGGGGCCATTTCCTTCAAAGTTCAATCACGGATGGAAAACAGGGCCTAAAATCCACTGCATATCTGCCTTCCATCTTCTACCTCGAATATCCCGAACATCCGGTTCCGTCGCCCAAGCCACCGGCTCCTCGAGAAGGTAATGATATGTCCAGAATATCCCCAGCGCTATGCAATATGCTATCATACCGTATCCAATGTCAGAAGTTTCCTTCTCTTGCTCCTTCGATATTCCAGATTCCGTACCTCGTAATCATAAAATCGTACATGTTCGAATAACAGAATCCGTCATCATTATAACCAAATATCCCCGCCTTCTCCATTGACCCATCTGCGCCACGCTTCCGAATACGCAGATTCTAAATCCCGAACCCAGCGTCGAGTATCAAAGAGCGGGCTAGTCCGACGACTCTCGTAGAGTAGCTTCCTGAGCTCCATCAATCTACCCCTACCCATTCCCTGCTTGCCGTCCTCCACCGGGTACACAAGGTCACTACCAAGCTCTACCCCTTGCTCCTCGTACGCGTCGTCACTATCAGTAATTAAATCCTCTGCCGCTCTGTCGCCTTCAACGTCCTTCGGCAACGCCCCCCTCAGGATTGAAGCAGCCATTCTCGAGCACATTTTATACTCATACCTCGGCAGGGTTAGCAATGGCGTGCCGGACCAGAGCACATCTGCAGCGGTGGTGTGGGCATTGCATTCTGGCGTGTCTAGAAAAAGATCGCAGACACGGGCTCGCGAGATATGCTGGTGCTTTGGCGCAACGTCTGTGAAGATAATTCGCGACGCGACCTCGGCGCCAACCCAGCGCAACGCTGTTTCTCTGAGATTCTCCTCACCGAGGTCGGGAAATCTCAGGAGCCATAATACCGCCTTTGGTGTGCGGGACAGGATGCGTAGCCACGTTCTGAACGTAGTGGGATCGATCTAAGAGTCATAGGGGGGTCAGTCATATGCAAATTCGGTGGCAGACGGAGGACCCGCAAACCTTGTAAAGCTGGTTGAAGTTGCCGAAGATGACAGCATCATCTGATAAAGTTGGGAACAAGTCCTTGCGCATCTTCCATCGCCGTCGCTGTTCTTCTGGCCAGCTGAGCTGCGGTTCTTGGGCATCCGGAGCGCTTTGTCTATGGTCACAACAGAAGAAGGTGTCCCTCGTAAAAATAATATTCTCACCATAAACCCAGTCATCATGATCATCCTCGTTGTTGCCATCCTGAGTCTGATCTGTAAGGTCTACATTCCCCCGCCAGGGCCTGAGTGTCTGTGGGGGGACCGCAATCTTGTCCGCGAGCAGATAATCGCACCATTCGGCGCCCAACGTGCCTGCAAAGCCCATGAACGACATCTGTATAGGAGCCGGACGCGCTGCAAATACCTCGTTCCTTGCGCCTCGGGTATACCCATTGAGGTTAATGAGAATGTGAATGCCGTCTGCGGCTACCTGGTTCACTACGCGATCAATCGACCAGGTAGATGCATCGTAAAAAACGGGTGCTTCCCGCTCAATCTGCTGACGATGCACGGAGCCATCACTGGTAGTCGTTGCATAGCAAAAGGCCTTGACGCGAAGTTTGTCATGAAAGCCGAAGACTGATTGCATGAGATGCGCCAAAGGATGATTATTAAAGTCGGAAGATATATAGCCAACGTTAAGATACGGCTTAGGTGGTGCCGGAGGATCATACACGTGAGCAGAGAGCCAAGGAGCCCGTAGTGTGGAGCATGAAACCCGTAGACCGTTGCGTTGAGAGATCTTGCGAATCTGCTTCGCAGACAAAGGGCAGGTAAACGTATGGAAAGGAAGCACAGTCGGGGCGCTGGGAATTGCCAGAGCTGCGGGCAGCTGTGGTCGCATTCGATGGCTGGAGGGAATGGATCGTTTTTCAATATACTGAGACCGATAGATCTGTCGGACCAGCTGCCTCGTGGCTCGTTCGATCAGTCGAACTACTTTAGCACCCTCCCATTGATTCCCAGCCCAGCCCTCGAGGGCGCTCCTGAGACCTCTGTGGTGCTGACCTTCGCCTTCCAGGCTCAATCGCTGAAGTAATTTTTCTATACCAATGCTGTGAAGGACACCTTTACCCCAACCCTCACCATCGTGTAACTGCTTCTCAACGATTGCAACGACACGTTCAATCCATCCAGAACTTGGAACAGAAGCCTTTTTAGAATCGAACAGGTCGCCACGCTCGTCAACGTGCCAACGATCTCGGTTGTTCATGAAATGATTGATTCCACCGCGACCACGCCAACTACAGACGGAGTTCAGCGCATTCGCAAGACCGCAAACAGCCTCTGCGAAATCGGGATTCGACGTGACAGCTCTCTTATAGTACTTAATCGCATCGCTTACTTTACCTTGATCTTTGACGGCATTCGCTAGATTAGCAAGGGCTATATCGAAATTGCCGTCGCACTCAACCGCCTTCTCATACATCTTGATGGCAGCATTTAATTGCCCGATGTCTTTGAAGAGGCTGCCAAGGTTTGTGTACAGATGAGCATGGTGTGAGTCAAGCTTCAGGCCATAATCGTAGTATGCAAGTGCTAGAGCAATCCCACTACCAGGCGTGACCCCGGGAACAGATGAAGTTTGCGAAACGGTAGGTTTCAGGGTCGACCTAGATCGAGTTGATTGCTGGACACCGGCCAAAAGGATGCCGACGTTGTTAGCAGTCGACGGGCTGGGTTGAAGCGATAGCGAGAGATAGTAGAGTGCCAGTATCTCCTGAACTCCAGAAGTTGCTCTTGGCGCGGTGGCCGCAGCTCCGCTAGAAGACATTCCATCCTGATAGATTTTGGCAAGAGAGAGGAGAGAATTACTGATTATTGACACTGCTGCCTTGTAGCCAAAGCCGTCAGGGACAGCCTCAAGGCCAGGGAGCCGACCTTGTGTAGGAAAGACAAGTCGTGAGGTTTCCAGCGCAATGTCAGGTGGAAGTAATATTGGCTCGTCCACACCATAATTTCCATGAGGGCTCCCAATACCTAAACGCGGCTGCTCTGAAAAGACGGCCAAAACTTGTTTGATTAAAGCTCGAATGCCGAGGTGACGTCTTCCGGCGCCAATCAGAATAGCCTCCTCGAACGCCTTGGCGGCTCCTGTATTATCTCCGAGTTGATACAGCATATTGCCTTTACCATGCACCAGAGCGAGCATTCGACCATTTTCGGACGGCGATATGGCGTATCCACTGGATCCGAACCCGCCGATAGCTTCGAGATCCGAGCTGTCCGAAATATATTTGCCGGCGAAAGGGCTACCGCCAGTCACCATGTTGCGCTGGGTTTGTGCCAAATTTGAGTCGTAATTGATTCGAAGAGCGTGTTCGACGTATTCGATGACTTTCACCGCTTCCCTTCCGCGATGACATTCATGCAAAAGACCGATAAGATGCTCAATGGCTTCAAAATAGCTGGGTCGAAGCTTCACAGACCGAAGCCAATACTGCTCAGCATCATCCCTCCTGTTAAGCGCAAGCAAGGTGGCCGCCAAATTCGACATGGCCTCTACATTGTCGGGGTCGCGTTGTAAAACTTTCAAATACCACTTCATAGCTTTGTTATAGTCACCCAATCCATACGCGAGACAACCTGTCAGAAGCATGCCATCCATCCACTCCAGGCCGCTCTCTTGACAGAGTCTGCTAAGCATTTCCATAGCGCATATAGCTGCAGCGGATGGAGAAGTCGCATGCATATCCGAAGAAAGATGAGGCGGTACATAACTGGATTGTATTGCAAGGGCACAGGACCGAGAACGTCCGTCATGTGACTGCCACCGCTGTCGAGACTGGTTACTCGGCAGAGAAGCGCAGTTTGCAGAGGACGGCTGGAATGCTGAGACCTGACCACCTGAGGAAAATTTCCCTGCGCGAATGGAAGCCAATGGTTGATTAAGAGTGCTATACTGGTCCTTCAGAGAGGCCTGCGTTGCTATATTTAGGTCACAGGATCGATTGTTACGGCCGTAGCTATTCGACCAGGATGGGTAAGGTCGCCGTGGAGGGTATATAGAGCAGCTAGATTGATGTTGTACCCCAGCATTATGCTGCTCGTTAGGGGGATTGCGCCGCGTCTGTTCAATGGAGGCGAGTAGGCCGCCGTAGATTCGATGGGCCCACATGAGGACTTTCTCTCTAAAATGGGCATTGCTGTTTGATACCGCTGGATCGTGATGCGAAGGCATAGAAGGCGTACAGTATCCAGAACTTGCTAACCCTGGATGACTATAGATCTCGCTAAATGTTCGAGCGCTCTGGTCTTTCCAGGCAGATGGCTTATTCCGATACGCGAGAGGAATGCTATGTTGCTGCTGCGTTGTAGCTGCCGCATGATTGTTGAATATAGGACTTACGTTGTTTACGCTATCATGCACGTGGTTTGGAGAGGCCAGTATTTCATGTGTACGCTCGTCAAGGACAGAAGCAGGTATGACCGAAGGATCGGTCACCTGAGTGTATTGAGAATCGCTATGGGCTTGTAGCCATTGGCCATAGTGACTGACAGCAGGCAGCTGCGGAGTAGACAAGTCAACAGTAGGTTCGGGTTTTTGATACTGAAACCTCGGGTCACGAAGAGGCGCAGGGCGGTAGGGCTCAAAAGCACCGTCTGGCCAGTACGGCCCGTAAGGTCCGGGACTGTGTATGGAGGTAGGACCCAAGCATGGCGGCCACATGGGCTGTAAGACTGTTGGAACATGTTGGCTCCCTGCTAGGTTATAATGGTGATGATGTGAGTAAGACTGGTCCAGGACGGAGTCTAAGCCTGCGGGTGGGACGCTATTGGATCTCCATCCTGAATCCACCTTTACCTCATCACTAGATCTTGCGCCTTGCACAGTCGTATTCGAGGGAACATTGCTGTTCAATTTCTGGGCACGTTGTTGTTCTCCGGCTCTCGAGTTGACGAAGTGGGCGTTTTGGGGCGCTGAAGGTTCGGTAAACCCCTGCGCCAGAGGGTAAGGATAGGTTGTCTGGCTGGAAGCATTCGACACAGGTAACAAGAGATGCTTCGTCGCATGTGGTCTCTTCGTCCACTCGACAGGACTCCCATCATATCCTGCTGCCAGGGTTCCATTTGGGGTCTTTCGTCGAAGCATGTGCTCTGAAGCTTCGGAGGTGGACGTATACTGTGTTCGAGGTGGTATTTGCTGCGACATTGCCAAGCTACTCCGTAGTGAACGAGGATATTGATGAGGCTTCTCCAACCTTTGTCGAAAGGTAGCATGCCGCATCTGACTGGGCTGATTGAGCTGCGGAGAGCTTTCAAAATGGGCCGACTGTACGTCTTTGGATTCATTATGACGAGGCGAGTATAAAGACTGTTGAAAATGGTGCTGCTGTTGTTGATGCGCAACTTCTGAAAACATGGCGCTTCCCTCTCGCCTTTTCACTCCTTAGACCCGAAAGTGACAAGGGCAAGCAAACAATGCACACCCGCTAGATGATGCCAGTGGTGCTTTCAATGCAGTTTGGTGTCTACACCAAGACTCATCGGTTGCAGCATGGATATGTTCCAATGCCTTTGCGACTTCTTGTCCAACGTTTCCTGCATGTCATTCTCCTGACCGGCCGAGGGTTGGCTGAGGTTCTCCTTGATTGGTGGGATTGCACGCGGTAAGCAGATGACGATGGAATCCGCAAGAGATCGGCCGGAGAGGGGGAGCGCTGGAACCGTTCGAGCAGGTATGCGTGTTTTGATTGCCAGTGGCAGAGGTGACTACCTGGGTAAAGCAGAAGGTAGAGAGAGGGTCAGAAGAACGGGAGAAAAAAGTCGAGGTCTCTCGTTCTCTCTTGGCTTGGCTGATAGAGACTTGGATCTTGAGAGAGGCGGCCGAGCTGCACTAGCTGCTGTCCGTGGCTTACCCCTAGCGCCCAGAGACCACCCCCCCCCACATAAAACGTGATTATGTTTGACGTTGCCGGACAGATATCCAACTGCTTATAACCGACGAAATTTACTTTACCTCGGTATAGGAAAGACTCGTGGAATGGGCCCACAGTCATGGGATGACGAGAGACAAGGAAAGGAAGGTTCCCTACGGCTAGGGGCCTGAGGTGCAATCCAAGGACAGCGCTGGTCCTTTTTTGAAGGAGCCTCACACAAGCGGCTTCCAACCAATGACTTTTGCCCGCGATCCGACCGTTGCGGGCTTTTTGCATTGGCTGCAGATCCAATGTGTGGATGCAATGTAGGCATCCGGTTGATAGGCATCCGGTTGATAGGCAGTCGATCTGAGTTCTGTGACACTACTGTTTGATAGGCATTTTCCCGCACAAACATTACTATTCGTTGGCTTTCAAATGGGTGCCTCACATTGCGCACCTCCCTCCCCGCTCCACTGGCAAGATTTGCCCTCTGTCCCGCTGATCATTGCCTTATGCACTACCTCTGCGCGGCGGGCTGCTGAATCATGCAACTGGTACTTTTGCATATTTCATGCATTGTAAGTAGCTTCTAGTAGTGCGCCATCTAATTACCTACACACCCTAAGAAGCAGACCCTAAGAAGCAGACACATAATGCATAAGACGTCCGTCACAGTCTCCTTCAAGCTGTAAAGGTGCCCCGTAAAGAACCTAACTTTGGGCCACAACATTCTCTGCGTCCATAACAGTAGTTGACGCTTGGCCTTGTCTACGGGTGCTACGTTACATGCTAGCTGTAAAGACTTCTTGAGACACCATATCAAAGGCGCTGAAGGTTGTGCCAGGCTGTTACCCAAAAAGAGCTGCCAAGGGCCATTCTTTCTATGGGGTTTCAGCTGGTACCTGAAACGGCCAGCCTGTCGAATCTGCATTAGCAAGTCCTTGGGGATTGCTTTTGGGGAATGACCTACTTCATCAGATGGTCCATGAAGCTCTGTAGCGACACATCGTCCGTGAAGATGGTTTGTGTTGAATTGCCATTTCCGTAGTTACTGTTGGTAGTGTGAGTTGTCGATGGGTTGAGCTTAGCAAGAAGGAAACGGGCCTGAGAGCCGCCTGCATCACAAATTATAAATCGAGGTAACGGAAATCGATCTTGCACCAATTCCTATGCAATAATTAGCCTCAGTTTGACACCAACCCCCCCCCCCCAACGAGAGTCTGCCTGGAAACCAGCTTACCCTTGCGTCTTCCTTTGGTTGCTCCAGTATGCTCTTGAAATTTTCGTAACCTTCTTGATCCTGATAGCCTGCCTTCCTCCATTCCGCCATCGTCTCGCCATGGAAAATCAAGATCTGGAAGAACGTGTCTAGAAGCAAGATGTGTGTCGGATGGATAGAAGCGGAATCGAGTAAGACAGGCACACTGCCTTCTTGATCAAAGGTATAAGAATCTAAGGTCGGCTGGATCATGACCAACGAGTCTCCGACGTATTCATGGTTGAGCACGTGTCGATAAAATGCTGTCTCATCAGGTGAACTGTTGAATACCTGCAGGAAATGGCTGCGACGAAGGTGGAACATGAATTGCGGGTATAAAGTAAAGTTCTTCTCGAGCCGGAAGGATGATGGATCGTCTTTTCTGTATTCTGCAAACCTCGAACACAGTCGGATGAGCATTCTGTCTACCCATCGAAGTACGTCTGGCCCGTCATCCACCTCTGCTTTGAATACCGCAATGCGGGACATGAGAACGGCGGCAGCTTCCTGATCGAAGGATTGGGCTATGGCCGGGTCACCAGCTGGTCCACTGAGGTTGCGCGCCACTGTGGTGACCCGAAGGTGGAATTGGCCGGAAGAATGCTGGTAGTAGGTCAAAAACTGCATCATGCCCTTTTGTGGGCCCTGCTGATGTTGCGCTGGTCCGCCTTGGTTCGCAATTTCGAAGTACAGTCCAAAGCTGGCGGTTGGATCAATACCGCACATCTTCCAAGAGCAGGTGTTACCGATTCCACATTCGGTCTCCCCCACGGAATTCGACTTCTTGTTGAGAGACACCGCATGCCCTATAAGGCCAGTGACCTTCAACTCCTTGGTCGTTAACACTTCCAACGACGCGTTGAACCCCATGAGCAGGTTATCTGAAGCATCTTTATCAAAGACTCGGACAAAAGACTGTTTGAACTGCGATGAGGTAAAGCTATCGGTGAGAATCATGTGACCTCCAGTGGAGTTAGAAAGACCTTTCATCTCAAGAAGTCCGACCTGGTCAAGACAGCCTGCGAAGATGTCGATGATATGACCGTTGTGGGATACTCGCTTCGCAAGATTGTCGTAGAACTTTTTGTGTTAGTAGTAGAGCCGCGTTCTGATATTGGAAGCTTACCTTCAGAGCCTTCTTGTAGTATTTGATATTATCCCGATCAATATCATGATGTGATCGTATTGGTTCACGTAATTCCGGGCCTACTACGAGGCCAGGCCCTTCTGTTGCTGGTCCTCCAGCGAACAACATAATCCTGCCACCGGCATTTTGAAATGAAGTCTCGAGTAAGCCCACTGCTACGCTCAAAGCGACCCCGGTACATCTCAGAGAACGTTTGTCGTTTGCTACTGGCCAAGGGTCCTTCTGAAGCTGCTCCAAAGCATTTGTGAGTTGAAATTCGCACTGCTGGACAGGCAGCAAGAATCTCGCAGTGGGTCCCATGACTGGGGCAGGCCTGCCTGGCTGGGGAGGTACATTGGTGCGCATGCTGGAACTGGATAGACCGAGCATCTCCTGGACCTGCTTTGCTGCGTAATCCTTACTCCCTCGGAAAACATACGACTTTGCGCACTCGGTATAGCCAAGCTCGTGCACTTGCGCCTGTGACAAGGTCAGTCTCGCATTCCAAACCAGCGCATTAGAAGGATTACCATCGTTCCAAACGTTATTAATCCTACGAGAGCATTCGGCGGCAGAAGGCTGAGGCTCATGACCAAGGAGTCTTTCAGTGCCTTTAGGCTGTCCTCCTCCTGACATGTGTCGACAACATAGACGAACAGTGGGGGGGCTGGTGCCGGTCGTGCCAGCCTATACTCAATCGTCGTGCTCGCTGGGTGCAGCTCGGGGGGTATGTTATCTTGTGTGATGTCTTTGTAGTGAGCAGGCAGTCCGTTCCGGGATAAACAGAAGGGACATATCCATAACCGAGCTCTTGTATCGACAGTCCTGAAACTATTAGCTATCATGCATGAATCTAAATGTTAGACGCTACCGTACGCAAAGGGGTTAAGCACAGCTCGGCAAGGAGCCTTGCAAGTGATGGGCTCATATTGTAGCAGCGGTGTGTCCGGCTTCTCCTTCAAGGGGGTGTAGAGGGCTCCAATGGGTACAACAAGCCGGGAGGCTTCCTGGATCGACATGAGTAGTGGCCGGCAAGATGGGCGGATACCAGACTTACCATGCGAGTACTTGGAAATGTGTTCCAACTTAGTCTGATGCCATCACGGTCCTCGACCTCGCTCCACTGGTCTTTGAGAGCTTCGTAGTCCATATTTCCCCCAGTCCCTAGAACGACTCAATGAGGAGGTGGAACGCAATACGGTGTGTAGTATTTCGACATATGAAGCTTCCAACCACTGGCTTAGCCACCTGTGGCATTGGGAAAGGCAGTCGGTGCACGGGGACCGGGCGGGAGTCTAGGCACGCTAATCTTACTCGTATTTACGCATGAGCGCAATTTACCCAACTTATCACAGCCTTCAAATTTTAAGACAAGACTTCGCGTATAAATTTGTTCAGGATAATGAACGGATACTCTTTGCTTACAGATGTATTTTGCCACAGTGCTTCTCTGCGAAGATATCGTCAAGGACGTCTTGCAATCGACCCTGAAATTCGAAAATTGTACTTGTCAAAAAGCTGCGCTAATGAAACATACTAGTGGCCTCGAAGAGGCTAGTAAGTCCCGAGGATTAAGGTATCTTACTGCTGCCATCTCTGAATTTTTCATCATCTACAAACGTCGCCAGTCAAAACACATTACTGATGACGATCTTAGGTCTCCAATCCTTTGGTCGTTTTCGCGCTGAGCGAAGATTTAATGCTACCCATGGCTGGGCGCCTAGGTTTGATAGGAGTCGTTCCGACTCTCATGAGAACACTGGGAATCAGCAGAGGTCACATACTCTACAATCGCGGGAAAGGCCTAGATCAGCTACAGAAGAAAGATATTGGTATGGCGAGGATGACATGGTAATGGGCACCTCAAGTGGTATTAGTCTAGGAACATGCTATCGAATACCTTCAGGCATCTAGCTTTTTATCTGACCACTAGCCACTTCTCCGTGATCTCCCAAGCCTTCTCCATATTGCCGCTTGCTGCCCAAAGATTTTGCAAAGCAAAGGCTGCCTCTTGTGCAATATCTTCTGCTCGGCAACCTGACTCCTCAACTTGCGCAGCCGCGCTCATGGCTAGGCATCGTTCATAGTATGGAATCGCGAGATGGGTCAAGCCCAATAGGTGATAAGCATGAGCCACATTGTACTCCGCTTCCTGCTTCTCTGAGGATCTACTAGACCGTTGTCGGCAATCGTAGTACTCTAATAGAAAAGCCAGGCCTTGCATCAATATATGGTGCCGGTTGTCGGCTTGTCGCTTGAGCGCATAGTGTAGGTATCCCAGGGCTAGGGAAAATTTGATCATAACGTTTGTTGGGTCAAGAGCGAGAGCGCGCAAGAAATAGTCTGCGTTGAGTATCAGGAGTAAGCCATTGCGATAATCGGCCGCCAAGCCTTGGATGGGACGTTCAGACGTACTAACTGCGTAAGCATAGCTTTTACCAGCGTAAAGTATATGACCGTAGAGCATGAGCAACACAACATCCATCTCTTGAGCTCGTATTTGATTGCCGTTGTCGTCTTTAGTGGTGTAAGAAGCTCTCTCTTGGAACAAGCTTTTGCGGCGACTGTCGCCTAACAGGGAGAAGTCCACGGCCTTGAGCTGTCGAAGTATATATTTCTGCGAGGGACCACAGTTGTACCAAGAATTCTCAGTATCAGAAAGTCTGTTGAGTGCCGAAAACAGGCGGTAGCCATCAGTGACGAATTGATACTCCTTCATGAACCAGCGAGCAATATTACAGAGTGTTTCGTCGTCGTTTCCAAGTAAGGCACATGCTGTATACGTATTAGTCGTCAAAACACGAGATCTGGGAGCATACTCACTAAACCAACAGACATGGATGAGGAAAAGCGACTCTGGCGAGTGGTAAAATACATTAGCATGGAAAGCGGCAGCGATGATCTCGTATGAAGACAGGATGTTTCCCCCGTGTGCAAGCGTCAAGGCATACGCGAGGAAGATTTCTAGCCAGCAATCGAACGGTATTCCGCAGTAATCGGCGGGAATGACGATCTGATCGCCTTGTGCTGTTTCTGAAGTGACTGGTTAGCATGATGGAGCGCGAAGCACGCTGGACCGTCGAATATACCTAAGTGTGACTTTGATTGTTCTGCGAGAGCATCCAACTCGTGTTTTGGTCTTGCCGCCATCGACCGAGCTTCTCTGGAATATCCATAAAATTTATGGTGCTTGTCAAGCGGGTAGAAAACCTTGTTGTCTTTGAATCCTTGAATCAATGTCTTCGTAATTGCCATCCATTCGGTCTTCGAGCTTTCATCGCCATTTCTAGCTTGCTCTGTGAGAGCCTCTCTCCGGAGGAAAAGAGCATTAACATCTTCCTCTTGGGCTTCCTCCCTTTCGAGAGAAATCTGCTTGGCTGACTGAGGCACCAGACGGGGGGCAAGCATAGTCGTTGCCCAAGAAGGTAGAGCCTTACTTTTTTTTGGCTGCTTTGCTTCCTTTCCTCCTACACGTTTTCTTGCTTTGTGCTGTTTTACCGAGACTACCTCATCGGTAGTTGGTGCTCCTTTTGGAGACACGTCTGATTCTGAGCACATCTCTAATAGTCTTCGCCGTGCTTCTGGGCTTCCTTTGTCACTGTCGACAACAATCATGTAGCAGTCTTCGGCTTCGGTCCTAAGTCCAATTGCTTTATAGCATGAAGCCATTTCCATGAAGAACGCCGCGTCCGCATACTCGCTGACCTTCTTTATTGGTTCGTAATATCGGAGAGCCTCGTGAAAGTATTTTCTCACCCTTAAAGCATTTGCTGCTTCGCGAAAAAGATCAGGGTAATCATAGATCTTTGCTCCATTTTGGTCATCTTCTGGGTCAAGACACTCGAAATGGTTCTGCAGTCATGTCAGCCAATGGCGCGAATCAATTAAAGGCGAGGTACTTGCAATTGCTTCCATGAGATTTCGACTTTCAGACTTCAATCGGAATACTCCCAACTTGACACGCAACTCTAGAGGCAAGCCATCGCCGTACGAGGTCACGTCATGTTCACCAGGCACAAATCCTGGCACGTCATTACGACGGGGCTGATCTTCGAGGTCCCATTCTCTGTCGTCCTCATCAAACGCTTCCCAACATTTTTCTTTTGCACGACCAAGTAGCCAGCGAGATAATGTTTTGAGCACAGTAATACCTTCCTCACACCGTCGCTGAACACCGTACAGCTCACAGACAATGTTAACGTCTGACCAAGTGAAACTGGTAACGTCACAGGGCTCAACTAATTGAAAATAATATATGGTGGCTTCGTAATGACTCAAAGCATTGTCAGGCTCGTCAAGGTCGATGTAAATTTCCGCGAGGTGACGCAGGACTGTCGTATCGTGCGGAAGCTGTTTGATCAGTTGCTCATACTCGTTGGCAGCCTTCCTTTTGTGGCCCAATTCATGATTCAATGCAGCTCGCTGGTATCGTGCTTCGACATTCGAACTGTCGACGTAGAGAATGCGGTTGTAGCAGTAAATCGCGTCTCGAAGTGTGGAATCTCTGTCATCGTCATCACGCTCCAGAATCAGACGTGCGATTCTTGACCACATCTCAGGGTCTCGCGGCCTGGTGTGTGCTCCGTTCCATGCAGCACTAAGCGCCTTCGCTTTGTCACCACGAGCAGCGTGGATCTCTGAGAGTAGGTTGTGAGCGGGATACATTTCAGGGTTGATGAGCAATGCCTGAAGCGTGAGATTCTCGGCTTCTTCGTAATTTTGATCAATAAAAGCCATGGTAGCCTGAGAGTGTAGCGCCTTGAATTCTGGTGTTGGCTCGATGGGCTTGCGCAAGCCCTTTTTCATTCCCTTACCTCCTCGCCCAACCCTACCACCGCGACCTCTCCTTCCCTTCCTAGGTGCGCTTGAATTTCTACCAGATACATCAGCACGTCGGCCGGATCTCTGCCTTTGACGCAGCCGAGTTTCATCCCTCCGGCCTTTCAACGCCTCTGCATATGAGTCTTCATCCGATACGTTTTCATCTTCTCTACGTGGATGTTAGAATGTAGATCTCTCGAGTTTCGAGGGAGGAGCTAAATTACGTTAGACCCGCTTCAGACTCTTGGTAGTCGGGATCCCAGGTCACCTCCTTGGCGGGCCCATGAGCAACACTATCGAGAACCTCGCCTCCGTCGTCTCCAGCTTTCTGAGGACTAGAATAAACCCCAGCGCGTGAGATCTCCTCCAAGGATTCCGGAGGCAGACCGTGTAGCGCTGACGGTAAATAACCGTCATCTTCTCTCCAGGGGTATTTGGTGACATATGCAGCGTAGTCTGGGTCTGGATATTCGTGTGTTGCGAACATGAGGCCGTAATCTGATTGGTCAAATTGCTCCATCGGAGGCTTCAGCGCTGATTTTCAAGTGTTTGAGCTATTTCTTGCGCAGAACGCTTCTGATACACGGAAAGGAAAGCGCATCCCATTTGTCATATCTTAAGACTGCTGAAGGACGTGAGTCATTTTCAGAAAGAGAAGGATAGATGGGTCTGCAGGTCAGGGATCGCTGAATCTACTTTGGCGCGGCAGGGACATGTTCCAAGATCCGTGAAAGTGTTGAGAAATTGAAAGACTGATACTCGTAGAGCCGGTGAAATCAGAATAAATGGGTCGAAATTCTTGTGGCAACGCTGGAGAACCTTAACAGAGCCGTTCCAATTCTCAGGTCTATCCACGTCTGTGCCAATTCTTCAGATGGAGCGCTTCTGAAATGAATCCCAGAAGAGAAGGTCAGATTTCTAATACTCACGGCAGAAACAAAGTATCGTCGTCAAGACTTTTACATACCGAATTAATTGACTTGTAAGGTAGTAGTTCATTATAAAGTAGTATCGCATATAAAGTATGGTTCCAAATAACTATTTTGAAACCACTGAGGGTTTAATCATATAAAGTAGATATTTCTGAGACGGTATATAATTACTTAGTCATCTACATAGCCAATCAAGTACCCCCTTCAGCTGCCATGCTTCTACCACCACTATGCATTGTAGAGCCTCTTCGTCGTAGTTCATATAGTAGATAGGCTCGATATCTATAGAAATAGACTTATTAAATAAAGGTGATACGATTGAGGTAGTAAAAGTAGCTAAAGTAGCTAAAGTTGAGGTATTGATGAAGAAGATATCTAAGAAACACGTCTTGACGCGGATTAATTTGGTAGGTAACACGCTATTCATCCCTGTTTCTCAGCTTACTAACTAGCGGCGACATGTATAAAGTCCTACTTTAGCGAGTAGCAGCGGCCTTCTTTTACCGTATATATACGGTAAATATACGATTATTTTATTAAGATGTGTTAGTAAGCCACCTCCGCCTTTAAACGATAAAGAATAAAAAACGAACTAAATAATTAACGATTATATATCTTAGTACGTATTAATAAAAAATCGTATTAAATCGAAATAACTGTAATATTTTTAATACGTTTTATATATTAAAACCGTTGCGACACCGTTACGACACCGTTCTAAAACCGAGAAACCGTTATAAAATCAAAACCTATTTCGAAAAGAATAAAAAAAATTAGAAACTCTACAATGATAGTTAAGGTCTATTAAGAAGAATAAGATATTTAGAAAATTAATTAATTTCAATAAGAAATACATTCGTTGATTCGAATTACGGGACTATCTTACTTTATAATTATTACTCGATTAAATTTACTTAAGCTAGAGAATAGTTTATTTAACTATATAAGATAATTTACGTAAATCTATTATTACTAAGATATCTATATAAATATCGTTATTCTACTAATTTATAATTACTATCGTAATATATTAGATTTCTAGATTTATCGTATTAAAAATTAATACGCTTTTTTAGAGAAATCGATTTACTATTATTTTACGAAAAGTACTATTAAAAATATATAACGTACTTAAAAAATTTTAGTATTACGGTATATTACTAAGTAATCGCTAAAAGACGATAATTTTTACTAATTTAGTATAGATACGGTTATCGTAACTTATAGTTCTCCGCTAAGATACTAGTATATAACGCTATTTATATATAAAATACGATTATAGTAGTAGCAAATACCATCGACACCATATAAAACTGCTATCTTATAAGTCAATTAATTCCATATAACATAATGCCCTCGGTAGGTACTTATTCTTGGCACACGAGAAAGTACGGACTTTACCTTACTGTACGAGAAAATCAAAACAGCTACAGTAGTCCTAAACCTTAACTTCCAACCTAATTTACTTCCCGGCGCTTTTCAGCTCTCCGTCTCACGCACCATCTTGTCGAGACGGTCTCCCCCATGCCCGGTTTCGTTATCCCACCGTTTCCGATCCTCCTCAACTGTCACTACTCGCATCATTCTTCCTGCTTTGATCCACTCGTGTTGACTCTATCTGCTCCTGAAAACGCAAGCGTTGACAGCGAGGCTTACTCTCATATTCAGACCTTCCGCCTGATCGGATCTTGGGTGCCTAGTTGTTTTAACTCACTCTGCGGAGTTCACGACCCACATCGCCTCTCGGACTGGTATCCAAGCAGGTGGTATTGCCCTCAAGTCGACCAGAGTCCAAAAGCTACATCTCTCAAGGTGGACCCCGCCTACTAATCTTGACCCCACCACCACTCCTAAAAAAACAACATATCCGCCAATAAGCTCCATACTTCAAACTCCCTCCTGCGTGCCGGCAAAGCTTCTTTGAAGACGGCAAGATCTGCACGGCACATTTGCGTCTGCATCTACCATCACGTCGATCCATATCCCGCTTTGAAAGCTCGCTCGACGGTCGGCAGCTTTTTCACTAGGACCAGCCACATAGAGTTGATCAGAATCTCTGTCGGCCAAGATGTCTGGCAATCAGATCATTGGGAATCGGAACAGCACGCCTGAGGCGTCAAGCTCCCTTCGGCCCCCTACGTCTCGAAACCTTGGCACCGGCCATCACCTACGAGCTTCTGCTGACATGGGAGCATTCTCCTCTTCTCCGTTATCAGGAAGGAGCATCAGACCTGCTTCTGAAATGATCTACAACCAGTCACAGCAGTATGACGCTGCGGACAAAGCTGCCGAACAGTGGATAGCTGAAATTGATCAATGTGAGACTACTCTGGAAGAAATGGCGGGTGCTACAACAGATCAAGATTTTAAAGATGAACTAACAGCGATTGAGCAATGGTTCCGAGTTTTGAGTGAAGCCGAAAGGACCGCGTCCTTGTATTCACTCCTCCAACAGGCCACCAAGGTACAGATTCTATTCTTTATTCAGACATTGGAAGAAATGCTTCGGAAGCATCCTATGCCGGGCATACTTTCTCCCGCAAAGGTTGGAGACCAGGGTGCGTCAAACCCCTGGCTCGGAGATCCAAGTGCAGCTAATGATAATTCAGACAACATGTCAAATCGGATGAGCGATGCTATGGGCAAGGAAGGCTCTCGACACTCTCTCGGTCGACCTTTGCCGTCGCCCGGTAACAAAAGAAATTCGGGACTGGATCCATCTACGATCACTGCTATGTTTCCAGACGCGGCCGCAGCTATCGCCAAGAAAAAAGCCGAGTATACTCAGCATACGGGAAATGCACCAACCTCAAATCGCAACAGTGCCGCGTTTGGGGAGCGCTCATCCTTAGTCGCGCCATCCATATCAGAGCCTACAGACAACGCAAAAGAAAACATTATGCAGCCTAATCCCACACCATGGGGCCAGCGGGCTGCCGAGAATCGTCCCAAGTCGTCCTCAGGGCAACAACCCATGGGTCAATTCAGTCAGCCGCCTGCATCCGCCGGATTACGTTCTCCACATCAAATGCAACTATCAGGCCATAGCAATGTCCAGACTACAAGCGTTCATGCCCCAGAGAACGCCGGCGATCTACCCATGCTTTCACCATACAACATCGGAAATGCAAGTTGGGCTTCCATGTCTAACACGCCGATGGCGCCCAATTTCAACACCCAGCAGGCCGCGACACAAGCAGACATGGTAGCAAACGCGACAGCTATGAAGCTTGCTGCCCTATCGACGGTCAACAACCGCATAGCGTTGGACGATGTTCGTAAATATCGTCGTACGAGGTCAAATGATGGCGAAAACAGTGCGAGCCAGATGCCTATGTCTCCCGCCTTGCCTCAGAATGTGCTGGTCGTGAACGAAAGCGGACAGTTACTGAACTCGCAGCCATTGAACGCGCAACAGCTTGCCGCAATCCAGGCGCAACAACAAGCTGCTTTTGCGGCCCAACGTTCTAGACCCGATTCTCCAGGTATTGCCATGCACGGCGGTGGCTTCGGCAACATGACTTTCGCCTCGCCGCAAAATAATGGCTATCTGGCAGCTTACGACGCTTCAGCCGGGCTGAGCGGCGGTATGGGTGCTCTAAATTTAGGTCAGTTCGGTATGGGACTTGGCAATAGTCATGAGGGATATCTCTCTGATCATTCGGAAATGGCCAGAGGCAGATCTCCGAGGGGCAGAAGGGGGAGCTCAAAGCCACCAGAGGATCCAACTGATCCGAGTTTACTGCAAGATATCCCCAGTTGGTTAAGAAGCTTGAGGCTTCATAAGTATACCGACAATTTGAAAGATTACAAGTGGACTGATCTAGTAGAATTGGATGATAAAGGCTTGGAGGATCGCGGTGTCAATGCGTTAGGCGCAAGGAGGAAAATGCTAAAGGTCGGTCGATTGACCTCACATCCTTGTCTTCATGTCTAATGATGTCAGGTTTTCGAGCAAGTCAAGGAGGCAAAAGCTGAGGGCAAGCTGTGAGGCCTTGACAAACGTGCCTTGGAGCTGTGTTTCCCCAAAATGATGCTCCACATGGTAGAAGCCTCAGCAAAATGTCGACCGTAATAAGGGAACCGATTTCCTGACCTCTCCTCCTAGGAACCTCTAGCAAAGTACTGTACACTGGCCCATCTATAATTAATTCAAGTGTATACCCGTGAGGAAGCAACGGTCAAGCAGCGTGAAATGTTTATCGCTACGAGCAACTAGACATTCGAGTATCAAAGTTGAGCTGCCCAAACATAGACTCAACGTTGTAACAAATCTCTATACAATGCGTGATTGAAGTTCGCTTAGCTTTACTCAGCCGGTTTCCATGGAAACGTTGGTTTGTTGATTTTTTGATTCTCCCAATCATCCATGTGCCTGAATGTATTGCGTACTCAGAGGCTATTGTTTTTTTTGTCTTCTGACCTTGGTTACACTTTGATACATACAATGCTCCAATGCCCCGAGGCTACCCCTTGTCTCATTTTGACCACCTCTGCATCCCTCAAGCCATTGACTTTCAAGCCCTACGAGCCTACGGAGGAACTACATTTTACCACCGATGTCCAACGCGTAATGCAGAAAGCGCCACCTAGAAGGAGGAACTCCACCCAGCCTCAGGCACAGTCCCAAAATCTTGTCGTACAGCCCGCTGAAACCATTAGTAACGGCGCTGCGAAGGCGAAACACCTAAGTGACCAAGAAAAATTTGATAGGCAATCGAATACTGACAATTCGATGGGTTCTGGAGCGAAAATGCAAGCAATGCTACCGGCAAGACGCTGTGTCTCCGTCTTACATTCAGAGCGCCAGCCAGACGACTCTACCACAGTTCCAAATCAAGGTAAGGGCATTAACCAGCAAGATGATAAGGACATCCGAAAGAAACCGCGAAGACGGACTATATGGGTACCTCCCGAAGATACGACAGTTCTCACGATACATCCCAGGCTTCGATCTGATGCGAGGAGTCTGAGTAAATCTTCACTAAAGGTCGTCAATCAATCCGATGCTTGGAAAAGACGGCAAAAACAGCCACTTGCCGCGGCTCTAAGACGAGCTCCATTGCAACCGACGCTTAAGCCTTTACAAGAAAGGGAAGACCAACAGGGTTCGTACATTTCGATGTAATCTCTTCTCGTTAAACCGAAGGCTGGGTCACAAGATATGTTTCGAGAGCAGAAGACTCTTTGTGCTCCTCAGATCTGTTTTACAGCTCAAGCACCTGGCTTGAAGAAGCGATGTTGACTTCAAAGTGTGCGCAGATATAGCTGGAAATGGACCGGGAAAGGAAAATCTGCTTCCGCTCACTGCTGCGATGTCCCGTGACAAGATCCATAAGGGTTCGCAGATTAGAGCAAGGAGAGTCCCATTATGCGAGGGTGCATCCAGATGTGCTGCCTATCGTTCGGATGCTTTGCCTTTCTCTGATCCGTCCCAGGCGGCACGAGAGCAATCACAGAGCACTGCTGAGGTGGGTTTCAGCAATGACCAGCCCAAAAAGGCCACCCGGCCTTTCAGAAAGCTTGAGATAGTCAAAGAGCAGCAGAAGTCCACGATTAACAAACGAAATACTCTTCATTACGGTACAACATGGAAAGCATCAGCGGACCCGCACATCAACAATTCTGCATCCCAGCCGCCACCTACACTGATCGCGTCTGTGCTGCGCAAGGTAGCCTCGTCAACAGAACAGAAATATCCAATAATGCATGAAGACGTCGAAAGACCGGAAATATTGGAGGATACTTGGCTAACTGACCAAGAAGCGATCCTCGCTCAGTGCGTTAACGGTCTTTTCGAGACCATAAACAATCGGGATCATATGAGTTATGGACATCAGAGGCGAACGCTCTTGAAACTTTATCAAGGAGCTGAATGCTCCCTTCTCCATGGACGACTAAAGGCATCCCTTCTATATGGGTGCCTTGGCCGGCCAAAAGATTCTTTTAATGCTTCATCATTGAAGAGCGATGTGGGGATATGCCGAAGTTTCATCAGCTTATGGGCCCGAAATTACAGTCTTGACATGCTGAGTGCCGCAGCTGAGGTGGTGGTAGGCCGCGAAGCTCTAGTCGACTCGCCGTGCCCCAAGTCTGCGCATACCCAGAAAAACTGCAAAAAGAGTCTGGAGGCTTTCTTGGACTCTTATCTTCTCCGCAATGAAGATGCACCTGATGCTGAACAATCGTCTCCCGCTTGGTGCTGGCGGCGAACAATGTTACGAAGCATGATGGTGATTTATCTCCTCGACAAAGCCAAGCAGATGAACATAATCTCAACAAACCTCTATCAAGCATCTTCGACTATCAAGTCTTCGCTTGCTTTCCTCAGAGAGCTCATTGCATTGATCCATCCATCTGCAGGAAATATCTGTCGACTTCTAAATTCTTTGGATTACCACGTTCACCACACTCAGTATCCCCTATCCGACTTTTCCTACAACATCGAGAATCTGGCAACTGATCTCCGAGATGGGGTAAGATTGACGCGACTCGTAGAGCTTCTCTTGTATCCGCTGGGTTCGCGCACCACGCTCGAAGAAAAAGTTACGATTGCAATGCCTAAAGGCGAAGTGTTGACAACCATGCTCGAAGAAGGACAATCCTTGGTTCTTTCGCAGCATCTAAAATATCCATGCACGGCAAGGGCACAAAGAATTTACAACGTGCATATAGCCTTGGGTGCTTTGCGCGCAGTCCATGAAGCCGGCCAAATTGCAGAGGACTTGAGTGCCGAAGAGATCGTTGATGGTCACCGAGAAAAGACTTTGACTTTGCTGTGGGCATTATTGGGAAATTATGGCCTGGACAGTCTTGTAAACTTTGATGAGCTTCGAAAAGAAATTCGCAGACTTCGGAAAGCTGATGATAGCATGAGCGAGGATGAATCAGATGTCGAAGGAGATTGCAGTGGAACGAGGGAAGGTTTCCAGAAACTCGCGCATCTACTGAGAGCATGGTCCGGAAGCATCGCTCGACGGAACGGTCTTCGAGTTCTTAATTTCACAACGTCGTTTGCAGACAGCAAGGTTTTTGCAAAAACAGTGAACGAATATTTGCCTTGCCTTTCCGCTATTGTTCCAGTTGAATTTGCCGGTAAGAAATGCCAACTGGACGCGAGGTTAAGAGACATTGGATGCAGCACTTCGTTCGGTAAGTCCTTTACTGAGCGCAAAAGCTTACCTTAACCATGTGCTAAGCTTATGCAGCATCTATCTTCAGACAACGTGAGAGGGATCGGGTTTGTAATCGGGACTTTACCGTTGCTGCCTTAGCTTTCCTTGCCTCTCGATTTCTTGACGCATCGAAGAGGGGCAGAGCAGCCGCGGTGATTCAGCGTACTTACCGACGGACCAGGAATCGCAGAACTCTCGGACAGAGGTGCAGACTATTGAAGCTAGCTCACGACTGCAAAACGGTTCTGGAGACCAGAAACAAGATTTTGAAAGCAGCGCGAGTATTACAGGGGGCGTGGAGGGGTCATGTGGAATGGACGAGGGAGCATGGGATTGCTTCTACAAGGCCACAATCATGGACTAGGGGAACAGACCACCAGATAGAGGCGACGGAAGAAAACGTAGATATTTGGCTCCTTTGAGTGTATTGTATGTCTGTCCTGCGTTCGTGAGGACAGCAGTAGGTTAGTAACGGGTAAATTACAAATTCATACCCCAAAACCTTGGATCCTTACAAATTCATACCCCTAATTACATTTTCATACCCCTCCACCAAATCTTGGGGTATGAAAATGTAATTTACCATTCTTTGGGGTATGAATTTGTAATTTATCAAACTACGTCTTTGAGTGCCCGGCGTTCAACGCCTTTAAAGAAGCCCCGGGAGCCTTAAAAAACCCCTAGAAAATTGAACCCCAAATTTATCGCGGATTGGGGTGAGTTAGGGATTTACAACAGTAAGAGCTCGCCTTAGCCTCGGAGCGAGGTTTCGACGAGTTACACGGCGAACCCTAGAGGTCTTCAGTTCGGGGCTCTCGGGGTCGATCCGGGCTAATTTCGCAGCCCCCGAAGACCTAACCTCAGCGCACTATGGTAAATTACATTTTTATACCCCAAGGAATGGCGAATTACCGATTCATACCCCATTGGGGTATGAAAATGTAATTAGGGGTATGAATTTGTAAGGATCCAAGGTTTTGGGGTATGAATTTGTAATTTGCCCGGTTAGTATCTCGGAAATTTAGATTCAAAGGGATGGATTATGTTCCACCGCGGTTGGGCTTCGGCCCAATCCTCCTCCCGATGGGTTTCTCGATAATGAGATAGACGATATTATCAATAAAGGATAAGTGAGTCCTCGGCCAGAACGAGAGGTGGAGTGGCGAGAAATGCAAGACGATAAGATAATCGTTTTCAAAACCTACACGTAAGGTAAAGAGGTACTAGTACTGCAGTGTGGTTATGGACCTGTCAAACATCATGAATTGTTCATACAGTGATACCCCCCGTTAGTGATTGTTTGGACGCGGGTTCAAGACACATAGCAACGGCATCAGGTATGTAAACCGTACTTACCTTAAATACCCTACTTTTACTACTACTAGGTCCACATCGTGCGCACGAGGGGCACATCCTACCTAGTGGTGGAAGTCATCTCCGTGGACATAGGCTATAACCTAGGCCGTTCGAAAGAAAGTAGAAGAAAATGGTAGGGTCTTCGACCTCACAAGTGTCGCTGAATGAAGCTTTAGTGTTGGAGACGCTTAGTGGCATGAAGAGATTGACTTACTCAAGGTATTCCGGGTGTTATCGAGCCGCTCAAGTAGTGATCCATGCAAGGGAGAAACCAAGAAGCGAATTCTCGCTCTCGACCTCCCGAGCGTATCTGATTTCGTCAAGCCGTTGCTAATGAGCTGTGCATTACTGGGCTAATCAGCCGTGCAACATATCGACGCTTTCCATGTTCTGGACTCTCAACCATGGCATTGGCAGTCGCTGATGGCCGATATACCATACCGTCCCGTGCCACCAATAGCAAAATTATCCAGATGATCTGGATGCATCAGTTCGGCCTCGTGGATCTCACGGCCACGCAGCACGTTACAAGCCCCTTAAGTAAAGCCGAGTCTCCAAATCCATTGTACAGCTTTTGCCATCCTTGATCCCCTCTCGGTATATTGCCAAAGTCGGCCAATGTAACAAGAGGTATATGACGCCTGCTCTTGCTTCGGTGGCGTCGACCTCGAGTCTATCCCATCGTCTGGCAGGGGGTAAAATTCAGGGGTTCAGCCCTACCGGCCTGACCCTACGAACCACCAAAACAATGCGTCTACCAGACATCGGATGAAAGCCAAATAGCCTAAAAAACCAATAAACATGCCTCGCAATAAGGTGGCAAATGATCTTGATCACGTGGAAAAGGATCCAAAGCCTACTTGCCACTCAGTTATTTGCACACTCCGAGCGACTTACCGGCTATCCCAGTCCAGTCAAAGTCTCTCTATCAGCACGAGTACACCCCGCAGTTATGCGCGATCATGGCGGGCTAGAACGTATGTGGGACAAGGCCAAACGATGCGTAGTTTGCTTGAATGCAGGGCGAAAATCGGAGAAACTTGCAAAGATCAGGAAGCCACTATTGGAATTATCTATTAATACCGTCAGAATACCAGATAAGGGCCAAAGAAAACGGCCTCAGCAGACCCCAAGAGGTATATATGACTGTAAGCTATGTGGAATAGCGATATGTAATCATATTACTTGTTGGAAGGAGCATTTGGAGGCCATACCATGTAAATAGATTTTTGGTGGTAGGTGCCAAGACATTTTACCCGCAAGTCGCCAGACGATGGTATAGCTTCGACTTCTTGAAGAAGGAGGAAATCGCAACGATGGCCACATTGTCCTCTCTGCCTCCTGAGATATCCCGTGAGGTGCTCCGCTATCTACCCATCCGCTCTCTCCGCGATTTGATCTAACGTCGAAAACAAATCATGCTCTCCAGTCGTGCTGCCTCTCGAGTTTGCGTCTCGGTGTATTCCATTCAAGGCTCGGTGGCATGGTTTCTCTTATGGAAGCGACAGCAGATCGGAGTTGTCTCCACAGCGTGCAGATGATTCTTCCAAAGGATGAATCACGGCCCAAAGTGAAAGCGATCTGTAATCAGAATCTCCGCATCGGCAAAGTTGTCGATGCATATCAGCAAACACTTCGGGATTTTGAGGTCGCCTTGTGGGAGCTTCATGACCCTTCAGCCTGGTCGATTGCTCAGCTCAAGAACCCCAAGCGACTATCGATTAGGCTTGATCATTATCATACCAGATTCCCAGGTATTGAGCGGCAGTTCTGGGAAAGCTCCCCTCGTTCCACGGTCTGGAACAATCTAGCTTCCAAACCTGAAAAGACCGCATTGGGCTGTCTCCGAAGTCTCTATCTGGAGCGTGCAGGAATCACAGACTATCAACTCGCTACGGCGCTGAAAAGCAACCCCATGCTGACAGAGCTACGGTTCCGGAAATGCCTTACTCTGACCGACAGGACTTTCAAACTTTTCGCTGAAAGCAATGTTGGCCGGCATATAGAGACGTTGTGTCTCATCAAGAGCTACAGAGATGAAATTAACGATAGGCTCTTGGAGCACACTGCGAAGCTAACACACCTAGAAGTATAACGCTTCTGATGAAGCCCCACTAAAGCTGTCAGGGCTGATCATTTCTTCTAGACTCTGTTACTCTATGGCTGTACTAACGTTGACAGTGTATTTGTGAAAAAATTGAAGGATGGGCAATGGCACATTCCTGATTGGACCCTATCGAGCACGCTCAGTTGCCCCAAGCCGAATGTAGAGATCGACCCGGCGTATCTGAGATGAGGCGTCTAGTCACTACTTGCTCGTACGCTAACTGAAATCCTCGTTATTGCTCTGGCTTGGGGAGATCATGGCACACTTGAACAGAATAGGTGCATGGCATATCATATAGGCTTCGCTGGCATGGTATTTATAATGAGATTCTTTGAATGAGACTTCTAGCAACGTTCAGAGAGCGGGATCACCGATCCCTGTAGAAGCCAGAATGAGCATGATATTCATCTTTCAATCCACCATCTAGGGGGGAAGTATCGCCTTACAACCCCAAATCGGGCCTGGCCAGCATTGCTCTCGGCGCTCTGGATTTCAAACAGACCTCTCTTTCTGAGGACACTGAGTAGGGCGACACGCATGACTTCTTGAGGCGGGGGGTTTGTACATGTAAGGAAAGAGAAAGGATGGTACCTCGGTAGATAAACAGGGTGTACATCGATTACGTCCGTAGCCGAGAGATCTTATGTAGACCACACACTGTCACGACAAATTCCTGAACTCCAGATTGCCAATCATGGCTACACATGTCGAGCAAGATTGGGGCACCGCCTTTTTCTTGCCCTCTGCCGTAGAGCGCGCTTTACAGCAAGGCCTCGTGTGGCAAGTACGAGCGGGTTACTGTAAACACTCTTCTATTCTGTTTGCATCTATTCAATGCTTTAAGACGCTGGGAAACGGTGGTGCAGGCTAAGCCTTTCAAAAAACCGAGGGTCCTCTAGTTGTGTTGACCACGGCGTAACATAAGTGCTCAATGAATGGATATTATCAGTATCTTTCCGACGGATGACCAGTGTATACGATCTCTGACGACTCATAGCATCTACCTTGTAGACTGTGAAGTATGGAAAATGTGAGGTTGGTATTTTGATAGTGAATACAAATCTAGCGCGGGTGGATGATGTCGATAGGCTGTCGTCCTGATTTGGCACAAATGACCAACCTCCCTTTTAACCCCCTTTTCCTCCCAATTTCCAAGTTGCTACGCGAAAGCCCACAACGCCATCTACCACAGGCTTACCGAATTGCGTCATCCTCTTCGCAAGCATTGCTCTCTTTGCATATTGATATCCACCGAAGACTTTTCTGTGTCTAATAGCTCAACATCAGCCGCAATGGCTCAACACTCCGACGAAGTGGATCGGCTCCTTCGCGCGATCATGCCACAAGCTCCTGAAGTCCTGCACCACGTCTTTGCACTTGAAGGTAAGTCAATCCGATTGTTCCTGTTCTCACGCATGCCTGATGCAGAGTCCAGGAGCCAACGAGGTCCTGCTGGGACTGAACACAGTAGAGAGTAAAGTGGCATACCTGGTCCATATCATTGCCATCGAACTGTACAAGGCCAGCAAAGCGATCAGCCCGAAAGTGCAATTTTGTCCAATGCCTCTGTCGCAAGCCTTGCTGACCTGTACTGCAGAATATCTCTTTGGGTCCAAACGACCTTCGATTCCACATCCTGCGGTCGGATGACTTGTTTGTCTCCTACCCTTACCACATCACCTTGCTCGATCTCGGAGAGCTCGAGGATCTGTATTACGCAGCCTGCGCAAAGCTCAAAGAACTACTCCAAGGAGTAGACATTCTCTTGACGAATAACTTCAAAGGTGTTCACGACACATACTTTGCCTATCACAACGAGCCACTTCGTAGCCTCGGCCCCATCAGCATCGGCGCTTTCAGGAAGTCCCTGCTGATCCACGAAAGTATACTCTACAGCAATGAGCTCCAGAGCTTACTGAACAGAGGAGTCATTGAAAAGAACAGCCGTGGCAATGAACTTAGTTGCCCTCACGAGGTGAGCCTGGGCCATAGCACAACCCAGCACAGTTTGAAACATGGCAATTGGGAGGGCACCAAAAAGTACATCAATCTCCCAAAACATCATTCCGAGCAGATTTCAGGATGGCGTGCGGATGTCGAAGGTCTTCAAAACAAAAGCAACATGAGCTGCGGCATGGTGTTCGGAGAGTTGGCGGAAAAGTATAGATCGATGGCCATGAATGCAGAGCTGGAAGGATCCATGATCGATCGGAAACCCACCCCTGAAGCACCGCAAGCCTTCCATGAGGAAGTCTTGACTCGACAATATATCAGTCCATACAACCTAAACGAGCGCGCCAAGAAGCTCAATGTTCCAGGAGGCCCTGAGATGCCCTGCATCTGCGACCCCGAATGCATTTGCGCACCTCTTTGCGCTAGCGATCCAACCCAGAATTGCTTGTGCGAGGAAAACGGGCTATTTGTCCGCGTCACCGAGGGCATGGATATTGACGATCTTGATGTGCCCGACTTGGTTAGACGCAAGAGACGACTTTCGGAGGCCAGCGAAAGCAGTACAGCTTCGCTCAACACTAGCGACCGACCGTCTTCTCAATGGCCCATCTATTCAGCTGCCTACGTCGGTGCGGTCACTCAGTTAGATGATCAGCTTCGAGTTATGGATGAGGTTGACAAGCAAATACGCGAACAGAAGGCTCAAGCATCATATAATGTCGAAGTCCCAAGCCCAATGGTAGACACTGCAAGCCAGCTCGATGATGTGCTTTCGATGAGCGGCATACTTGAAGTATCCGAGGGAAACGATGGCCTCTTCTGGCAGGACAGATTGAGCATGCCGCGGTTGAGGATGTCGGATTTCACCCACTACCAACTTAGACAACCATTTTCGAAGCAGTGCGACCATCCACCAAAACGACAGTCTGTTGCTGAACGCCTATTCAAGACTAAGACCAGCAGTATGGCTGCACACAAGAAACACGCGGCGATTGATCAGCCTACGCAGGGTCAAAATATCAATTGCAGCAGTACCAGCAAAGTAGTGAAGCAGGCAAACAAGCGATTACTTGCCGACATCTCCTTCACAGGTTTGAGGTTCACTCGTCGCCGGGGCTCGCACGGCCATGGAGCTTGAATGCATAGTCAAAAGGCAGCAGAGTTCACACTACTCAAATGGTAGTGGGTGGGGATTTGTTGGCGAAGGGAATGTCAGAACAGATGGGTGGTCGACTTAAGATGACGTGACCATCTAAAGGATACAGAGTTATGATGGTACGATCAGACCACTACGTCGAGAGGAGGGAAGGCTCATGTTCGGAAGGTGGCTCGTTTCCTTGTCCTCTTTTGCGAAGGGCGGCTTGAAACCTAAGATGCCTTGGTATTTGGATGAAGCTAGAATGTACCGCAACGTATCAGGCCGATCAGGATAAGATCTTTAGGTATTCAAAGCAGATGTCAGTCTTTCTAAGGAGACCATTTGGAGAAAGACGGAGTGAAGAGAGTCTGCACTCTGCGCTAAATAAGCGCTCCGTTCCCTCTTCTCCGTCGTCTCCGCTCAGCCCCTCAGCCCTAAAGTAAGCGCGAAGGCCTGTCCCAGTCTCTGGCATTCCTTTGTGCACATCACCAATCTTCAAAAGTTTGAGATGTCAACACTTTGTAACGGTTATCTTTTTACCATACGAGCCGGGAAAGAGAATTTTCTCTAATAGTGGTTCACTGCAGGTCCATTAAGATACTGCCTTTGCAAGAAACATGCAGGGTTTACATGAAGCTCTCGCAGTGGGCAGTGGCTCACCCCATTACCACTTGGCTTTGTTGTTCGACGAGATGATTCAGAACAATGTGCATACTGCAGGTGAAGGTCATTTTCGCTGCTTGAATCGTGTAAAAGATCGCCATACCCAGACAGGAGCGTGGTCATCTGAACGTTTGATAGCGATACCCAATCATCCCTAAGCTTCTACGGGTCGGGCTGATTGTTAAGTCATCATTAGAACATAAAGATCGGTAATAGAGCAATTCTTGGCTTCTCTGTATCAAAAATCTCTATTCTCTCCTGCCAATTCGCTCGAAACTTAATGTTCTTCAACTCGTAATCATTCCTGCACGGCTGCATGTTTGCAACTCGGCATCAAAACAAAACTGTCCTCTCGCTTCGCTTTTAGTTCTTTCCAACCCTCATAGTGTCTTGCTTCATAGAACTCCTACCTTCTCTCGTTATCCGGCTCTTCCCGTATATTCGCTAGCAAGCTCTGACATCTACAGTTGTTTCTTGAATTCAAGCAGATGAATGGCTGATCTAGAGTCGTGGCGTCGCCACACCCAGCTTGCCCGACGAATTGACAACACACACATCTATCATGGCCAGACTGACGATCTCGCTCCGTCTGACAACACATCGTACTCCACTTCGCTTGGCGTGGACGAAAGCAAGCTTCGACCACGACCCAGGAGGAGTCTCGCTTCATTCGCCTCTTATCTCGCTACGCATAATCGTACTGTCTCTCCGCGCAGCAGGCCCGAATGGCCTTCCGTGATCTTTAAAATTTCCTTTTCTTTTTTATAACTATTAATATTATTTAAACTATTATTAAAGTTTAAAGAAGTAATTTATATTAAAATTCGATTTACGTAATACGTCTTAGCGCGTTTATATTATATCGCTCTTTTCTTTATAAAACTCTATAATTAATATAATTAAGTATTCTATCTTTAAATTTTAATAGATTATATATTTAAACTATATTTAATAACTATTTTAATACTAATATAATCGACGAGTAAAGGCCTATGAATTAAATTTATAATCATTTTTTTAATTAGGGCTATCGAGTAAATTTGATAAGCGATCTTTAATAAGCGATATTTGAATGCCTTGCCTTTTGATAATTATAAGACCAAATTTAAAAATCCTTTTTTTATCTGAAAGCCCACATTTTATTCTATAATTTAAAAAAAAAAAATCAAAATTATAATAGAAAACAAAAAAGTTATTCCAAAATCAAATAATATATATCTATTTTCTAATCAGGGCTGTCCCGCTGTCGAGCGAACTCTGGTAAGCGATATTTGAATTCCTTGCGCTTTAATAATTATAAGACTATATTTAGAAATTCTTTTTTTATCTAAAAGCCCATATTTCGTTCTATAATTTAAATAAAAAATCTTAAAATTTTAATAGAAAATAAAAAAGTTATTTTATATATTAATAACGTATATCTAATTTTTAATAAGAAGTCGCGAAAGGGCGAGATTTTAATAGTTATAAATACTAATTTATTTATTTATAATAACTTAGCCGATCTAGCTAAAAAGCGTAGAGAACTCGAATTTATAATTAACTATATATATAAGTTTAAGATTTTCTAGTTTAGCTCTATCTTATTCTTTTATATATATTAATTTCTATAGTTATAACTATTTTTAAATATTTATATTTATTATAATAAAGATAATTAAAATTATAAAAAGCTTTATTAATCTTCTTAATATAAGAAATTTCTATTTTAAAATAATTATTCTAGACTTAAATAACTATAATTTTATTAGAATCGTATTAGATTAAATTAATAGTAATATATAATAAAGATATTATTAATAAAGATAAACTATATAAAGACTATAGCGACTCTATTAAAACGCGCTAAGTTTAAATAGATAAATAATTAATATATAAAAGAATAAGATAGAGTTAAGCTTAAAAATCTTAAATTTATATATATAGTTAATTATAAATTTAAGATTATTACGTTTTTTAATTATATCTACTAAGTTATCGTAAATAAATAAATTAACGTTTATAACTATTAAAATCTCTTACTCTACTTTTAATCCTTTAATAACTTTACTATTTTCTATTAAAATCTTAAATTTTTTTTAAAAATTATAGAACGAAATGCGGGCTTTTAGATAAAAAGAGAATTTTTAATTGAGTCTTATAATTATTAAAGCGTAAGAAATTCAAATATCGCTTATTAAAGATCGCTTACCTATTTACTCGATAGCTCTAATTAAAAAAAATTATAAATTTTATCTATAGGCCTTTACTCGTTATATTTATTTATTTATTTATTTATATACGCTTTTACTCGAATTATAAAGAGTAATTATAGATTACTATATAAATATTATATATTTATAGAAGTAATCTTATTTAATCTCTTTAAATTAAAATAAAAACTCTTACTTTTCTTTTCTTCGCTATTTTATAATATATTTTAATTCTTCTATTATATTTATTTCTTATACTTTTTAACTTCTCTTTTTATTTCTAACTTAATAATTTTCTTTACTTATTTTTAAAAAGTTAATTTATATATTTAATTTGAAAGTTATTTATTTTATTTAGCTATTTAGCTAAGGTAGCCATTTTAACGAAGATATTCTATCTAGAAATCTATAGAGACTTAAATCTATAAATTACTTTTATTTGAGTATATATAGAGTATTACGCGAAGATCTTTATAGAGAGAGATTATATCGAATAACTCTATTAAATTAATATTAAATAAAATAAATTAAAGATAAAAAGAGTAAATAAAATAAAGAAATTATTTAAATAATAGATTTAGATTTATTAACTTATCTTAATTACTAATATTATTAATATCTATATTTTAATTTTTTATAATATCGTTTAACTCTTTAATTATCTCTACTATCCTCCGCTTAATTTAATTTATTATTATAAAAAAGTAAAATATTATATAAGTAGAGCTCTTATAAATCTTTATTCGATTAAGAAACTCGCTTTAAAGATTTTTAAATATTTATATATTATACTTTTTAATTTAATATCTCTTATAAAAATATAAAACTTAATTTATAAAAATCTACTTTCGAATTAGAATTTAATAATAATTTTAAGCGATATTTAAAAATTAATATATAACTAAATTACTAAAATTATATAATAAATAATATTTTTATAAAGATTAAATAATAGTCTAATAGAGAATATCTTATTATTTTTTATTAATATTTTTTAGATTAAAATTAAATATTATAAAAGCGATTATCTTATTAATAATTCTTATCTTAAATATTAAATTAAAAATTAATCGATTTAAAATAATAAAAAACTTTTTCTATATCGCTTTTAATATTATATATCTAATTTATATATAAAATAAAGATTAATTAATATTATAAATAGAATATAGCTATTATTATATTAATATCTAAATAAAATTAATTTTTAATTAAATTATAAAGTAATTATTAGAGAAGATTCTTTATATATAATATCTTAAATTTATTATAAATCGTAATTTATATTTCAATCGCTAAGACTCTTAATTTATAAAAATATTAATAAATATAAATAAAGCTCTTAACTTTATCGCTAAAATTAATAACTTCTAATCTCTTATTTAAGATTATAAAATAAGTTTATTAAAAGCTAATATTTAATAAAATAATAGAATTATTATTAATCTCTATAAAGGTTTTTTATTAATATATATTTAATTTTTATATATATAAGATTAAGAGTAATAAGTATTAGTTTAATAAAATAACGTTAAAAATTAATTTATTAATAATATAATCGATTTAGAAAGAATATTTACTATATACTATTCTAATTAAAACTATAAGAATTATATATATTAAGTTTTATATATTTTTTAAAATTTTTAAATTTTTATTTTATAAAGTTTATTAGATTTTAAAATAAATTTTTTCTATATTTTCTAAATTAGCTTTTTCTAATAATAAATATTAAAATATTAGTATTAATATATATAAAAGAATAAGATAGAGTTAATTTAAAAAATCTTAAATTTATATATATAGTTAATTATAAATTCGAGTTCGCTACGCTCTTTAATTAGACCGACTAAGTTAGCTCGCTAGCCCTTTCGAGACCTCTTATTAAAAAAATAGATATACGTTATTTACTATTATAGTTATAGCTATATCTATCGCCGAGAGAGCTTAATATAGCTTAACGCTTAGTATAGCTTAATACTCGATACTTTAGCTATAGCTTTCCTTAGAAGAATTATTATACTTTTTATCATCAAAATATTATATTAGTATATATAAAAGAATAAGATAGAGTTAAGCTTAAAAATCTTAAATTTATATATATAGTTAATTATAAATTCGAGTTCTATACGCTTTTTAATTAGA